TTTGATTGAATCAGAAGTTCGAAATTAAATTCTAAGAATAGACAACATGACCTCAATGAAAAATAAATAGTAACAATTTTGTAAGCACCACATGGTACACTTCAAATGAATTGTATTTCCCTTTTGATTGAATCAAAGGTTCCAATTTCAATTCTCAAACCTTGACTGAAGACCGTAGATTGTGTTTGTGCTCTCATCCCAACTTCGGTTGCTCTTTCCAAAATTCTGCACACCTTAATGTCCCAAGAGGAAGCTTCACTTTGATAGCATCCAAAAGCACCAGAACTCATTCCTTGGTGTCAGCTGTTGTTACACTTTTCAACCATCTCATCCACACAACGAAAAATAAAATAAAAAAAATAAAAACCAAAAGTAATCAATGCTACCACATAAGAAAACAAATAAAATTTATCTTCACCTGAGAAAAAAATTGAATGATAGTTACGCATCATGTTGTTTGATAGCTCACACCTCATGGCACAATTTTTGATCACCAACATGCATAATGCTCATGAACTTACACATATATAAAAAGATGATGATTTAATCACTTATGGAGGCTAACAAGGAACAACCACAAGAGTTTTCAATATAAACTCTCAAAAACTCTCTGCAAGAATATTTTGTCATTCTATTTTTCCAAAAGCCGCAGAGTAAAAAACAGCACAAGTCCCTTATTTTTTTCACACTTAAAACTAGGTCATAGACCGAAAAAGGCTTTTAGCAAATATGGGCTTTTTAACAAATAAAGTATTTCTTTAAAACAAATAAAGCCACTTAACTAAAAACCCAACTGAAAAGACAAAAGAACCCTTTTTGCTTAAATAAACACCAAACTAAAGAGTATAAAACCATCGTTAAAAACTCACTGATGTCTAGCACTGGATTATGTAAGACTGAAACCATATATCAGTCCTATACATCTGACAACCACTTTTGATGAACTTGCAAATATGCAAATATGAATGCATGGATGCAAAACATACCTTGGCATTGTCTCTAAGCCACATTGATCCAGGATAGTAGAACGTCACTTAAAAACTGTAGGTTACACTCAAAGACCTACTCTATATTTTTGTAACAGGAAAGCTAGGAGCCTACAATAGATAGGCTTGGGATAACTATAGATAGGAACGACAAACTGCTTTCCCCTAAACATGCACACAAATTCGTCCGTACCTGCAAACAACTTTTACTTACAAGCTACACAAACTGAAATATGACTGATAGGTAATGAAAGCTTGATATACTTAGAGCATAAGTAAGAGTTACTGGGGAAGAATTGTTGTCTAAAGTGAATATATTCTTCAACATCTAAACACCATGGAAGATAAAATCAAACTCATCAGAGGAAGGGATTTTTCCCCATGCCTTCCAGAATATAAGAATGGTGTCAAAGGCACTGATCCGGCTGTTAAAATTCTCCTCTTTATTCAGCGAAATAGCCTTTAGGCATCACCTTCTTGAAAAATTTGTCTTAATCGTAGCCCTTTTTTAGAAATAAAAAGAAGTCAAAAAGGGGTACTACAAAGTGTAAAATACAACTGAAAAAACAACACAAATTTAAACCTGGATCGCATCAAGTCGGTTTGTATTTGATAATGCGGCGTCCTTCAATATGCTCACTTTCATTCCAACCTTGTATATTCACCTTAAAAAAATTAAGCTAAACAGAAACAAATAAATACTGAGCACAATTCATTGAGGGTAGTGAAGCGTACCTTCAAAATTGTAAATAATGAAATCAAGAAAAGCATAAATAAAATAAACCAAGAAGAAAGAAGCTCACCTCATGGTTAAAATACGTCCGATCAACTTTGGGTAAATTTCTCTCCGCTTGCATCGGCTGCTAATTTCCTAAAGATGATCGACACCATGAGTAACACAGCTTGTTTAAGCTTAGTAGCATTCCTCACCATCTTTTCGCCTAAAAGTGAACTTGAAACATTGAAATAAGGAGTGCCCTCACCCTCTCAGTCTTTGGGCCCAAGTTCACATCCTGGCCCATTAACTTTATTAGAGTCTCGTGAATATCATCTGCCTTTCCGTGGATCCCTTCTTTAATGCGATGGGCACACTCATACATCAATCTTGAGAACAAAATGAGCCCAAACAAAATACGTTTGTCCTCTTTTGGCTTTAGGAAGAAGTCATCATAGAGCCATGTCAGAAGTTGCGGCCATGCCTCAATCCTTGCCACTGACGATATCATCCTTCAATTCCTCCAAGAATGGAGACGACAGCTGCGAATTTCGATACTCCAGGCGGCAAGATGGTTGTAGAGCTGGCCACAGCCTAGTGACTATCACATGGAGTAACTCTACTTCCCGGCTAGGGTCTTAATGCAAGTAAGAAGTTGAAGAATTGCTTTGGTGAGCTCGTCCTTATTGGTGGCGGCCAGTACCTCCTCGGCCTCCTGTTTTTCAGCTGGATAAGTTGACTGACAGGACTTACGAAGAAACTCAATGAGGCATTACTACAAAAAGTGAAAAAGAGTACCAGAAAAAAAAACTACGGTTTAACGGAAACAGTCGTTGTGTTTGAAAAGACGACGGTTTTATAAAACCACCGTATATGATTAACTTAAACACCTAAAAAATGGAGATTCCAATAGGTGTTTTTAAAAAACGACGCACCTAATTAAAAAAACGCCGTCTTATTGAAAAAGGTTTTCCTTAGAGTAAACTCTGAGCCCACAAACAACGGCAGAAAGTATGAATCCACCAACGTATAAAGTAAAGACGACGGTGTACAACAACAACCGTTGTGTTTTCTCCGTAATAAACACGACAAAGTTTTCGTATCCGACGCTGTATAATTTCAAAAAAATCCACATCGGTATATTACAAAATACTACTGTATTAAATAAATGTACAACAACGGTAAAGATAAATTTATCGACTTATTTTTTTATCGTACTACGACGGTATCTATAACTCTAACCATGTTGGTTTGTTCAATTAACACCGTATAATAAAATTTACCTTGTTGTGAAGTTAAAATTACCATCATATTTATTCACTTTATACGTCTAACCTTATATCTAAACCGTCGTCTTAATATTATTATTTTTGTACTATATAATTCTTTGATTTTGGTATCCTACGACGGTAGATCAACTTAATGACAAGAATTACGAATAACCAAGACGGTTTATATAGAAAACCGCCAACATAATCTGATTTTTCTGAGATCCCAAGAGCTACGTCGTGAAGTTAAAATTAACGTCGCATTTATTCACTTTATACATCTAACCTTATATATAAACCGTCGTCTTAATAGTAATTTTTGTTTTACTTCTTATTGCCTGGGTTTTGGTATCCTACGTCAGTAGATCAACTTAATGACAAGAATTGAGAATAACCATGACGGTTTATATAGAAAACCGCCGATTGAATCTGATTTTTCTGAGATCCCAAGAGTTACGAAATCTTACCATATGGAACTCTGTTCCTCATCATAATCAGACCACAGAAAGACAATATTTTAGACGTTGTTGATGTGTGTGTCTTCTGGTCTTTGAGATAAACGAAGGCACATACACACCAATATCCAAAAATTTGCCGCTAAAATTTGACAACGGCAGCCACAGATTTGCATTCAAATAGACAATTCTTTGGAAGTTGATGATGTGTGTGTGTTTGTGTCTTTCAGATACACAAACACACACACACACATCAACATCCAAACAATTGCCTCTAAAATTTGACGACGACAGAAACAATTTGCATTCAGAGAGACAATTTTTGGACGTTGGTGATGTGTGTATGTTTGTGTCTTTCAGATACACAAACATACACACACATCAACATCCAAACAATTGCCTCCTAAGAGGTGAGACAGAGCCAAGGGAAAGAAGAAGTTGGAACCCTAATTGAAAACTGAAACTGAAAGAACTCGTGAAAAAAAACTCAATTTATAAAAAAAAATTCATATCCACGTCGGTTATATTACACATACTGCCGTTTAGCAAAAGGAATGGACGTCGGTTCTTGAAACACGGAAGACGTATTAAACATACGATATTAAGACAAACAACATCGGTCATTAAACTAAAGGCAACGAGGTTTAGAAAAACAACGTCGGTTCCATATAAAAAAACGACGTGGTTACTTGTAATATCACTTCTTCAAAAGTAAACTTTTGACGTGTAGTGCCCAACTAACCACGTCGTTTTCGGAATACAAAAAGTCAAAAGGCTTTTTTACTAACCACGTCGGTTGATGTTATTTTAATGTTGTGGTAAGTACATACTAGGGCGGTTTTTATCACTACCGTCGTTGTATTTATCTTTGGGACACTATATAAACTTTTTGGTCACCTGACCTAAACTTTTACGTTCTCTCTAAAATTTTCAGTTTTCTCTCAGTTTCCCTCTGATTTCCGAAAAGCTGCGTTTCTGATTCTCAATTTCCCTCACTTTTACGTTTTTCCTCGTCTTCGTCTCCAGAATTTGATTCCGAAGAAATCTTTCTTTACAAGCCAAAGGTATTTTCTCACTCCGTTTTTTTTTCTTCACTTTCCCTATCATTTGAAGTTTTTTTTTAAAGAACAAGTCCCACTGATTGAAACAAGACTCAGGTTTGAAAAGGCCAAATCTTTCAATGTTCCCACTCACAGGTCATGTGAGGATGACGGGTTTTTCTCGAATTTGACATTTTGTTGACACACCACGACGGTAATTAAATTCATGCTATTGAATAGCACGACTATTCATAATAACCGACATGGTGTGTTAATAAATACGACTTTTGAAAGGTAAAAACCGTCGTCTTATTTGAAACGAAAGTGGGGGGGAGAAAACTAGGCGGTTTTTTTTCTTTATGAACTTATTTAATTATCGTCGTTTGAAGTTAATGACCACGTCGCATTAGCACATCCACTTTTCTATAGATTAGCACGACGGTTATGTTTTTTTGCGGTCATCTGAACTTTCATTTTACATCTGTATTTTACCTAACCGTCGTTGTTTTCCTTGCAGTTTGTATTTCTCTCTAAACATGGTTTCGAAATCTCAAAATAAGGAGGCTCAAGCGTCAAAAGGTCAAGGCAAGGACATTGCAGTTTCAAAGGCACAAATGGGTGAATCCAAATCTGTTCCAAGCAATCCCGCAAAGAAGATGAGATTTACTTCATCCTCCAAGAAAGACCCAAGCTCTGCGACATTTGATGAAGTGACGAAATCGACTTGCGGTATCAACACAATGAGCCGTGTTGTGAAGAGGAAAATCCAGAAGATTAAGCCTATGGTTGAGTACAATAGAAGTGGCATATCGCATGGCAAGGCTGCTATTGAGATGCAGAGTTACATTGGTGTTTTCACACGCACCAGAGTCCCTCTTGTGGACAAGAAATGGACTCAATTGCCCAAGGACCTGAAGGAGCAGATTTGGGAAGCTGTTCAAATGGCTTATGTTGTTGGGGAAGGGGGCAAGAAGATGGTGTTGTCGTCTGCCGCCAAAAAATGGAAGGATTTTAAGTCTACCTTAACAAGGCAGTTTATCCTTCCATTCACAAATGAGACAGAGAAGTTAAAAGAGCCCCCTCAGCTTTATAACTTCATAGAGAAATTGGAATGGGATGCCTTTGTAGCTTCAAGGTTGTCCCCAGATTTTGAGGCTGTGCATTCTGAGCAATCACAGAGAAGGGAGAAATGCGAGTACAACCATAAGTTGTCTCGAAAAGGGTACATTGGTTTGGAGAATCAATTGGAAGAAACCATGCCTGGTGAAGAAATCGATCGATCTCTACTATGGAAGATGGCAAGAGAAGATGAATAGGGAAACATCCCTGATCCAAAGGTTGCAGAGAAGGCAAAATTAATCGTAAGTCTCACTGACTCTGTTCAAAACTTGTAAAATAGAGGTTTTATTTTTCATTCAGACGTCGATCTTTTCAATAACTGTCATTAGACATGTAACCCCACGACGGTTTTTATTCACCGCCTTTTAAAAAATATATAATGTCAGTATTTTTATGAAACCGACGTTTGTATTGAATTACAACGACAGTTTTGTATTTCTGTGTTATGTTTTTTAAATTAAATTTTGAACTTTCTTCATATTCACACGCACACACACTCTCTCTCCCTCTCTATTTCTCTGCTATTGGTTTGTACACTATTTATGGACCAATTAATATTTTGGCTAAGTGTTTTTATCTCTAATGTCAAATAAACGATGGTTATTTCAAGGACCGACGTGTTAATATATACAAAACCGTCGTCTTGTATGATTTTCTGCGTCTTTTTTTTTAAATAAACTGTTGTCTTAACTTGTTTACCACGTCGGTTAATAATTTTATTAATTTATTAATTTAATCAGTTTTACTATCTGTTCACTCACTAACATTCTCTCTCTCACTTTTAGGATGATTTAAAAAAAAATTCTCTGAGGGCACTCTGACTGCCTCTAAGAGCAACGATGTTTTGACCTTGGCTTTGGGAACCCCTGAGCATGGTGGGAGTGTCAGAGGTGTTGGAGCTGGGGTTTCCCCAACTCAATTCTTCAATTTGTAGAGACAGCAGAGAGTAAAATTTGCTGACAAATTGAAGGAAAGTGTTATGGAGGCAGTGAGAGAGGAAACCAAAAAGATGGAGGCCAAGGCAAAGAAAAGTGTTTTGGAGGCAGTCAGAGTAGAGAGGGAAATTTTGTTGAAACAATTCAGTCAACTAATTCTCAACTTTGATCCCAACTTGCTTAGTAAAACTCCAACTACACCAATTACTCAAATTCCTCAATAGCAAAGCCCAAAAAATCCAATGTCTAACAAAGTAAGCTGCTCTAATGTGATTGGCCTTGTTTTGGAGGAAGACAATCCCACGAATGATGCTGATGCTGATGCCGCTGAAAACCGTCAAGATGAAACGGTAAAATCTCTAACATTTGATTTTTTCTGATTTTTAAATTTAAAATAGACGTCTGGTTTTATTTTACAACTCGTCGTCTATTTTAACCTAGATGACCTTTCTATTGTGTAGCGACGTTATAACATTTACACCACGATTGTTATGTATTTACCATCATCTATAACTTTTACCCCGTCAATATGTTCTAGAAACCGTCATTGATATTATATACCACGTCGGTTTTGTTGATTGGAGTCATTTATTTTACTTCATGTACAAACTAACTTTTATTTCTTTATTTATTTCTTGTTACAGGATCTCTCAAAGCTTGACATGCTAGCTCCTCTGTTAGCCCTATGCCAATATGTCGAAACCAAGTTGAAGCCTACTAACGAGACCATTAGAATTCACATGCCAGAGGAAGTGTTTGGCACTGATCATGATACTTGGCTCTTGAGTTAAGACATTTAACAGTTTGCTTACATGGTTGAGATTGGATCCACAGTGATTGCACTATACATGAGGTAATTCTAGAAATCCAATTTTGTTTTTTTGTTTTTTACATTTTCTTTCTTTTAAATTACAATCTCATTTAATTGAATTTCATATATTTAATTAGGTACCTATTTGACTATTTAAAAATGCCAAATATGGTAAACCTTGTTGGCCTTGTGGACCCTGGACAAGTCAGCTCTCAATATAGAACGTTATCTCACCGTTCAAAATATCTCTCGACCGCCTGAAAAACGCAGATAGCGATCAATTTTACTTGGTGCCTTATAATCCAGGGTTGGTCCCCTTCTATTCTTGGTCCCTTGTAATATTATTTTGTGTAGTATATTTAATCTATATGGATCATTTTGTGCAGGGGTCATTGGGTGTTAATAATTGTGCGACCAGCTAAGGAGACTGTCTATTACATGGATTCATTGCCAAACCGCTCTGTTGACGAGGACATGAGAAATATAGTGAATACGTAAGTTTATTTATGAAAATCTAAGATTTTTTTATTTTTGCATTTGAATATACGACGGCTTTTTCAAATACCAACGTTGTAGTGAAAACACAACGACGGTATGTTATAACCGACGTTTGAAATCATTTACAACGTCAGTATTTTCTTGAAACCATCGTCTTAATTGAAATACCACGTTGTTTATGTTTTTCATTTTAGGACGTTTTAATTTTTTCTGTTCAACTTTCATTTAAAAACAACTTTGGTTATACGTTATTTTTCTTCGTCATCGACGTTAGAATGAAACACAACGACGGTTCTTATTTTCTGACGTTTGAAATAAAAATACGACGTCAGTTGTTTTACAAACCGTCGTCTTCACTTATTTACCACGACGGTTAATATTTTTTATGCTGATTTTTAGTTTTCTCATTAACAATTTTTGTTTTTTTGAAACAGTTCAATCAAAATGTATAACTCTCACACAGGCAAACAATTATCACGTAAATCACCTATACGGAAAAATCTACAAGGCACTCCTAGACAACCAACAAATGTAGAGTGTGGCTATTACGTGATGCGTTTCATGAGAGATATAATTCATGATCCAAGCCTAGCATTTGCGAAGAAGGTAAAATTTAAGATATTATTTCTTTGTTTTAATACCACTACATTTTCTTTCAAAACCGTCATTTTAATATTTATAACACGTCAGTTTTTGTTCTTTATTTGCAGTTTGACAAGAAAAAGGAACCAGTTGTGTATACTCAAGAACATATTATGAAGTCATGCTGGAATGGGCAGAATTCATGAACAAGCAATTACAGAACAATAAGTGATATGATTTATTTAAAAATGTTTAGGTTTATTTTATTTTTTTGATAATGTATATAAACATATTTTTGGTAATTAATTGAACATTCATTAAAAAAATCAAATGAAATATATTTTCTTTCTAGTTTTGTATGTGATATTTATGTCGTTGAAATAAAATAAAAATAAAAATAAAATCGTAAAAATTTAAAATTAATTCCCAAAACCCGACGTCTCATTCTTATTTACACATCTCATATCTATAAACAACCGCCGTCTTATTATAGCGGGAAAGAAAACATCGACGGCATTTCTCAAAAACGACATGTAAGGTTGATATACACGATGGTTATTATATAAAACTGAAATCTACGAAAAAAATTGTATAGACATACAACGTCCATTATAGGTTAAAATGTGACGTTGTATACATAAACAACGTCGTCATCAACATAATAATCGACGGTGTAAATTCTACCCACGTTGGTTATTCAGAAAAGGTGGAGGTTGTAACTCACTAACCACGTCGGTGCGTACATTGCGACGTCTAATGTCTTCTAGGACGACGTCATGTGTTATTTAACGTTGTTGTAAACTGATGCAACGTCGGTTATGTACATTTGTCATTTGGTTTTTGTATGACTTTTATATTTTATTCATAATATTCATAATAATTTCAAAACAAATTTCATAAAATAAACTAGCAACTACCATGCCCTCATTGAAATATTTTATCTCCCCTAAATCTTTAAAAAATTTAATTTTAAAATATTTTTATTTGTATTTAATTACTAATATTCATAATATATTAAAAAAAATTCCAAAAAATAAACCGACAAATTCTATGCACTTATTGAGACAATATCTCCCCCCTACATGCCTAAAAATTTTAATTTATATTTCAAAATTATAAGTGATAACAAAAGTAAAAAAGATTTAGAGACAAAGCACAATAGTTATTATACTTTCCATGACATAACCCTATGGTTTATGTGATCCATTGGTGGTCATAAAATTCAAAATGATTTAATATGGATTTTAGCCTACTAATATAAAAGGCATTGTTGTAAGGAGTCCGTAGCAATTTTCGGTTCATTTTTCTCATACTTGTGTATTTTTTTATAATTATTGTAAAATTTAGGATTTAGGGTTTAGGGTTTAGGGTTTAGGTTTTATTGAAACGACACCAGTTTTCTCTCGCTCTTTTTGGTCAATTATGCGCATTCGAATCCCAGGAAAAGCACACCAAATGTAATTATTTAATACATTAGACGTCAGTTTATGTATGGGCGACGTCAAAACATTTTACAACCTCGTCGTTGTAACATAACCGTCGTTGTAAATCTTAAATTAAACGACGACTGGGTTGTGTTTACCTTCGTCTTTAATAAACGCGGTCCTTTGAAATTTTTACCATGATCTAAAATTTTCAGAATTTCCCTTTAACCCTAAAGTATTTCCTTCTCTCTTTTCAATGTAAATTTGTCTATTAGTTTGTATATTCTCTCAACTCTCTCTCAATATTCTCTTATTAGTTTGTATATTCTCTTAGATCTCTCTCAATATTCTCTTATTAGTTTGTATATATTCTCTCAGCTCTCTCTCAATATTCTCGTAGTTTGTATATTCTCTTAGATCTCTCTAAATATTATGTTAGTTTGTATATTATCCTAGCTTTGGGTTCTTTTATGTTTCGGGAGTTATGGGTTCTTGATTGGGAGCTATAGATGGGTTCTTTTATGTTTTGATGTTTGCATTCTGTTAATGGTTCTTTGAAAATGAATGGGGATGAAATAATTAGGCTTTGGTTTTTTGTAAATCACGACGACGGTTGGTTCCACCAACGGTCGTCTAAATTTTTATTATACGTCGGCTTTCTATTTACTACCGTCGTCGACCCTAACCCTAACAAATATCTTGTTAGATGGATAAGTTATGAATGCATGCAGATAGAAGATCGAAGGCATATGAGTTAGGTGTGGAAGGATTTTTGAATTTTGCTGTAGAAAATCTTGGAAATACAACTCATATTCATTGTCCACGTGTTAAATGTGGGAATATTCGATTGTTTGGAGTTGGAATTATAAGGGACCACTTATACTTTAATGGAATTGACCAAAGCTATAAGATTTGGACATGGCACGGAGAACCTTGGGAATGGACTACTAATGCTAGTAGAAATGTGGAAGAAGATGAGCAAAGTAGGTTCAGTTTTGTTTCTGAAGAAGTAGGGATGGATGATAATGATTTAGGCGATATTGGATTTGATCCTTATGAATTTTCCAATGTGATTGGGGGTGAAAATCAACCCTTGTACCCTGGTAGCAGTAAGTACACAATGTTGTCGGCTTTGGTGAAGTTATATAATTTGAAAGCAAAACATGGGATGAGTGATGTTTGTTTTACAGAATTATTGATACTTCAAGGAGATTTGCTTCCAGAAGGGAATACACTACCTTCCTCTATGTACGAGGCCAAAAAGACATTGTTTGCTTTAGGGATGAGTTATGAGAAAATCCACGCATGTCCCAATGACTGCATCTTGTATAGGAAGGATTATGAAGATTCAACTAATTGTCCTACTTGTGGTGTCTCAAGGTGGAAGGAAGACAAAGATTCAATCTTGAAAGAGGGTGTGCCAACGAAGGTGGTGTGGTATTTTCCTCCAATTCCAAGGTTTAAAAGGATGTTTCAATCACATAAGACAGCTAAGAGTTTGACTTGGCATGCTGCTAAAAAATCAGTTGACAGTCAAATGTCTCATCCAGCGGATTCCCCGTCTTGGAAACTTGTTGATGATAAATGGCCCGAGTTTGGTAGAGAGCCGAGAAACTTGAGATTGGCTCTCTCATTTGATGGATTCAATCCCCACAGTTCTTTAAGTAGCAGATATAGTTGTTGGCCAATTATCTTAGTTACATATAATATCCCACCATGGCTATGCATGAAACGAAAGTTCATGATGTTGACCTTATTGATTTCCGGTCCTAAACAGCCTGTAAATGATATAGACGTCTACTTATAGACTTTGATTGATGATTTAAAATCTCTGTGGGATGGGATTAGATGAGTGTATGATGCACATATAGGAGAATACTTTACACTCAGAGGTGTATTACTGTGGACAGTTAATGATTTTCCTGCCTATGAGAACTTATCTGGTTATGTCGTTAAAGGATATAAAACTTGTCCAATATGCGGCGATGATACACCTAGTCACAGATTGAAAAATAGCCACAAAATTTGTTACATTGTGCATAGAAAATGGTTACCAATCAATCATCCATATCGGAGGCAGCGTGCAGCTTTTAATGGAAAACCTGAATATGGCACGCCTCCCTAGCCATTAAACGGAGAAGGGTTGCACATGGTTGAAGATATTAATTACATATGGGGCTCAAAAAATGGGGGAAGAGTTGGTGAGAATGATGGTGATAGAGTTTGTTGGAAGAAGAAATCAAAATTCTTTGATCTCGAGTATTGGAAATACCTGCATGTGAGGCATGTCCTAGATGTTATGCACATTGAGAAGAATGTTTGCGATAGATCATTGGTACATTGCTAGAGATCCCTGGAAAAAATAAAGATGGATTGCTCCTCTGTTAGATTTATTGAACATGATAGTCAAAACTGATTTGCAACCCGAGTATGGACAAAGACGTACTCCCTTGCCTCCAGGGCCTTGGAATTTGTCAAGAGCAGAGAAGAGAGCGGTTTGCAATTCTTTCTATGGTATGAAGGTCCCTAAAGGTTATTGTTCAAATATAAAAAATCTTGTATCTTTAAAAGACTCAAGAATTCTTGGACTTAAATCTCATGATTGTCATACCTTGATGCAACAATTGCTCCCTGTGGCAATTCATTCTATTTTGGAGAAGCCTACAAGGTATGCAATAACTCGATTGTGCTTCTTCTTCAATGCTATATGTGCAAAGATGGTAGATGTTTCCAAGCTAGATAAGTTGGAAGAAGATGTAGTAGTTACTTTGTGTTTGCTTGAAAAGTACTTATCCCCTTCATTCTTTGATATCATGCACTACTACAAAAATTGAAATAGACGACGGGAAACCACTGTCGTGTAGAAGGTTTTCCAACCGTCGTGAAATCGACCGCCATGTTTTGTACTAACAACAACGATGGTTAATACCCGACGTTGTTAAGGAATTCAACGTCCATATTTATCACTAACCGACGTGTAATTACTATATAATTCTCCTAAAATGAAATCTTCGACAACATTAGACGACGGTTTTATGAAAATCGAGACTTCTAAAGGCTGTTACATGTCAAGATCAAAAGAATAACTGACGTACAGATAATTATCCATGTCTCTAAATGAAGGAAAAAAAAACTTGGATAAGCTAGAAACCGTCGTAGTTAATTTTATTACGTTAAAAAAATAAAAATAAAAACCAACGTGTGAACCATAAACGACGACGTACACGCAAACCAACGGACGTTTAAAGAGTATTACATGTCATTTGTCTTTTAATAACCGCCGTAAAATAACATAACCACGTCCTGCACCAGGCATCACTGACGATTATGTATTTATCCACGTCGCGAACTATAATACAAACCGTCATGTTAACTCGTTTTCACGTCTGTGTTTTGCGAGACTCGTCATTTAAATCGTACAAAGAAGGCCCTTTGACAGAGTTAGACGTCACTTTTTCTAAATAACCAACGTCTAAAATATTTAAAATGAAAAAATATTACTCAATATCGACGTACAAAACTCACTCACACGTCGGTTTATCTCAAAGGCTAACGTTATAAATAGTATTGAAGGCGTGGATAGGAACATAACCGACGTGGATTATAGATTCAACGTCCGTTTCTTTAAAATAAAATACGTGGTTAATTACTTCACTACGTCTAGAGATCCACCTGCTTGACGTTGTAATTACTTACCACGTCGGTTTTTATTACATAATGACGTGGTTGCCCTTTTAAAAGTCGCTTGTTTGACCTGCCTTGACGTATGTATGCGTGGAGACGTCAGTTGTTTTAGACTAGCCAACATGCAGAACATCTGTCACGACAGTTAATGGAACTGAACGACCTTTATTTTGAGCTTTAGACAATGGTTTATTTTAAGCAAACCGTCTTGATTTCTTTTTAAGATGTCTGTTTTTTGTTTTACGGTCTGTTTCCTTTTTGAACCCTGATGTTGTTTTTATCTTAGACGTCTGTGTTTCCAATTTTTTTCCCTAACCGTCGTACTTTACAACTTTAACCCAACTTTTTTAATTTTTGATTTGTCGTGCCCAAAGCCTGCATAATGAAAATGTGATAAGAATTAAAATGTTGTACATAATTATTAATTAATGTCATACAATTAACTGAATAACTAAGGTCATACATTACAACAATCAATCAATCCATATATCTTCACACCCATCTCTAATATTTTCATTCCCAAACTCACCCACTAGGTCATCAAATGTGTCAACATTTGGTATCTCTCTAGTAAATGGCTCACACTCAATTCTAGTATCACCTAGCACATCATCACCAATAACATCATTATATTCTCTATTAGGCATTGATAACACTACCGACCAACCACGATGCATTGGGTTGTCAACATAAAATACTTGTTTGACTTGAGAAGCCATAACAAATTGGTCATTCCTATGTCCAATTTTACTCAGATCTACAAGGGTAAATCCAAGTTCGTCGACTACAAGGCCCGAAGTGTTATCTATCCAATCACACCTCAAGACTGGAATTCTAAACTTTTGGTAGTCAAGGTCCCAAATTTCTTGAATAACACCATAAAAACCCATATTGGAGACAATAGGGTTTTTATCCTTGGCACTAGCAACTTGCATAGTATGTGCAAGTAAATAAACTCCACTATTTTGGACAATTCGCACATCATCTTGTGCCTTGGTGTTAAATTTAACTACATTAATAAGATAGCTCCTATATGATGGCACTGCCATGCTTGGACCAGCTGCTAGCCACCTCAAATTTTCTGATACACCATTATGCTCTTTCCCATCAAGTTCACTTTGAACCTGCAAATTAATCATATATACCTTAATTCAATCTAACATATAGAATGAAAGAAAATTAAAAGTTGAATATGCATGTCATTCAATAACATATATATACCTTAAAGTGGAGCCATTGAATGAAAGTGTTATTGTGCTTATCTTGCAGCCACTTTGTTCTCTCTCTAAATTTTGGATAAGTGGTCATATGGATCATATGTTCCCTACATTGACACCAAAAAAAATCAAGCATTATGATTCCTTGTATATAAGATAAACATAAGGAATAATAATATTTAAAATGGCTCCATATGAAAAATAAAAGTCATACGTACTCGATATAAGGTAGGACTTCCTCCGTATTCTCCAAGACATATAAATGTGTCTGGTTTAACAAGTCCCAATCAACTAAGCTTACTGTAAAACCTAATAATGGCTTCGAAACTCCCATCTTCTGGCTTGAAGGCACTCCAACTGTATTAACATCAGATAAATGCTCGGTGTAAAACTCTACAGCTTCTTCAGCTATATACCGCTCAGCAATGCAACCTTCCGGACGAGTACGGTTCTTAACATACCCTTTTAGCACTTTCATATACCCTCCAAATGGATACATCCATCTAAAATATACTGGGCCACATAGACGAACTTCTCTGACAAGATGTACTACTAGATGAACCATGATATCAAAGAATGAAGGGGGAAAGTATTTCTCAAACAAACACAAAGTAACTACTACAACTTCTTCCAACTTATCCAGCTTGGAAACATCCACCGTCTTTGCACATATAGCATTGAAGAAGAAGCACAATCGAGTTATTGCATACCTTGCAGGCTTCTCCAAAATAGAACGAATTGCCATATGGAGCAATTGTTGCATCAAGATATGACAATCATGAGATTTAAGTCCAAGAAGTCTTGAATCTTTTAAAGATACAAGATTTTTTATATTTGAACAATAACCTTTAGGGACCTTCATACCATAGAAAGAATTGGAAACTACTCTCTTCTCTGCTCTTGACAAATTCCAAGGCCCTGGAGGCAAGCGAGTATGTCTTTGTCCATACTCGGGTTGCAAATCAGTTTTGACCCCCATGTTCAATAAATCTAACCGAGCAACAATCTCATCTTTATTTTTTCCAGGGATCTCCAGTAATGTACCAATGATACTATCGCAAACATTTTTCTCAATATGCATAACATCTAGGACATGCCTCACATGAAGATATTTCCAATACTCGAGATCAAAGAATTTTGATTTCTTCTTCCAACAAACTCTGTCACCATCATTCCCACCAACACTTCCCCCATTTTTCGAGCCCCATGTGTAATTAATATCTTCAACAATGTGCAACACTTCTTCTCCATTTAATGGCTCGGGAGGCGTGCCATATTCATGTTTCCCATTAAAAGTTGCACGATGCCTCCGATATGGATGATTGATTGGTAACTATTTTCTATGTCCAATGTAACAAATTTTGTGGCCATTTTTCAACCTATGAATAGGTGTGTCATCGCCGCATATCAGACAAGCTTTATATCCTTTAACGACACAACCAGATAAGTTCTCATAGACAGGAAAATCATTAACTGTCCACAATAATACACCTATGAGTGTAATGTATTCTCCTATATGTGCATCATACACTCCTCTAATCCCATTCCACAGAGATTTTAAATTATCAATCAAATGCTCTAGGTAGACATCTATATCATTTCCAGGCTGTTTAGGACTAAAAATCAATAAAGTCAACATCATGAACTTCCGTTTCATGCATAGCCATGGTGAGAGATTATATGTAACTAAGATAACTAGCCAACAACTATATCTGCTCCTTAAAGAACTGTGGGGATTTAATCCATCAGATGAGAGAGCCAATCTCAAGTTTCTCGGCTCTTTACCAAACTCATTTAGCATCAACAAGTTTCTAAGACGGGGAATCCGCTAGATGAGACATTTGACCATCAACTGATTTTCTAGCAGCATGCCAAGTCAAACTCTTAGCTGTCTTATGTGATTGAAACATCCTTTTAAACCTTGGAATTGGAGGAAAATACCACACCACCTTCGTTGGCACACCCTCTTTCAAGATTGAATCTTTGCCTTCCTTCCATCTTGAGACACCACAAGTAGGACAATTAGTTGAATCTTCATAATCCTTCCTATACAAGATGCAGTAATTGGGACATGAGTGGATTTTCTCATAACTCATCCATAAAGCAGACAATGTCTTTTTTGCCTCATACATAGAGGAAGGTAGTGTATTCCCTTTTGGAAGCAAATCTCCTTGAAGTATCAATAATTCTGTAAAACAAACATCAGTCATCCCATGTTTTGCTTTCAAATTATATAACTTCACCAAAGCCGACAACATCGTGTACTTGCTGCTACCAGGGTACAAGGGTTGATTTTCATCCCCAATCACATTGGCAAATTCATAAGGATCAAATCCAATATCGCCTAAATCATTATCATCCATCCCTACTTCTTCAGAAACAAAACTGAACCTACTTTGCTCATCTTCTTCCACATTTCTACTAGCATTAGTAATCCATTCCCAAGGTTCTCCGTGCCATGTCCAAATCTTATAGCTTTGGTCAATTCCATTAAAGTATAAGTGGTCCCTTATAATTCCAACTCCAAACAATCGAATATTCCCACATTTAACACATGGACAATGAATATGAGTTGTATTTCCAAGATTTTCTATAGCAAAATTCAAAAATCCTTCCACACCTAACTCATATGCCTTTGATCTTCTATCTGCATGCATCCATGACTTATCCATCTCACACACTATAAAATCATACATATAATAAAGTGAAAAGACCAGCAATGAAACACTACTATATTAACAAAGAAGAGAACAAAGTGGGAAAAAAGAAAAAAAAATTGCACAATAATCAAACGATGGTTTTTACAAAATAATCGTCGCGTAACATAGATTAAGACGACGGTATGTCTATTTACCGTCGTCTTTAAGCAAACAACAAGATATTTGTATTCTTTTTGAAGAAGAGGGTTGGCTTATGGTCGACTAACAATGATGGCGGTAGTAAATATCAAGCCGACGTATAATAAAAATTTAGACAACGGTTTACAAAAAACCAAAGCCTAATTCTTCCATCCCCATTCCATTTCAAAGAACCCTTAACAGAATGCAAACATCAAAACATAAAAGAACCCATATATAGCTCCCAATCAAGAACCCATAGCTCCCAAAACATAAAAGAACCCGTATTAAGAAACCAAAGCTGAGAGAATATACAAACTAACAGAATATGTAGAGAGATCTAAGAGAATATACAAACTAAGAGAATATTGAGAGAGTGCTGAGAGAATATATACAAACTAATAAGAGAATATTGAGAGAGAGTAGAGAGAATATACTTACATGGATATTGAGAGAGAGCTGAGAGAAAATATCAAATGCTTGAGAGAGCAGAGAAAATATACGCAATACTTTGAGAGAGAGCGAAAACTTTAAGACAAATTTACGTTGAAGAGAGAGAAGGAAATACTTTAGGGTTAAATGGAAATTCGGAAAATTTTAGATCCCGATCAAAAATTTCAAAGGACCGCGTTTATTAAAGACGACGGTAAATACAACCCAGTAGTCGTTTAATTTCAGATTTACAATGACGATTATGTTACATTTACGACGTTGTATTGTGTTTTGTTGTCACCCATACAAAAATCGACGTCTAAAATATTAAAAAATTAGCTTTGGTGTGCGTTTCCTGCAATTTGAACGCGCGTATTGACCAAAAAGAGCGAGAGCAAACCGGCGTCGTTTCAATAAAACCAAAACCCTAAAACCTAAACCCTAAAACCTAAACCCTAGACCCTAAACCCTAAACCCTAAATTTTACAATAATTATAAATAAAAAAACACAAGTATGAGAAAAATGAACCGAAAATTGCTATGGACAGCAATGCCTTCTATATTATTAGGCTAAAATCTATATTAAAGAATTTTCAATTTTATGACCACCAATGGATCACATAAACCTTAGGCTTTGTCTCTAAATCATTTTGACTTTTGTTATCACTTATAATTTTGAAATCTAAAATTAAAATTTTAAGGCATGTAGGGGGTAGATATTGTCTCAATGAGTGCATAGAATTTGTAGGTTTATTTTTCGGATATTTTTTTGAATATTTTTTGAATATTAGTAATTAAATACAAATAAAAATAATTTTAACATTAAATTTTTTAAAGATTTAGGGGAGATAAAATCTTCCAATGAGTGCATAGTAGTTGTCAGTTTATTTTATGGAATTTGTTTTGAAATTATTATGAATATTAGGAATAAAATATAAAAGTCATACAAAAAATTGAATACAAACGTACATAACCAATGTTGCATCAGTTTACAACGACATTAAGTAACTCATGACGACATCCTATTAAACATTAAACGTCGCAATGTAATAAAAGTCGTGTTTAGTTATTTACAACGTCTATTACTATTCTGATTATGACGTTGTTTATGGAGACAACATCACCATTTAACATGTAACGGACGTTGTATATCTCTACAAATTTTTTCGTAGATTAAAGTTTTTTAAAGTAACGGACGTTTATATCAACCTTAAATGTCGTTCTTGAGAAATGCCGTCAATGTTTTGTTTCCCACTATAACAAGACGGCGATGGTTTATATATAAGAGACGTGTAAAGATGAATGAGACGTCGAGTTTTGGGAATTAATTTACATTTTTATGATTTATTTTCATTTTAGTTCATTTTACCACATTTATATTTTATACAAAAAAAAACAACATTATATTTCATTTGATTTTTTTGATGAATGTTCAAATAATTACTAAAAATATGTTTATATACATTGTCAAAAAATAAAATAAACCTAAACTTTTTTAAATAAATGTACATTATCAATTATTGTTTTGTAATTGCTTCTTCACGAATTCTGCCTATTCCAGCTTGACTTCGTCAATATGTTCTTGAGTATACACAACTGGTTCCTTTTTCTTGTCAAACTGCAAATAAAGAACAAAAACCGACGTGTTACAAGTAATAAAACGACGGTTTTCAAAGCAAACGTTGTGGTATTAAAATAAAGAAATTATATATTAAATTTTACCTTCTTCTCAAAGGCTAGGCCTGGATCATTAATTATATCTCTCATGAAACGCATCACGTAATAGCCACACTCTACATTTGTTGGTTGTCTAGGAGTGCCTTGTAGATTTTTCCATATGGGTGATTTACGTGATGATTGTTTCCCTGTCTGAGAGTTATACATTTTGATTGAACTGTTTCAAGAAAACAAAAAGTGTTAATGACAAAACTAAAAATCAGCATCAAAATTATTAACCATCATGGTAAATAAGTGAAGACGACAGTGTTGTAAAACAAATGACGTTGTAGTTTATTTAATATGTCGGAAAATAAGAACCGTCGTTGTGTTTCATTCTAACGTCGGTGATGAATAAAAACGACATATAACCAAAGTTAATTTTAAATGAAAGTTTAACAGAAAAAATTAAAAAGTCCTAAAATTAAAAACAGAATCGACGTGGTATTTCAATTAAGACGACGGTTGCAAGAAAATACTGACGTCGTAAATGATTGAAAACGTCGGTTATAATATACCGTCGTTGTGTTTTCACTACAACATCGGTAAAATGCAGACATAAAAAAATCATAGGTTTTCATTAATAAACTTACGTATGCACTATATTTCTCATGTCCTCGTTAACAAAGCAGTTTGGCAATGAATTCATGTAATAGACAGTCTCCTTAAATGGTCTCACAATTATTAACAATCAATGACCCCTACACAAAATTATCCATATATATTAAATATATTACAAAAATATATATTACAAGGAACCAAGTATAGAAAGGGACTAACCCTGGATTATAAGGCACCAAGTAAAATTGATCCCCATCTGCCTTTTTCAGGCTTTCTGAGAGATGTTTTGAGAGGTGAGATAACGTTCCAGATTGAGAGCTAACTTGTCCAGGGTCCACGAGGCCAACAAGGTTTACCATATTTGCCATTTTTAAATAGTCAAATAGGTACCTAATTAAATATATGAAATTTAATTAAATGAGATTTTAATTTAAAAGAAAGAAAAGGTAAAAAAAACAAAATTGGATTTCTAGAATTACCTCATGTATATTGCAATCACTGTGGCTCCAATCTCAACCATGGAAGCAAACTGTAAAATGTCTTCACCCAAGAGCCAGGTTTCATGATCAGTGCCAAACATTTCCTCAGGCATGTGAACTCTAATGGTCTCGTTAGTAGGCTTCAACTTGGTCTCGACATATTGGCATAGGGCTAACAGAGGAGCTGGCATGTCAAGCTTTGAGAAATCCTGTAACAAGAAATAAAAGTTAGTGTGTTCATGAAGTAAAATAAATGTCTCCAACAAATCAACAAAACCGATGTGGTATATAATATCAACGACAGTTTCTAGAACATACTGACAGGGTAAAGGTTATAGACAACGGTAAATACATAACAGTCGTTGTGTAAACATTATAATGTCGCTACACAATAGAAAGGTCGTCTAGGTTAAACTAGACGACGGGTTTTAAAATAAACACCGATGTCTATTTAAAATTTAAAATTCAAAAAAATCAAATGTCAGAGATTTTACCGTTTGATCTTGACGGTTTGCAGCAGCATCAGCATCATTCGTGGGATTGTCTTCATCCAATTCAAGGACTCTCACATTAGAGCAGCTTGCTTTGTCAGACATTGGATTTTTTGGGCTTTGCTCTGGAGGAATTGGAGGAATTTGAGTAATTGGTGTAGTTGGTGTAGTTGGAATTTTACTGAGCAAGTTGGGATCAAAATTGGGAATTAGTTGACTGAATTGTTTTGACATAATTTCCCTCTCTGCTCTGACTGCCTCCATAACACTTTCCTTTGCCCTGGCCTCCATCCTTTTGGTTTCCTCTTTCACTGCTGCCATAACACTTTCCTTCAATTTGTCAGCAAATTTTACTCTCTGCTGTCTCGGCAAATTGAAGAATTGAGTTGGGGAAACTGCAGCTCCAACACCTCTAACCCTTCCACCATGCTCAGGGGGACAGTCAGAGTGCTCTCGGAGATTTTTTTTTCAAATCATCCTAAAAGTGAGAGAGAATGTCCGTGAGTGAACATATAGTAAAACTAATCAAATTAATAAATTAATAAAAATATTAACCAACGTGGTAAAGAGGTTAAAACGACGGTTTATTTTAAAAACATACGCAGAAAATAATTTAATACGTCATCCCAAAACTACCGTCATTTTGTATATATTAAAATGTTGATCCATGAAATAACCGTTGTTTATTTGACATCATAGATGAAAACACTTAACCAAAATATTCACTGATCCATAAATAGTGTACAAACCAATTGCAGAGAAATAGAGAGGGAGAGAGAGTGTGTGCATGTGAATATGAAGAAAGTTCAAAATTTAATTTAAAAAACATAATACAGAAACACAAAACCGTCGTTGTAATTCAATGCAGACGTCGGTTTTATAAAAATACTGATGTTATATATATTTTTAAAGATGATGATTAAAAACCGTCGGTCTAACAATGTCTGAATGAAAAATAAAACCTCTGTTTTACAAGTTTAGAACAGAGTCAATGAAACTTACGATTAATTTTGCCTTCTCTGCAACCTTTGGATCAGAGATGTTTCCCTGTTTATCTTCTCTTGCCTTCTTCCATAGTAGAGATCGATCGATTTCTTCACCAAGTATGGTTTCTTCCAATTGATCCTCCAAACCAACATACCCTTTTCGAGACAACCTATGGTTGTACTCGCATTTCTCCCTTCTCTGTGACTGCTCAGAATGCACAGCCTCAAAATCTGGGCATAACCTTGAAGCTACAAAGGCATCCCATTCAGATTTTTCTATGAAGTTATAAAGCTGAGGGCACTCTTTTAACTTCTCCTTCTCATTTGCGAATGGAAGGATAAACTGCCTAGTTAAGGTAGACTTAAAATCCTTCCATTTTTTGGCGGTAGACGACAGCACCATCTTCTTGCCCACTTCCCCAACAACATAAGCCATTTGAACAGTTTCCCAAATCTGCTCCTTCAGGTCCTTGGGCAATTGAGTCCATTTCTTGTCCACAAGAGAGACTCTGGTGCATGCCAAAACACCAATGTAACTCTGCATCTCAATAGCAGCCTTGCCATGTGGTCTGCCACTTTTATTGTACTCAACCACAGGCTTAATCTTCTGGATTTTCTTCTTCACAACACGGCTCATTGTGTTGATACCGCAAGTAGATTTTGTCACTTCATCGAATGTTGCAGAGCTTGTGATAGGACCCAACCCAAATTCCACTTTGGAATCCGAGCCGAACCCTGTGAGTGTACGACACCTGGCTAATGCTGGGCACAAAAGACTAACTTGCCCTTTTAACTGAAATTAAATGAAATTCAAGTGCGACTTCTATCGAAAATTCGGCAGAGCCTCCCCTGTAAACTAAACATTTCCCAAAAATATTCCACCTGGCTCGACGGATTTCGTGGCCGTAATCGCCGGAAAATACAAAAATACCGCCGAAAAAAGCCTAACCCTTTCTTAGCTTCGATTCGAGCTCATCCTTAGCCAATTGGATCGGGTCTTTGGGGTTTTATAGAGGAGGACGAGATGAACACTTTTGTGAAGGTGGCATGGCCATTCGGTGAACAATAACGTCGATTTTGTGGCTTGGAAGTCGAACAGTCACTGTTGCTACTGTTGCTACAGTGACTGTCGAAAAACAAAGAAGAAAAATGGCTAAAGCTGCTGGGGGAGGAAGAAGGAGAGAAAAATAAAAAGAGTTCGGGTATTGTAGCAGATACTATAGCAATAAGAAATTTTAAAATTCCCTTTACGTCCTTTACGTTTCTTGACCTTTCCTCCTTCGTTACAACTCGGAATTGGGAGTGCCGCGTGTCCACGAACTCGTATCGTCGAGCTCTACGCGATGGTATCACCTAAATCTCCAAATTCCTCCCCAGTCAAAAAGTCAACTTTAAACCTAATAAAATATTCTAGAGGTATAATTGTCTTTTCTCAGAATAAATTATTAATTAAAAATTAATTAAAGACCGGGTTATTATAGCTTGGGTCTTTCTCGGAAGATGAAGTAAATCTCATCTTCTTTGGGGGATTGCTTGGAAGAGATTGTGCCTTTGAAATTGCAATGTCCTTGCCTTGACCTTTTGATGCCTGAGAATCCTTACTTTGAGATTTCGAAACCATGCTTACAATGAAAAACAAACTGCAAGAAAAATGACGATTAGGTAAAATACATACATAAAATGAAAGTTCTGACGACGGAAAAAAAACAGAACCGTCATGCTAATCTACAGAAACGTGGATGTGTTAATACGACGTGGTCATTAACTTAAAACGAGGGTAATTAAATAAAACCGTCGTCGTATTATAAATTCATAAAAAAAAACCGCCCAATTTTCTCTCTCCCAGTTCGTTTCAAGTCAGACAACAGTTTTTTCTTTCAAACGTCATATTTATTAACACACCACGTCGGTTATTATGAACATCCGTGCTATTGAAATAGCATGAATTTAATTACCGTCTTGGTGTGTCAACAAAAACGTCAAATTCGAGAAAAACCTGTCGTCCTCACATGACCTGTGAGTGCGAACATTGAAAGATTTGGCATCTTCAAACCTAAGTCTTGTTTCAAACATCAGTGAGACTCGTTCCTTAAATAAAAAACACTTCAAATGAAGAAAAAAACGGAGTGATAAGGTTTTCAAAGTTTCCTTCGGAATCAAATTTTGGAGACGAAGACAAGGAAGAACATAGAAGTTGAGAGGGAAACTGTGAATAAAAAACGCAGCTTTTCGGAAATGAGAGGGAAACTGAGAGAAAACTGAAAATTTTAGAGAGAATGTAAAAGTTTAGGTTAGGTGACCAAAAAGTTTATATAGTGTCCCAAAGATAAATACAACGACGGTGGTCATAAAAACCGCCCTAGTATGTTGTTACCACGACATTAAAATAATATAAACCAACGTGGTTAGTAAAAAGCCTTTTGAGTTTTTGTATTCCGAAAACGACGTGGTTAGTTGGGTGCTACACGTCAAAAGTTTACTTTTGAATAAGTGATTTTATAAGCTCCCACGTCATTTTTTTTATATGAAACCAACGTGGTTTTCTAAAACCTTGTTGCCTTTAGTTTAAGCACCGACGTTGTTTCTATGTTTAATACGTCATCCTTGTTTCAAGAACCGACATGGATTCCTTTGTTAAACAGCGTTAGGTTTAATATAACCGACATGGATATGAAATTTTTTTTATAAATTGAGTTTTTTTTCCACGATTTCTTTCATTTTCAATTTTCAATTAGGGTTCCAACTTCTTCTTGCCATCTGTCTCACCTCTTAGGAGGCAATTGTTTGGATGTTGGTGTGTGTGTATGTTTGTGTATCTGATTCACAAACATACATACATCATCAATATCTAAAATATTGTCTCTCTGAATGCAAATCTGTGGCTGCCGTCGTCAAATTTTAGAGGCAATTGCTTGGATGTTGATGTGTGTGTGCGTTTGTGTATCTAAAAGACACAAGCACACACACATCATCAACTTCCAAAAAATTGCCTTTCTAAATGCAAATATGTGGTTGCCGTCGTCAAATTTTAGAGGTAAATTTTTGGATGTTGATGTGTATGTGCCTTTGTATATGTCATCAACCTCTAAAATATTGTCTTTCTCTGGTCCAATTATGATGAGGAACAGAGTTCCATCTAGTAAGATTTCGTAACTCTTGGGATCTCAAATCTGATTCTAACGACTGTTTTCTATATAAACCGTCGTGATTATTCTCAATTCTTGTCATTAAGTTGATCTACAGACGAGGATAACAAAATCCAAGAAATAAAAATTTTTAAAAAAAAATTACTATTAAGACAACGGTTTAGATATAAGGTCAGACGTATAAAGTGAATAAATACGACGGTAATTTTAACTTCATGACGTATCTCTTGGATCTCAGAAAAATCTATTATGTTGGCGGTTTTCTATATAAACCATCGTGGTTATTCTCAATTCTTGTCATTAAGTTGGTCTACCGTCGTAGGATACCAAAATCAAAGAAATAATTAGTAAAAAATAATGCAATTAAGACGACCGTTTAGGTATAAGGGTAGACGTATAAAATAAATAAATACGACGGTAATTTTCACTTCACAACGTGGTAAATTTTATTATACGGCGTTAATTGTACAAACCAACGTGGTTAGAGTTAAAGATACCGTCGTAGTATGGTACAAGAAATAAGTCGATAAATTTATTTTTGCCGTCGTTGTACATTTATTTAAGACGGCGGTATTTTGTAATTTACCGCCGTGGATTCTTTTGAAATTATGCGACGCGGGATACGAAAACTTGGTCGTGGTTATTACAGAGTAAAAACGGCGGCTGTTTCTTTAAACCGTTGTCTTTACTTTCTACGTCGGTTTATTCATACCTTCTGCCGTTGTTTGTGGGCTCAGATTTTACTCTAAGGAAAACCTTTTTCAATAAGACGTCACTTTTTAAATTAGGTGTGTCGTTTTTTAAAAACAACCATTGGAATCCCCCTTTTTTAGGTGTTTAAGTTAATTTTACACAGCGGTTTTATAAAACCATCGTCTTTTCAAACACAACAACGGTTTTATGTTAAACTGTCGTTTTTTTCTAGTCGTCTTTTTCACTTTTTGTAGTAGTGATGGTTCATCTAGTAGTACATCGTGTTAGAGAAGTTCGTCTATGTGGCCCAATATATTTTATATGGATGTATCCGTTTGAAAGGTATATGAAAGTGCTAAAAGGGTATGTTCAGAACTGTACTCGTCCAGAAGGTTGCATTACTGAGTAGTATATAGCTGAAGAAGCTGTAGAGTTTTGCACCGATCATTTATCTGATGTTAGTACAATTGGAGTGCCTTCAAGCCAGAAGATGGAAGTTTCGAAGCCATTATTTGGTTGCACAGTAAGCTTAGTTGATCGGGACTTGTTGAACCAAGCACATCTATATGTCTTGGAGAATACGGAAGAAGTCCTACCTTATATCGAGTACGTATGACTTTTATTTTTCATATGAAGCCATTTTAAATATTATCTACAAGGGACCATAATGCTTGATTCTTTTCGTGTCAATGTAGGGAAAATATGATCCACATCAAGACCACTTATCCAAAATTTAGAAAGAGAACAAAGTGGCTGCAAGATAAACACAATAGCACTTTCATTCAATGGCTCCACTTTAAGGTATATATATATATGTTATTGAATGACATGCATATTCAACTTTTAATTTTCTTCCATTCTATATGTTAGATTGAATTAAGATATATATGATTAATTTGCAGGTTCAAAGTGAACTTAATGGGAAAGAGCATAATGGCGTATCAGAAAATTTGAAGAGGCTAGCAGCTTGTCCAAGCATGGCAGTGCCATCATATAGGAGCTATCTTATTAATGGAGTTAAATTTAACACCAAGGCACAAGATGATGTGCGAACTGTCCAAAATAGTGGAGTTTATTTACTTGCACATACTATGCAAGTTGCTAGTGCCAAGGATAAAAACCTTATTGTCTCCAATATGGGTTTTTATGGTGTTATTCAAGAAATTTGGGACCTTGACTACCAAAAGTTTAGAATCCCAATTTTGAGGTGTGATTGGATAGATAACACTTCGGGCCTTGTAGTCGACGAACTTGGATTTACCCTTGTAGATCTGAGTAAAATTGGACATAGGAATGACCAATTTGTTATGGCTTCTCAAGTCAAACAAGTATTTTATGTTGACGACCCAATGCATCGTGGTTGGTCGGTAATGTTATCAATGCCTAATAGAGAATATAATGATGTTATTGGTGATGATGTGCTAGGTGATACTAGAATTGATTGTGAGTCATTTACTAGAGGGATACCAAATGTTGACACATTTGATGACCTAATGGGTGAGTTTCGGAATGAAAATATTAGAGATGGGTGTGAAGATATATGGATTGATTGATTGTTGTAATGTATGACATTAGTTATTCAGTTAATTGTATGACATAAATTAATATTTTTGTACATCATTTTAATTCTGATCACATTTTCATTATGCAGGCTTTGGGCACGACAAATCAAAAATTAAAAAAGCTGGGTTAAAGCTGTAAAGTACGACGGTCCAGTAAAAAAATGGGAACACAAAGGTCTAAAATAAAAACAACATCGGGTTTTAAAAAGGCAAAAGACCGTTAAACAAAAAAACAGAGATCTGAAAAAGAAATCAAGTCCGTTTGCTTAAAATAAACCGTCGTCTAAAGCACGAAATAAATGCCGTTCAGTTCCATTAACTGTCGTGACAGATGTTCTGCACGTTTGCTAGTTTAAAACAACTGACGTCTCCGACCATATATAAGTCAAGGAAGGTTAAACAAGTGACTTTTAAAAGGACAACCACGTCATTATGTAATCAAAACCAACGTGGTAAACAATTACAACGTCATGCAAGTGGAACTCTAGACGTAGTGAAATAATTAATCACGTCCATTATTTTAATGCCACGGACATTGAATATATAATCCACGTCGGTTGTTTTCCTATCCACGCCTTCAATATTATTTATAACAGCATCCTTTGACAAAAACCGACGTGGGGTACAATTTTGTACATTGATAACGAGTAATATTATGTCATTTTAAATCTTTTAGACGTCGGTTATTCAGAAAAAGTGACGTCTAACTCTATCAAAGAGCCTTCTTTATACAATTTACACGACGGTTATAGTAAGAAACAGACGTGGAATAGGCTTAACACGTCGGTTTTTATTATATTTCGCAATGTGGATAATTACATAAGCGTCGGTGATGCCAGGTGCAAGACATGGTTATGTCATGTTACGGCGGTTATTGAGAGACAAATGACATTTAATACTCTTTAAACGTCTATTGGTTTGTGTGCACATCGTCGTTTATATTTTAGACGTCGGTTTCTTTGTTTGTTAAACGTAGTATAAATTAACCACGACGGTTTCTAGCTTATCCAAGTCCTTTCCTTCATTTAGGGACATGAATAATTATCTGTACGTCAGTTCTTCTTTTGATCTTGACATGTAACACCCTTTAGATGTCTCGGTTTTCAAAAAACCGTCGTCTAATGTTGTCGAAGATTTCATTTTAGGCTAATTATTTAGTAATTACACATCGGTTCGTAATAAATCTAGACGTTGAATGCCTTAACGACGTCGGGTATTAACCATCGTTGTTTTTTGTACAAAAAATGGCAGTCGATTTCACGACGGTTGGAAAACCTTCTAGACAACAGTGGTTTCCCGTCTATTTCGATTTTTGTAGTAGTGAGGGCTCGTCCTTCTTTCTTGGATCCATCTTAAAACTTTCTTGAAAACTAAACAATAGGAGGCAGAAAGAGAATAGGAAGAGTAGTGACTGGAAAACATTAGTATTTAATTGATTTGTTATTTCTTGACAACTATATAAGCCAAAATGAAGGGAGAATGAATTGAAGAGAACCAATGTATTATTTGTCTTAACTGTCTACAATACTCGGAAGAGTTTTGGCGCCAAACAAAAGATTCTCTTACAAACTAACACACGTGTACCCCTGCAGGTTGACAATTGGCGAATACTATTTGACAAGTCAGCAAATTTGAAGCAATTAGGCGATTCTAGCTATTCAAAATGTGTTAGTACCTTTATTTCTTTCTTCTTGTTCTTCTTTTATGTGTAAGTGTTGGCGGAACAATATAAATATGAATTTAGATTATAATAATTCTCAATAAAATTGTAATCATCAAATAATAACAAATTTATATGAAATTAATGTAATTATCAACAAACACAAATGTGTAGAAATACTGAGAACTTTAGCGATTGAGGCTTGCAAGAATTGCATTGTCCTAAAGACAAATTTCGCCCCTGCTCTTGTGTTCGCAGTTCTTTTAGCGTCTATCTCCCAGTATTCAACAATGGATAATCCTAAATTGAAGCACTTCAATTTAAGACTCTGACGAACCAATTATATATTTGTACTCTCATCAAGAGACTTAAGAAGGAAACTTGAAGATTGATACTCTTAGCAATGCATGAGTGGGGAAAAACTCCTTATTTGTAAAGAAGATGGTAATGAGCTTATATAGAACCCATCAGGTATCCACTAATAGATGCAACTTTTGAAAGCAAAATATGCTTCTATATTTGATAACCGCATTCAACAAAGCAATTGCTTTTGAATGCTAACAAGTAATATCAATTACATTTGAAACAATGCAACTGTTAAAGCAAAACTGACTCTTGTAATTTTTTTCACTCAACCATAAATTTAAATATTATAATATTCAATTAATATTATAATTATCTAATTTCCAACAGTAAGTAGGGACTCCACTTTGTTTTCTATCAACTCGAAACATCTGTTTTTCATTTCTTCATTCATAGAACATTATTACAAAAGCTTAGATAAATTTGAAACCTTTAACACTTCTTTGTGACAAAGAAAATGATTGAATATGGTGCTTCCCAAAAACACTATGACCACCATATAATCAAATGGTCAAATGGTTTTTTATTCGAACTATTTTTTGTAGAGATAATATTGGAGGGAAGACATCAAAAGTAAACGGTTCTGATCATTACAAAACAATGCAAGTTGATAAATATGTTTACCATTAGTTATTGCACTACTATTTTCTTCAAAAATCTCGTTTGAGACTTGTGGGGGTCTTTTTGTTCCAGCAGCCTGACGAATGGGCTTGGGTTGCCGTAAGAAGAAAACGAACAGAAATTCCCCAAGTATCAAAGTTCAGAGACCAGGCTCCCAAAAGAGTTTTTGAAGAGATTGATGCGACTCTAGAAAAACACTCTCAAGTTCTTTTCACCAATAGCCAAATAAACATGATAGATTGATTAATGGCTTAGCATGAGGAGCTTGTGGCATGGGAGCAAAACCATCATGAGTTTAGCATGAACAGAGAGAAATAAGCGTGAGTTTCTTACAGTGAACAAAGGGTTAAAGTGGAACAGAGGAAGATTAGACAGATTTCTTTCTTAGAGAAAGGAGAAAACAAACGAGGAAGAAGATTGGGTGGCTTGAGTAAAATTCCCAGTTTGCTTGACAAAGCTTGGTCAAGCTCTGGAGGATGATTTTCTGAGTAGAAGAAGCTCTCTTTTATAGACTTGAAGAACCCTAATTTCGTCTAACTTTTCCTTTCCCTTTTCATCGTTTCTTCCTACTTGATCTAATTTGGTGAAATTCTCCTATCCAAGGTGCATGGGTAAGGAACCCTTTGTGGTTCCAAGGGTTTGACGCAGCTGGACCTCCCCATGAGGGTGAGGCGCCGCTTGCTTTCCTCCTTGGTTTTCCAAGTGAAGCTGGTAATGGAAAAGAAGATGGGTAGAGCTTTTTGTCCGATGGGTATCCTTCTTGCTCGTATGAATTTCCTTTGGTTTTACGTTGGCTCATGTTGACTCTGTCATAGAACTTTGGGCAAAGGCTGAACACACTTGCTAGATATTTTGTAGAGCACTGGGCTGGGCTTTTCCCAAGGTTTTGGGTTAGTGATACTCTATTCTACAGCAACCAGTTAGCTTGTTTTCGTCAAGCTGCTGGAACCAGTTTGCCTGTTGCATTTTTAACAAAGTATTTGGATGCTCTAACTAACATAGGGTTTCCTAAGCAAACTACTGTATTCTCTAAGGCATTGAGTCATGTTCTCTCTCTCTCATGCTAGCCCATGTGTTTGGGCCCAAGAAATGGGCTTGAGTTTTGGGGCTCCCAAGCAGCCCAAAACTTCCATTTCTTGGCTCATCAATGGGCCTCATGAAAGCTTGTTACCATCCATACCACAACCCACTCAAGCAAGCCCCGGGCATTTGCATGGCTTGGGCCCACTTAAGCTTGTAGCGTGGTTGGGTGTGAAATAATAATTTCCTGCTTAGCATGGCATGTCAATCGGCGTGTTTTAATTTTATCATCCTTGAATAGAGGCATGATGCTTGACGGGGTAATTAGCATGGGCTCGTAGAGTTAGTGCTTATTTCAACTCTTAGCATGAGAGATTGCATATTTATTTGGCATGACATGTGGTCGTGGCTTGTGCAAGCATGAATGAGGAATTTTGCATGCTCCGAACCGAGTCTTTTTCTTAATAAGGCATTATGTTGGGCCGATAATTTATTTGGGTCCAACCCTGGATTTTTGGGCCTCAACAAGACTATTTCTCTAAGAAGCACTTTGGCTTATTATACAAACGTGCAAATTTTCATAATCCTTGATTTTTGGGAAGGCACAGCTTACCCCAAGCTTTCCAATGGATCTTAAATCGCTGTTGATTTCTTCGCAGGTGGCAGCTGGGAGCTTGAAACATGACATAGGATGAGGCGATAAGCTGGAATTGCAGTAGCCACTGCTTTCACTAGCACCTCTTTGCCCGCCATTGACAGATAGAATTGTTTCCATCCCTCAATGTTTTGTCCGACTCACTCTCTAATGCAGCTGACTTCCTCTTTCTTTGATCGACCCTAAATGGCGGGGAGACCAAGATATTTGTCTGGTGTCCTTGATGTTTGTTTATTCAGTCAGGGCATTTTTTGAATTTACCGAAGATGTAACTGAATTTTTGGATTTATTTAGTGAGGAATGGTATCTACCTTCCCTCTTAGGCTCTTCACTACTTTCTACCACCTTCTCCCTCTATAACGTTCTCTTATCAATACTAACAGTTTTCCTAAACTGCCTAACAAGAGTAACAATATCTCAACAGCTTTACTCTTTAATATTCTGACATGTGGCAGCACTAGGACCATTGATAAGCAGAAGGTGCCATCCAAAGCAAAGAGTTCCACAATGCAGAACCTGTAGCATCTTGGAGAAGTGAGCATGAAAACCTGAAGATGTCTGAGTCTAGGCAATGGTGGAGGGAGGGCCTTTCTCAAAGTTTCTGGAAAGATGAAAACCTACACTGTCGTCCATGCACAAGAAAAAAGAAAGGTGAACTGGTAAGAATTAATGGCAGAAACTGAGAAAGGGATCAAAATATATCAAGCAGTAAGTATGGTACGTACCTCAGCATCATAAATAAATAGGCTATTTGTTCGGAGCAATCAAATTTTAGAAGATAATCTCTTAGAGTAGGGAAATGCTTCTCGTCCAGAAGTCTGAATGTAGGCCCAGCAATCAAATTTTAAAAGATAAGGAAATTAGATCTGGTGCATTGATTTTGGCCTTCACGCCATATTGGTATCCACACATTATGTAGTTACTTAGGAGGAGCTCAGCATAGATATATTAAAGGTTGCGGGATACACACGAGATAATACTCTTCTGGCACCGATTTTCTCTACGGTATGTAAAAGATTGCTGGTACTTGTTCATGTCACATACTCCAACTTTAAGCTAGTTACAGATTTTTCATTAAAAAAAAAGTCTCCAAGGCTAAGGAGTAGTAGTCTAACAGAACTTTAATTAGTAAGGTTCCTATTGAACTCTTTGTACGCTTCTCTCAACTGCAAAATCCCACCATTTATTGACTCTAGTTTCATAGTCTTTAGTTACCTCATGTGAAGCGTGAGTTAATCTAAGTCGACCTTGTCTTCCTTACGAAATTCCAAACACCTTTCCACCAAGTTGATGAACTTTGAACTGGGGTGATCATCAAGGCTGTCTTGCACGCCCTCGTCAAAATCTAATACGGGGACTGAAGACCACACGTCTACCCATTGGAAAGAAAACCCATTGGAAGGAGTAGGATGATTCGGTGAATAACAAGGTCAGGTAAGTGACGCCACTGGCACTGCCCTATTTTTTCCATGGCTATGGCGTTTTGGTCATCTCGATCTTCCTTCATTTCATCATGTTGCTTTCTTAGTTTTTTTCTTTTTCACCACCACTTGAAGAAGCGTCGTCGTGGCCACACCTAACACCGCATCCATAATAGATCTGGGAAAAATATGATTTACAGTGATCAACCTGCAGATAAGAGCAAACAAATAAACGAAAACAAAAAAACCATGCCAAATAACAGTTGGGTGATTTATAGCAACCCCCATCAACTACGATGTAGAGCCAAATTTAGAGAACATGAGTAGTGTTAGAGAGCGGGTTTTGGGAGAATGATTTTGATTGAGGACATAGACTTATGCTCTTGTAAATAAAGAACTTTTCCAACTCAGGGAAGTACGAGTTCTGGAAGGGAAGTACGAGTATTGGAAGTAACTCCCAAGGTAACAATAGTCGAACCTTCAACTCTTCCGACTTACATTCATATTTTAGCTGTATAATTGACTTTGGTGCCACTAATCGTATGACCTTTGATTCCCGAAACTTTACGTATCATACCTCACCTCACTTGAGCAGTGTGGCCAATGCTAATGGTGACTCAAGTCCTGTTACAGGCACAGGAACAGTGGAATTAACTCCTCTCTCCCTACATCATTGCTTACTTGTGCCTTCTCTCCCCAATAACATCTTGTCTGTTGGACAAGTCAATGAGCAACTTAATTGTTTTGTACTAATGTACCCGTTTTTTTGTCTTCTTCAAGATAGTCTCACGAAGGAAATCATTGGCCGTGCTACTAAGAGAGGCGGATTGTATTATATTAATGATATTTGTCAAGGCCGCGTTCATCTTACCAAAGGTTCTGTCAAAGATCGTCGACAACGCATTCTACTGTGACATTCTCGTTTAGAACATCCATCTTTTGGCTACCAAAGACGTTTTATGCCATCTTTATTTTCTGGTTTTAGTCTTGAGGATTTTCAGTGTAATACTTGTGTGTTGGTCAAGAGTCATCGTGTTCACTTTTCTTTTGAGTTTCAATAAAAGTGTGTTCCCATTTGAATTAATTCACTCTTATGTTTGGGGCCCTTCCCTTGTTTCTACTTTTACTGGCATTTGTTGGTTTGTCACTTTAACCGATGATTGTACCCGGATGACATGGCTTTAATTAATGAAATCGAAAGGTGAGGTGCTGGATATGTTCTAGAAATTTCACGGGATAGTGTCTACTTAGTTCTCTACGAAGATTAAGATTCTACGATTTGATAATGGTGGTGAGTTTGTTAATCATGAAATATCTAGGATATAGATAGCAAGGGGGACATTGGCGAAAAAAAAAGTTCATACCCTTAATTTTCTATAATTTTTTTTAAAAAAAATTCAATATGGGGTAAATTGAAAATTAGCTACAAGTTCAGGGGCAATTTACCAGTTTAGCCTCACCACAATGAACCATAAGCCCATACAAAGCCCACAAACCCAACATAACCAAAACTCTAAAGCAACTCATGAGCCTAAATGAACCCTATCACCACCACCTAAAGAAGTGTCGTCGCAGCCACACCCAACACCTCATCCATAACAAATCTAGGAAAAATATGATTTATAGCGATCAAAATGCACATAAGAGCGAACAAAATAAACACAAACCCACGTGGATGTATGTTTGTTAAAAAAAAAAAAAAAAAAAAAAAAAAAAAAAAAAAAAAAAAAATTGATTTGTAGCAACCCCCATCAAATACGATGTAGAACCAAAGTTAGAGAACATGAGTAGTGTTAGAGAGCGTATTTTGGAAGAATGATTTGATTGAGAACATAACCCAAAAGGGCTGATGGGGAACTTCAATTTCCGCATGGCTCAGAAGAAATCACCACGAAGGGCTTCTTATCCAAAATGTCTAATGCACTTACTCACTACCCCAAAAGGAAAAGACGAGATGAGAGGAAGGGGAGGAGGGGCAATGATGCTTCTTCCTCCTCCCCCTCTATGGTATGGATTTTGTCTTTAGGACTTACACATGGAGAGAACGGCTAGGTCAAAACTTCACTCTCTACATAGTCTATGAAATTACATAATTAGGATACTATTTGCCTCCTTACCGGTAAGGAAATACTCATCCTTCCTACGAATCACAGTTTGACACATATGCTAAAATAATTCATCAAAAACACAAAAAGAAAAACTTATGTACACATGTCACACTGTTATTGGCAGGAATGTAGAAACTCATACTTATCACATAGGTCACTACATGTGGGCCACACATAATATTTATAAAATATTCTTATAAACTTCCTTCTCTCTGAGAGCATCTCCAACTGATATGTCAATGTCACGCCCAGAATTTCCAACAACAAATAAAATGCTAAGTTATTACAGACAAAACGATCCAGGACGTGAAGTTCAAAACCTTCAACAAATGTACAAGGAATTGTTTTTCTTTTTTCATAATACAATACCACATGTTCCGAACCATAATGTCAATACTGACTCAATCTTCCAAGTCAAATATTACATTACAACATATATAATAAATTGAACAATCAACATATTTCATATTCTACTCCTCAAAGCTTAATACACACAAGAGAAGTCTAAACACACCAACACTCTCAAACCAAACTTTGTACATTGCAAGTACACATTCTGCTTTCTGCTCCTTAAGAAGTCATGGGTTCCTATTCCCTGCAAGATTAGTCCTCACACCATCGAATAGTGTATCAGGTTCACTAAAGAACAAACTCAGTAAGCTTTTTAAAGCTCGTATAAGTAAACCACAACCAACATTATAAATATGTCATTTACACATAATATATATAACACATGCACTTTCATTAGCATACCAAAATCCTTGTATAACCAAGGTAATCATACTTAATCATCTCATCACAATCACAATTCTTTTAATTTATAAGAATTGTTCGGTCCTCAGTTGACCCAAAACGTGTTTCAAATCCGTTAGAAACACAACCCATAAATGTCACTCTTGGACAACAGATGTGAGAATACACTCGACTCTCTCAACTCACAAACACCTACACCATCCGAAATGGTAAGATGCATATTCACGAATGTGCGTTGAAGCCATCAAGTAACTATGTGTTACCCTCATGAACATTGTAATGGTGCCAACTAGAGCTCTAAAGGGTTTGGGGCCTCGCACCCCAGGGCTTCAATCCCTAATTACTTGCCACGGTCAACCACCTAAAGGATCTTTCAATTGAAGAAATCAGTGCATTCTCACATCTATCCTTCCAATTGCAACATCAACACACGCCGAAAACAATAAATATGCCTTTCCACATCAAATATTATTTTCTATCTCAAATACATCCATCATATTAATATATATATATATATAATTATATATATATATATATTTACGTGGCCATTCATTTATGAACACCACCATACAATCATAAGATAATATGGTCATTCCCCATAATACCATCCATTTTGCAAAAACCTGCAAACTCATTTAAAATCAACATGTTTAATTGATTTTAAGCTCACACAAAACAGTTTCTCAAAAACCACAACAACATGTTAATTATATCCATTAACATTATCATAACCACATTATATTAAATGTAATAATATGTGATTTTACTCACAATCCATATGGTTTTACTCACCTCGCGTCCAAACTGCGTCTTCAACAACTCAACGAATCCTCAAACTCAAAACTCAACAAGCACTCTGGCCCCATAATCCTCAATGAGCAACTCAAACTCCAACAGTACCTAAGCAAAGTACATAACTCAACTTAGCACAAAACTCTAAAATCCAATAATGATTGAGCTCCCAGCTCATCTCAACTAATAATGCACTTGCACGCAAAACGAGTCACACGTCACTCGGGACACACCTCTCATGTCACTCGCCAAAGTCACCGACCACTTCCAAAATGTCACGACCAACCACGTCGTCAACCTTATTCTCAATATCGCGCAAATCCAAGATTTCGCATCCAATTGCGAAAATGCAGGGGTCCAAAGCGATCAAATCTCGTCCAACCAACTCCAAAACTGTGACGTATATGATGTCGACATCAAAACATGACCAATGACACCCATTGTTCAAAAAGTCACTATTTGGGTCACGTGGGTCCCACATGTCCAACCGACACTCCAAAAATCATCCACAGACCCGCAACCTCGAACTTCAAATCCGATCACACAAATGGACTCTAAATAGTGTCGACATCACCCTGCATCAATTTAGGCTCGATCCAACAGTCGGATCATTCTAGATCGCGCGGTCAAATGGCGATTGCTCACCACAAACTTTGAAACATAACAACTAAAAACGGAACGTCCGATCATCAATCCGTCTGTACCAACAGACTCCTAGCAAAATCATCTACAACATACAAAAAAATGGACACGATACAATGATCCAATCATTTTCGATCAATGATCTTGATTTACGAGGCTCTGATCGTCGATCAAACGACGGAATCTCAACCCTTCGAGCACACCACCGTTCTCAACACCTCAAGTACTACAACATGCCTCAAAAACTCTGACTCAGAACCCCCACCACACGCCGCCACCGCTAGTGGTGGTTCGGGGTGCTATTCCGATGACGGACCAACCTTAGAATCACCGGTCAAGACTTATACCACAACGTCCGCAACAATGAGTAGAGCAACTTTAATTATTACCTCAAGGTCAGAGTCGAAGCGGAAGTGGCTTAGACCGCCAATTAAAGTCATTGACTTCATTATTCACGAGCCAACTTCACAGTGTCGTCGCAACTTCACCGCTACTCGGATTGCTCCGATTCTTCCAAGGTTATGGTCAAGGGATACTCATATTGTGATCTACCTGGATGGTGTCAATCACCTCCACTAGACACTGCCACAGCAGCTGTCGAAAATCGCCCTCCGATGAGCACTCAAACCTCTCCGAGCCAAAATAAAATTTCTAAAATTCCTGTTACAAATGAAACAAGAATAAGTGTACAAAATAAAATTCTTATTGATTTATCAAGTGTGTAGGTTACAATCTCTGTGGGTATTCTTTTACAAAAATAAAGGAATTTCCTCTTATTTAATCTCCAAGCGTGTGAGGTTCAAAGGTGTCAAGCACTTGATCTTGAATTGGGATTAGAAACTTCATCAAGGGCCATCAAGGCTTTATCTCAAACACGTCATGACCACGAGTAGTGTCACGTGGTGGATAGTTTTCGACTTTGGTCGTGAAGGAATCAGCACGTGTTTGTTATGCTTGGTGATTCTCCATGGGCTTGATGAAGGACTTAAGAGTCTAGGTGTTGCTTTGGATAGAGAGCTTTCTGGTTTTCCAAAGTGTGTGCCTCTCTTTCTCCAGGTCCTTTCTTCTGAATGGAAGCCTAGTATTTATAGGCAAGGAATTGGGTCTTAGTTTGGAATTCACAATCTAAATCCCTTAATTTGTGGGATTGATTTCTGATTTGATTTAATTTGAGTTAATTTATTTAATTTAGCTCGTAATTAAGTCAAAATCCTTCATGTAAGAAAATTAACTCACAATGTAGGAAAATTAACTCACAATATAGGAATGGCCAATTAAGGATAATTTATTCCTTTTTGGCATATGATTTGATTTGATTAATGAAGCTCTTAGATGCTGACATGTGTCATCTTCGGTGCTTACCTTTGTCTTGGTGAGTCGTGTCCCACGTGTATTTGTGTGGGACTCACAGCTTTTCCAAATATCTTTGACTAGTCATATTTTGAATTTTGACTATTGAATGTAAATTAGTGAATTTTTATTTCACTAAAATTTGCATGTCTACAATAATTAATTTCAAATCTCACATCTTAGAGGGGAAATTGTGTACATGCCGCTGGTTTTATTCAAATCTTTGGAGAAAAACATGTAATATCTCAGGAGCACCTACAAAACCTTCATTGTCGACTTAATACAATTTTGTTGATGTGGTTTAATCCTAGTCATAAGATTAATCAAATGGTTAAGATTCCTTTAAATGCATATAAATGCACCGATGCTAAATGTAGGGGCTCGGGATCCGTGAAAGTGTTATATAGCTCCAACAACAACAAAAGTGAAAGTGTTATTTTCACTAATTTAGAAAGGAAAAAAATTTGTTAACATTATATCATTTTTAGTTATTACACACAATCATTGCACTTTTACACAAAATTTTGCCAAACACTCATTAATTGATTTTTGCACTAGCAGCAATTTTACTATTTAGTTTACCAAATGCTAAACTGTTTTCCTTTACAGCTGATTTCTCTCGCAGTAAATCTCAAAATAATTATTTTCACAGCACAGCAATGCCAAACTGGTATACGGAATAGGCGACATGCAGACACAGGGGCTCGACAATTAAAAAAAATTATAATAATACTTATATATATTCACAAAAACAAAATATTGATGCTCCAATTTCATAATACCATATATAGTGAAATTTAAGTTTTTCAATCCTTTCAAATATAGTTTATTAATTTTATATTAATTATAATTGAATTAACACATTAGTTGATCCTGAGTATGAGTTGACATATGCTTGAAGAGTGTTTTGACCGTCTATGGGGAGTGTTTTGATGATGGACACCGCGTTAACCATTGGACACAAATGAACACTCTAACACTTGGGCTTAGTGGAGTGTCCGTGCAACATAGCATATAATCACTTAAAGTTGTTTTAAGTGATTTTATAGAAAAGCATATGAGAGGTTCTTCTTCTCAGAATCGATTAAAATAACTTCAAGTCATTATATGGAGAAACACATGAGAGGTTCTTCTCCCCATAAATGATTCTAGCCCACATAATCACTCTCAAACGAGCCCTTACTCTCCATTTAGACTAAGGAAAATAACTCAGGATTTGGCTAAAAATCGGGAATTGAAGAGGAGAGATTGATATTTCCATTGTTTGGCAACTTAAGCATTAAAATTATTAAATGATGTGCGGAAAAAAATCATGGAAATTGAGGATCAAGATTTCTAAGTTTAATTTCCACCAAAAGCTGCATCATTTCGCAATTTCTGTCATTTACAAAATTCGACATACATAAATTCAGACACTGAAATTATTAATTGCCAAAAATTTAAACGATGAGAATCTAAATTCCATCATTTAAGAATTCTATGCAATTTTCAATTCCTTCATCCGATTGGAGAGTAATGGCATGTTTACTAATCCATAATTGGATTAGGAGGAATTGAATTGATGAGGAGTTGGATTGAGGAGAATTAGATTCCGGATTCATAATGAAGTTGTTTACTAAACCATATGAATTGATGGGAGTTAGATTCTGAATTCTTATTGAAGTTGTTTACTAAACCATATGGAATTGGAATTGGAGTGGTATTAATTACTAAAATGTCCTAATTTTTGGGTTAAAGTAGATGGCATATTTGGAATTTTGAAAATTGTGTAAAGATATAATAGGTAAAAAAGATGAATTCCTAATGAGTGAATTCTCCAGGAATTAGAATACCTCCTCCCATTCCGGAATTGAATTCCTCCAAAATTAGGAATTCAATTCCTAATTTTGTGTGGGGCCCTCTTACTTTTCAATTCATTGATGTGAAGTAAACAAAGGAATTCTCCATAGGCGGAATTCAATCCCTAATGAGAATTCCAATTCCTGATTAATAAACAAATTATAAATGTTTTAAACTAACTTTGTTATATCCAAACAAAATAATAATCAAATTAAATCTTACCAAACGTTTCTATTGATGTGTCCCTTCATCTTCACCAATATTACGACTTAGAATTATAGATCTGTATATTCCTATACTTTTTGCTCCATGCCCATGAAGCTGTGCGGAAAAGCTATAACTCTCCAGATAGCCATCATTCTTCCTTTTTATGCGGAAAAGCTCTTGTTAATATGAGGTAATAATGGCCTTCTTTTGGGTAGGGTTCTCTGGCTTCTTAATTTCTGGTTAAACGTATTTTGATTTTCATTCACAAGGGGTTTTTAGTAATGATATTAACATCATCAAGATGTTAAAAAGTGACAATATATACATAAATAAAACAGAGATTCTTGTGTTTTCCTGAAAAAATGTAAACTAAAATCATAGAAATTTTCCAGCAGAGTCAAAAATCCTTGCAAGGAAGTGTACAAAAACCCAAAGTAAATCAGAAAAATCAAAACTAGAAATTAAGGAGACAGAGAGAGAGAGAGAGAGAGAGAGAGAGAGAGAGAGAGAGAGGTAAGAAGAAAGAAGTTCAACATTGGCTTCATATTATAATGAACTCTTCAACGAAAGTGATAAAAGGAAGGGAGAAGAAGGTTAAAGAGTTTTGAAGGGGTGTGGGGGGAAGGGGTTGCTTCAATGGACAGAAGGGTAAGTTCTTCCTGAAAAGTGAAGGTTAACTAGCTTTTCAAAAATGTCAAATCACCATACATAAGCTATAACTCTCTCACTCAATATCCATGTATAACTTGTCAATTGCGTTATATGATGGCATGATGTAAGGGATTATCGCTTAGTTTTCACTCTTCTAATTAAGCTCTCTTCTCTTTTATGAAAATAACTCTTCTAATTAAGTTTCATTATTAGTTTTAGTCCACTCATTTTTTTCACAGAAATTGACCCAATAAAAGAAAGCCCAAAAGCTAAACACCAAAAGGCACTCTCAAGTCTCAAGTCTCAAGTCCAACCACCTCTGCAATAAACACCACATGCCCTACACGAAGAATGATTAGATGTCAAGATTTTATGGACAGCCAAAGAAGAAGAACTCGGCCAACACAAAGAACAAGAGTCACAAAAGAACTACTTTTGGTAAGCAATATTTGCAGGAGGGGATTCGAGCACAGGACCTTAGGTGCAGAGATAACTGCTTTTAACCATTTGAGATATAAGCCCCTTACAATGGACTTCCTTATATAATTTCAAGGCCTAGGATGGTTATATTAATTACATATGATCTTATAAAATATAAATCAGGTACCAATTGAGTCTCATTTCCCATCAACTAAAACAAAACTTCCAATGCCATCTTTAATAAAACAAGATGGAAAAAAGAGAAAGGACCTGGCAAAATAATACAGCAAATGATAGAAACTTACAAGCCAAGCACAAGAGCACTCTAATTGAGTTCAGATGTGACGTTTCTTCTCTACATTCACAGTAAGAGTTCAATTCTTGTTCTCCCTCTCCCCTGAATACAATTAATAACATTTTGAAGAACCTTAGCAATTCAAACTCCAGATTCCAAATAATGATGACCAGAAAGCAAAGTAAATTAAAACAAAACGAATTGTGCAGACTTCCATTATTGAACAAGTTGTACACAAAATCAATCTAATGAGACTTTGAATTTGAGGACTCAACTTGAGGACGTAATTGCTTTTTCTTTTTTTTTGGTACAAGCCATATTGGGGGAGGGGGGATTCGAACATAGGACCTCAAGTGTAGGGATAACTGCTCTTAACCACTTGAGCTACAAGCCCCTTGCAGTTAAATCCTCAACTTAGTTTACACTGGATCCGAAGAATCCCTCCAAACAATCCCTTCATTTGTGTGCATATAATTAGAAAAAGAAAAACAGTTATTTATTAAGATGCTGCAAGTAATTTCATTTCTTCTGGTCTGCTTTATTGAGCACTGAAGTAAAAACTAGGAAATGAGACACTGAACCTAGAGAAGAAGAGCATCAACCTCTGATTGGGTGGATGAAACCAAAAAATGAATGAACTATTTACATAAAATTGAAAGAGCATGAGAGAGCCAAAGAGGACAGGGGAATACCTGGTAGTACGGACCTCACTTCACAATGCCTATTCTTTGTTGTCCGAGTATGGTTCAAACCCAGCCATTTAAAAAATAACACCAACTTGTCCTGTATTTGCTTTAAGTTGGACCAACTATCCAGTCCAAGGTAAATCCAAACACAGGATTAAAATTTAAAACATAAGATTGAATCATATGAGCAAAAAGCTCTCAACATTTTCTGCTTTTAAAATAACTTCAGTTTAATGTAGCATTCATCCCTAAGATTACATCTATATTGCTTTGTGTGTGTGTTCGAGAAAGCGAGAGCACTGAGACATATATATACTCAAAAAGACTTCATATATGATATCATATGGTACTCATGTTTGAAGGCAAAAACCATACTAGGTAATGGGGAAACCACAAACTATGGGAGAGCAAATAGCCCTTTCATAACAGTTTAAAAAGACACTTGATTTAAAACCTACATCAGAGGGCCAAAAACCACCAGGTGCATGTTTCTGTGTCTACAAAAGGAAAAAAACAGAGACTAACCGACACTTTCAGTACTAGAGGAAAAATCATGTGCTTTTGAGCCTCCCCATCACTACTTGTCATCTGTATACACGGCCTTGTCTAACTCAGGTTAAGGGATGGATCGCATTCCCTGCACACTCGCTCAATTCTTTCAGTTCTTTGGCACATTCCCCACCAGAAGGTTCAATATCAAGTTTGGGACTCTCTCCCTTAGATGAGGTCATAGTCTCAGGTGCTATCTGTGCGGAGTCAATACCAGTCTTCGTTTCTGCCTCCAATTTGCCAGCAGACACTTGGCCATCATCCATCAATCTGTCATTTTCCTTGGATTGATCATCCTCCTCACCATTAATAACTTTAAGCTCACCTAGTGTAGAACAATCTGCAGATTTACTGCCGGACTTCATACACTCAACGATGGATAAGCCAGCTGACACTCCACGTCTAGATATCCTTCAAAAGATCAAAAGAAGTTTCAGTTAAGGAGCAATAGCAGATAATAGTACATGAAAATATGAAAACCACCAACACCAAACATCTCTGCAGACTTGTTGGTTGAATGTTAATGTGGCATCCTCAGGGCAAAGGTCTAATTAACCTTTTTGAGGAAGAAAATATACAAAGTACAAACCAACCTTTTCGAGGACAACCCAGCGTTTTCTTGTTTAGAAGTCTCTGATTTTGTTTTCCGTTTTCTCTTTTGTGGTCTGATCAAAATGCACAGCCGAATGGTACATAAGATAAAACATACATGTACATGGAAGCAGCAACAGAGTGCTAGACAAGGCAATTATGATATCAACCATTTTGGGTGTATTGAATTTAAAGGTGTTCTTTTTGCATTTCTGGAGTCAACTAAATTAAGCCCTTTGCATTGATTCTTGGTTAGAACATTAAAGTCTGTAATCAGTATGCAATGCGCATCTGCATCATTATATTAAACACAGGAAGGAAAAAAATGACAAAAAAATTAGAGTGACACAAAACTTTCAAAAATCTCACAAGTAAGGGAGCCAATTAGTGAAATATAGTTGTGCTAAATATTGAAGAAAAACCTTGCCCATATAGTTGTGCAAACCCAAAAGAATCAAATCCAAGGATTTGTCCAGAACATAACAAGGGAACTTGAGGAATAAATACAACTAGAAGGATTGCTTTTGGTTCACATAGGTGTCAAAAAGCAGCCCAAAAAAATTAATTTTGCAATGACCAGCTTTACTATAAAAGACAAACATTTCAGAAGCACAAGCACAACTACTAAACTGAATTTTCTATGAACTGCAATGATACTGTTTGAAAAAATAATGCTTACGTATCAGAAGAAGCTTCAGGTTTTGGCAGATTCTCCATTTGGACCTGTTCAAATTACAGCAAAAATTACACAGGATAATTAAATTTAGAATAAATTAAAAACAAATGAGTGAAAACTATAAACAAAAGAAAAGTACAATTTAAGCCACAATACATACATCTGGTAAAACATCATCGATCAGTTGCCAACGTTGCTTTTTGAGGTTTAGATTTTCTTCATCCCCATCAACATACAACACCTGTGCAAGAAGTCATTAAAGAACGGAACATTTTAAAACAACAACATGCATAATGGTCGAGAAAACATATGAAAGGAACCATAATTGGGGTTAAATGGGAGATGCCAGGTAGGGTGATCAGATCATGTGAAAAGTTGATGTTACTACAAAGAGTATAAGAGGGCCAAGGAGATCACAGTCTAGAACTCAAAGACACTGGTATTGGGAGATAATCAATCCAACAGTTTCAACTCACTTTATGATACACAACAGAAGCCAAACAATATAACATGAAGACCATAAAATCAACTCACCAAGTGCTTCTTTTTAGCAGGGTCGTAAGAAGAAACAACACCTTCATAAAACCTGCACAGAAAGAAATTTCATGCAAGAAAACAATCAATTCTGATTATTACTCCGGTGATACAGACATTAGCGGGGACATACAAATAAAAACACTGAATAAATGGCATGAAGAATAGAACACTAGCTGAAGAGGATTCAGGATCTTCTGGCAACTTGGGAAGCCAGAAATTTCAACAATGGGGTGTCTAGTGATGATCAGAACCAATAATGAAATAACGCATGGAAACCTCCTACAATTCATGTTAAACTAACGACTCCTTGTATCGGGTCAACAACAGATTTTGATATGGTTTCTCAGCAAACAATACCAATCCAAAATAAAGTGAACCAAAGAATCACAATCACCATTTTTACTCCCCAAACATATTGTGAGTGATGGCAAACAAGCTAAAGATAATAAACCCCTAAATCAAGCGAACTTTTACTCCCCACTCGAATCAACTAAATTTCAAGGAGCCTTTTAATTATAGCAAAAGTTTCTTTGGTATCTTATGTTTGCAAGTCCTAAAGGAACTAACTAGCAAAGGTAGGCAACATGGACACTATTGACGGTATATGAAAGCAAATAATGACTAATGAACAAAAATATCATTGTATGACATTTTCATTATCAGTTCTGCAATACTCACGCTTTGTCCATTGGCCACCAAACCCTTATTCTACTGCCAACCAATCGCTCATCAAGATCAAGCATTTGAGACGCCTGAAGGGGAAAAGTTAATTTACAAAATATGTATATATATATATATATATAAGAGATATCAATAAATTAATAGATAAAATAGGATGTGTGAGGTTAGAACTTAGAACAAACAGAAATATCATACCTGGAAGCAAGTTCTTAAAACAATACATAAAAAGTAGTAAGGACAATGTAATCAATTGCTCACTAACAGAAAATACATGTCTAGCATGTTGCACAGTTCCTAGATATATCAGGAGGAAAAGTGGACCTTTGGTATTCAATAAAGCATCCACCACCAGCTTAATTTAAGAGTAAATGAAGCAAGCAACATATCAATTAAAGCATTTTCATGATAAAGGAAGGTGATTATTTCCATATGTAGTAAAACACAATACTTTAGCAACTTAGTAACAGAACACAATAGTTAAGATGAAAGACTTGATGTTGTATTTCCACTTTTAGTGATAATTGATTAGTAAGGTTAAACAACTTTATTGAAATGAATGTGTAACAATATCATCCCAACAATGTAACTATTGGCACAACAATAACTACGGGGAGACATGTATAAGCTTAGAGGACTTTCCAAGTTCAGAAAATGTACACCACGGTCCCAAATCCAATGCAAGCTCCTTATTTTACTTCTCCAGTTACAACAAACATAAATACAAATTGGGATACGTGTTAAGCTTGGAGGATTCCCAAGTTCAGAAAGTACAACACGGTCCCAAATCCAATGTGAGCTTCTTAAGATATTACATCTACAGTTTGCAACCTTAAGACACTACCCCTGCCCGACTGTTTCTGTTTTTGTTTTTAAATATAATTAAGGTGCATAAGAAGAAAAAGAAAGGGGAAAAAGCATTTTTATAAGAAGCAAAATTCTTACTAAAATGCATTGGGTTAGTTCAATACTTTCATAGTCATCAATCAAAACAAAACATACAATTATTTACATAATGCCACCACTAAGCTCAAATTACCAAGGTTTTAGAACATATTTAAAATTCTGCCCTCATATAATAAAAATTCTGACTTCCATGTTAGTTCATACTATTATTAGTCCATTATTGTTGGATTGATCATCATGACATATAAAGATTAAAAGGAGTGCATAAATAGCATTTTATTTTCCATATCTTCCAGCAAAAGAAGAGAAAGGGGAAGAGATGGAGAACACCTTTTAGTATGAGTCACTGAGATTTATACTTATGTGTATCATGTCTGATTATTCTATTAAGAACATAGTTCATTTGCACTGCTTCATCTACAGGACGATGCTAATAGGGTCTACTAAATTCAAATGTAAAGTTGGGCCAACACAGAATATGGGCCACCCAAAGTTGTTTGTGTACACATTACAACATGTAATGTAAGCAATATTTTCAACATTTATTCATTTTAATTATTCACTACAAATTATCCAGTAACAAAGCTTCCTAAGGATAACAGTTGAGCTGAATGACCACAGAAAAAAGACCAGTACCCACAGTATACTTCTAGTTAAAAGAAAGAAAAATGTTCAAAATATGATTGAGCACCAAACTATAACTGGCCAAATTGTAAACTGCAAATTAAATTAAAAATTCTTACCTCTTCCTTTTCAATGGTACACTTCCTCTTCAGAACCACTTTATGTGTTCCTTCATTATCTTCACTCAACTTTGTCGCAGACTTAGAAATCTTCTGAAAAATGGATAGTTGGCACAACAGAAGAAAGAAAAAAGCCATTACAGGTGACAGCTTAAAATTCCAATATCTATTTATTTTTGCATCAACGTTAAAGAAGTAATGAAGTACCTTGCTACCAGATGCTTTGGTACTCTCCTTACTAGAAGTAGCATTCCCCCTACGTGTCTTAGTACCCGTTCGGACATAGGATTGATCATTGGTACTCCCAGATGCAACATCCAAAGCTGACTGTTGCTGTGGTTTTTCATCAGGATCAAAGGGAATGGCAGCTTCCGTATCTGTGACAACAGGTATGGAAGCAAGCAAGCACTCCTCGCTTGTCTTTTCAGCACATTCTAGAGCTCTAGGATGCCCCCGTGCTTTTGCTTCAAAGGTACTGGTCTCCTTAAATCCCTGAGTCAGATGGGTATCTGTTTTTTGCGCAATTCTCTCCTCAGCCTGAGCACTTGAGAACTCTCGCCTCACAGCAAATAGGGGACCACGGTTAGCTGAATGATCAGCCACAACCTGCTTTTTTGGTCGACCCCTTCTGCGTTGGGTTCCACCAGGAGGGTTATTTCGAGGAAGCGGAGAAGAAGCTCCAATGTCCACTTCAGGTTTAGGTTCTAAACCTGGTGGCTCAGTCACCTTTTCAAGTGTTAAATGCAAAGCAGCCTTTCCATGAAGCCGACCTTCAGCGGGTGAAGCATCAGATCCCTTGTCATTAGACTTTCTGCGTTTTTGAGTTTTTCTCCCAGTATGTATCCAAGAATGGTCATAGCCTTCTGCTGGATTCATCAAAGAATTTGGCTTCCTGCCTCTCTTTTGGGAGCTGAGTATGGCTCAACTTCTGATTTGACAGCCTTCGGAGAGAATGAATTGTTAGGTTGAGCGTGGTCATGGCCTTCCTCTGAATTCTTTGAAGAATTTGGCTTCCGCCCTCTCTTTTTGGGACCTGAGTATGGCTCAACTTCTGATTTGGTAGCCTTCAGTGAGCCCGAATTGTCCAGTTGAGCACCATCTCTTGAATCAATACCCTTGGAATGTTTAGTAAGATGGCAATGCTGTAATTGTTTAGAAACTTTTTGTCTGACATTGTGTTCATCCTTAGTAGGAGCAGCCACAGTTTTGCCAGCTTCTCTAGGATTAACAGCACCGGGGGCTGCAATTCCCCTCTTTTGGTAAGCATCCAGTATCTCAGCAAATGAAAGTCCCTCTGTCACCTGTTTAACAGAGAAGTTTCTTTGTGGGTGAGTGTAAGTTCCACTTAATGCAAAGGAGAGAGAGAGAGAGAGAGAGAGAGAGAGAGAGAGAGAGAGAAGAGAGGGAATATAGAATGAGCAAACAGTCACGTACATGGGAATCGTTCAGAACTTCCAATCTATTTTTCTAATCACATGCATAGACAATGGACCCACTTCAACACACAAATACCTATGCACAAAGAAGTATATTATAAGCTATATCATACAACATTCCTCCTAAGATTTGTTTCTAACATGTCATGTAATTAAAGCTAAGCAGTGCTATGCCAATTTCTCAAACAATCTCTACATAAAAATTAGAATAACTAGGTCTCTATCTAGAAAGTAGAATAACTAGGTCTCTACATACAAAGTAGAATAACTAGATAGACAGCACAGGATGGTTTTATTTCATTCAACAAGAATGTCAACAATTGTTTTGTGTATTGTGTGCAATCAGAATCAATACAACCGGCTGACTATCATGTTGTCTTTATTCAAATCTGTGGTTTTACTCACTAGTATGGGCGGACTCGGGATTTCAAAATGAGGTGCGCTAAATTTACGTTACGTACAAACCTACTATAAGGATAGATTACTTGACGGTACGAGTGAATTTCATTGATAACAAAAAATACACAGGGAGACATAATGAGCCCCTCAAAATGCATCTAGTACAACCTTAAATAAAAACAACATTTAAAGGGGGAGGAAGTTTTTCACACATATACTAATAAATAATATATTCATAACGATGTTTGAGAGATTAATTAAAAAAAATACAAGCAATTAATAAATAATTTTGTGAGTAAAAGACTAAGCAAAATTAAGAGTGGTAAATGATTTTGGTGGTGTGAAAATTTGGAAGAAATAGATGGGTTTTATAAGGAAAATTGAATGGTACAAAAATTTTAGAAAAAGAAAGAAAATTGAAGTTGGTACTAATTTTCAAAAAATTGCCGTGGTATTAATTGCATTAATAGTATCGAATCATGCTTGAGTAGTTGGAGCAGCTTCAATGAGTGTGAGGAATACTTTTTAAAAACCAACCATTGGATGAGCATAGGTTGGTTGAGTGCACGGGCACTGATGAGCGAGTAGATATAGCAGCTGCGCTGAGGAGAGTGAAGCAGCTCTTGAGTGAGGGTGTGTGGGGTGCGCTTGGGTGGGCTGGGATATTAACGTTGGGCTATAAAAAATCAAATCACCTGGGCTAAGCCCAGGTTAGCATGTGCATAGGTCCATCCCTCACTAGCATCATCAATTCAGTGTAATCATCTGTTTCTGGTAACCATGTTAGTCTCTACTTTCACTATGGTTTGACAATATATTTTTAATACTACTCAAACAGCAGACACCAGAGTGCACAAAATGGATCATGGGATACTGAACACTGGGAGACAACAAGCTTTCTAGTTCAAAAGGATTTGATGCTATGATCACCTCAGAGAGAGAGAGAGAGAGAAAATATGAACACATAAGAACAGCCATTTCATTTTTATTTTTTTAATTAATAAGAAAATTCGGGCTTTGAATTCAGTTTTAAAAAAACATACAAAGAACAAGTTAAGGAAATAGAATCAGCAAAACACACCCAAAAAAAATCCACACTGTACTCTAAACTTATTAAACATGCAAGTGAGCTGACAATATCACAAGTTTGGCATACCAGATTTTTCCCAGAATCATTGTCATTATCATTTTTGAGGGCATCAGATCCATTTTGGTATACAGAAGCCACTATTTCAGCATAATCGTCCAAAGCAATGTCCATGGACTTCACTGCTTCCACGAGATAAGATTTAAGCTTAGCAGAACAATTCTCTATAACTTTCTCCCCCAGTTTCCAAGAAATAGGTGAAACAGTCTGAAACAATGAGTAAAGGGCATACACTCTTAAATAAACAAAATGGAATGGTAGGAAAATAAAAAAGGAACATAGCAAAACAAAACAAGATGTAAAGGCAAAGAGTATTACCTGATCCTGATTTTCCTTTCTAACACTAGATAAAAGAGCTTTTAGAATATCCAAGGGAATTTCTTCACTTTCATCTAAAACCATTGTCATAATACTTTCCATGGCTGAAAATACAGCATCTGGAAGGTTGGACCTAAACTTAAGCAAGAAGAAGCCATAAGTTGTAAATTATTTGTAAAAAATAAATGAACTCATGTAAAATGAAATAGAAAACCAAAGCTCCAAGTTATTATGAAAATCAAAACACACTGCAGACACAAAGATTATTTATTTTCATAGAGTATTGTTTAAATGAATAAGTTATAAACAAAAAACAAAATGGATGTTCAAATACTTGATCTCTCATTAGGAACAAAATTAAACTTGTTCTCTTCAAACTTCAGTCCATAATGAAAGTTTACAATATGTTTTGCTGTCGATACAACCACAAAGCACTTTCCAGCAAAGAACCGCAGGAGAAGTCAATAAGTAATATTTTAAACAGCATTGATAAAGCTCTTACTTGGTTATTTTAAGGAAATGTTGAAACATCTCGAGAATTAAGGCATCGCAGTCAAGGTCCATCATCAACAAGCTTGACCTGACCTTCGCAACAATACAAAGAATGGAACCTGCCTTTGTATAATAACGACTGGACTCATGTGACAAATTTTCAAAAGATGCTACAGTCAGCTGAAAGATTTCCTGTGCAACCAATAAACAGGAAATGAAGTCCTAAGTGCCCATAACATTAATACAGGAGCATTTGATGATACAAGCTGTAGAACTTCGAAGTGATTAATGATTAGTTAGAATCTTGGAGCTGTTATACCTTCATCCGTTCATCATCGTATGGGGCATCCGGTGCTGTTATTCTTGTAATCTGAGTAAGGCAAGATGCAACAGAAAGCTTCACATCCACATCTGAGTGCCTCAACAGTTCATTAGAAATTAATGCTTTCATTAAGGGTAGAAGTGCATCTTGCATGGATCTGGGTGGTCCTTGCTCAACATTGTCCAACAAATCGTTAGCGTCCTAAAAGACAGAATGAAACAGAGGATGTCAGGTATTGTCAATCGTAAAACCGATAAAGGTACAAACAAACAAAAAATCAGATATAGCTCTGTTTAACATAACTTCAAACATTTGCATTGCAACAGATTCGAACTTCAGATTAGTTACATTTAAGCATATATCATAATAATCATTACATTTAACCATCACATACAATCGCAAATCTGAATAAGAATGCTCAGTGGCTACTTATTAGAAATGTATAGAACTCATTAGTTTCAGAAGTAAGAATTCACATAAGGTCATAGAAGGTGCAAACACCTATACACCACACAACATCTTTTAATAAGCAACAGTATACATTCACCATCGTTTGACAAACAATAGTATAAATCAAACATTCAAAAATGAAAAATCATAGCCAACGAACAGCTCACAACTGGTTTAACATTTAACCATCAAGCCATTCAACACATATAGAGGCACACACCATCTTGTAATAAGCAACAGTGCACATCTAAACATTCAAAAACGAAAAATCATAGCTAGAAAACAGCTTGCAATAGGTTTAACATATAACCATCAAGCCAGTCAAATAATTAAGGATTACATATAAGCAATTGAAAAATAAAACTCAGATGTTCATTTAAACCACAATTCTGAGTATAGGAAACAAACATCAACATGTACAAAGCCCTCATAATTACTGAAACCACATTTCCCTTCATAAAAGATTTGTTTTTAACCCAAATAAACAAATAAATGAAAACTAAAACCGTAATAAAAAAACCACAAACTTTTCAATAAACAAATGGTAGCCCTGACTTTGAAGAATTCACAAAATGATCATCAAACCATCTCAAGTCATCATTCGTTTGTATTCTAATGAACTCAATTAACCCAAAAGAAAACCGGATGCACACACTCAAAAGAAGAAGAAGAAAAAAACCTATAAAACACTCCCAGTCAGTAATTCATGATGATCAACCCATTCCCAGCCTTCATACACTCGACATTCCAGAGAATTTCATCAAAGCAAAAAATAACCCAGTAAACATGTATATTGTGTGTGAAAATGCAATACAAAGAGAGAGTAAAGGGGGCATTACATCAAGAAGTTTGAGAAGCTCATCAGTGCCAGAAGGAGTGTTCAGGAGACTATTTCCAGTCTCCTTAAGCTGCTCCTCAAGCTCTTGCTCAGAGGAAGACATTGTAAGAGCTAAAAGACCCTTCCTTTCTCTTTTGTTTTTGAGAAACTCAAAGACCCTCAAGAGAAAACCCAACGCAGAATTGCACTGCAAGCTCTTAGACCCTTTTTATAACTCCCCAAATATCAAAAAGTGACAAAGCTACCAACTCAGAACAGGCAAGTCTTAGGGATTTAAGGCAAAGTGTTGGGCATGCAAGCAGAGAGTTACAAATAGGCAGTTTCGTATTCTGACCAAAATTATGAATTTTGGTTCACCCTTGGGCTCTCAAATCCGGTACAGTATCTCTACTGTACTTGGGTGTTTTTGGGTTATGCCTCTACAAAACCAACACCCCATTTTTATACACAGCTAAAAGCTTGGGACACCATTGGCGCTTTAATGCTTGTTTTTGAGTGCTGGGCTTGCTAAGAGAGTGCTCTACTTACCAAAATAAAAATAAGTCTGTGCTCAGTCAAAATACGTTATTGCCCTTGTAATGTTTGAATTTGGAGGGGGCAATGGCATGATATTTTGTTGGTATTGCAAGGACTAATAAAATTCTTGGAGCACTAATGAATTTTGCATGCCATGAGTCCTTAGATTTGGCAGTAAAATTTGTATCTGAGTTGGGGACATAGAATTAAGACAGGTTTGGTGAATTTCCTAGAGTTCTTATCCTCATCCATGAGAAAATGCAAGACGGCCCTTTCTTATTTTGAATTTAAGGGGTTAATTTTGTGTAATTTGTTGCTTTTCCAATGTCAAAAACAATGCTTGGACTTGGAGGACCAAATTTAGTGAAATGCATTATACATATGACAGATAAATACATTGTGTAATTTGTTCCAGATGCAATGTGCCTAGAGTAGTCCATATATATCCTTAATTATATAAGGTAGCTGCTCTGGCCTTTCTTGAAACATAGTATTTAGCAAATTTTCGTTTGACAGTCAAAGTTTATCTTTCAAATATTAAGGTGTTTGATTTTTATGGTAATATATATCCAAACAAAATTCTTTTCGCGTAATTTACTCTCTTTTTTTAAATAATGAGGGAGATGTTCGAATTTGGGATATTTTTCAATTTTGGGAAGAGATTTTTTTTTTTCTGTTAAAATTTTGGGAAGAGATAATGCCACTAGACCAAAAGTTAGTTGGTACTCGGAACATTACTTAAATACCATTCCTAATTTCTTTGTTTATTTGTGTGAGACAACTAAAACCATCCATATATTTTCATTTTTCTATTCTAATCAGCTTCCATTTTTATTTTATTTTTATATTATTCTAATTATAGTTAATATAGTATGAATTTAATTATATTTCTAATAATAAATCTTACACTAAGATATAAAAAATGCTCATCTTTTGAGAGGCCAAAGATAAATTTTACTAGGATGAAACGGAGATAAAATTAAATGATAAAAACTATAACTAAACATAATAACAAAGTACAACATTGTACAACATCACAAATTTCTATTACCTAAATCATAGGTACAGTACAAGCATAACAATTTAAAAATCAAATATTTTAGAGGTATTTAGTTATAGGGTGTTGAGGCCCCTACATAGGGAATACCCATTTTAAACACTAGTGATATAGATAAACCCTACACCATTTAATTTCTATAAACAAACTCAAAAAAATAATCCAAAAAATGAGAGATGGCCCTGTTGAATTTAATTTTGGTTATTAAATTATTACTTTAATACCATGTTGAATGTTTTGGGTTTTTTTTAATGAGGTTTTGTTGTTGGGTTCGTTTAAAGAAATCGATTGCAGTTTTGTAATATATAGGGAGTTCGAAGCCTGTTTATTATGTTGTAAATGGGTGTTGGGTGTGTTTCTAAAGTCTATTTCATGTAGGGTATTTTTTTATAATATGGGCCCCTATATTAACTATAATAGTGAAACTCCGAATATTTTATATGTAAGAACAAATATCTTATTTAATTAGATATGGGTCCTGAAGCAAATAATGATAGTATGACATAATGCACAACATTGCTTGGTCATGGACAATTTTTATTAATTAAATAAATCACTAGCACAACATAATATGTGTAAAATCCACATACCTTATCATTAAGAACCTCATTCATCATGATTTGTAGATGAAAATCATTTTCGTGGGAAGACTGCTTTGCGTTTAACGCTTCAAAATGTGATCGAGCCACCAAGTTTAGAACCTAAACCTGAAGGTGACATAGGAGCTTCTTCTCCATTTCTTCAAAGTAACCCTAATGGCGGACCCAACGAAGAAGGGGCCGGCCAAAGAAGCAAGTTGTAGCCGATCATGCTGCTAACCCTACTTCCCTTTCAGCTGTGAGGAGAGATTTCTCTAGTGCTCATTTTGAGGAGAGAACTCCACAATAAAAAGATAGCCATTTGAGAAAAGGATTTAAGGAGACAAGTATCTTGGAAGGCAAAAGCAGAAGAGCATCTTAGAGCTATAGAACTTGCTGAGACGACAAACGAGGGGTGCTTGCTTGCTTCTGTACATGTGGTATAGATAAGGAATCTGCAGATCCTTGTGATCTTGAGGAAAACAACAACAATACAACTTCGGATGCAGAATCTGCTGGCGAGTCCTTACTTAGTTAGGATTTGGGTTCCTCACTATGTTAGGATTTTGGTTACTTACCCATTTATCTAGTCCTATTATAATTGAGATTTATTTTCTATTTAATTTAGATTTATTTCCTATTTTATTTAGGGTTGTATTTCTTTATAAATACCTCCATATTTGAGAAGAATAAAAATATGAGCATATATGAGTATAATTGAATATTTGCCCTACTTTGTTTGACATGGTATCAGAGCCAGGTTCTTAACCTGTGTTAACCTCTACCAAATTGAGAGTCGTTGGCACTCCTCATTCCTAACCCATCATGGGTCTTCATCTTGTATAGTCATCTTCTTTTGTTCATCCTCTCATATGTGTTTTCACCGCACCTAGCCTTCGCATGCTTCTTTGCTACTGTTCCAAATTTTTTTTATTTTTCATCTTTGTATGCCAGATGGTCTTTCTTGATGTCTCAGCTTCTCTATCTTTGAAACTTCATAACAAGTCACTTTACTCCGTGAGCCTCGTCACTGCTCACCGAGCCGTTGCTTTCCTCCGTGAGACTCATCACTGCTCGCCAAGTCTTTCCTTTGACTATTCTGCCGGTCTCTGTCTTCTTCGACAACTCTCTTGAGTTGCCTTTCCGCTTCTCAGTTTTGAGCACCCTTTCTCTGTTTCTCTCTTTGCTCTATTTAGCTCTCTTTTATTTATGTTTATCTCTTTTGTATGTCTATGTCCAATGGCTGGTGTTTGTTGTGTTCTTTCCCCACACCATCGCTCCATCTCTATCACCTAGCCTTTCCCGGTGGGTGTTTATTATTTATTTTTCTATCTCCTTCCCTTTTACCCTTATGCTTATTTCTTTCTACCTTTGGCCCCTTTTCAATATTCATCCCTTTCTCTGTCTGTCTATTTCCTAATAGACACCTTCCTTTGTCATTATTTTCCTTCAATCACAGCATTATTCTCTCTTTTTTTTTTTTTTTTTTTTTTGTTCTACCTCACTTTCTTCCACTAGTTTCATTTTAAAAATTGTCACATGCAATTTCTCATGCTTTACTTTTTAATATCTTTAGTTTCTTCCTCTTTGATCTACCGATGTGGTTTCCCCTGCTATGCAGCCGAACTCTTTTCATGTCCCCTCTATTTCTCATCTTTCTTTTACCAACCTTTTCCATTTTGTTGTTCTCTCACTGCATTATATCTCGCTTTCACAACTCCCTTATATAATGTTGCTTCCCTTTGATGGGCATTTTATCTATTCCTATTCCACACATGAAGGGTTTCCTTTTTTTCAGTGTCCTTTGCTCTAATTCCCGTTTGAGCACCTTATCTTTGTCTTTGTCTCTATTCATGATTTGCTAGGTTTCCTCCCTTACTATTCTCCTTTTCTGAAGTTTTTTCTTCATGGGACAGCCGTATGCTACCACCTTCCCCTCTTGCATTTGTTTATGTCACGAGACTGGCATGTTTGAGTCTCTTTATTATTATTTCAATTTCTCTTCTTCCAAATCTCAACCCTTTACTAGTGTCAGATTTGATGGGGAGATAAATGCAACTTTATTTGAGTACTGCAACTTTATTTTTCAGTGTTGCTTTCTCCAAATCTCGACTCTCATACATCGTCGGATTTGAGGGGAAGTGACACCGCTGCTCATCTATTCTGCTGCAATTCAACTACCTATTTGCCATGTCTAATTCTTCTACATCTGAGCGTCAGTCAGCTTCTGTTTCTTAAGTGCCACTTTTCTTATGGTTCTGACGACACCTTCTCTTCGGGGGGAAAGGGGGAGTGAAGAGAAGTTGTCTTTGCGATAATGGAAGTATTTGTCATTGTTATTGCTGCTGACTACTATGTCCTTTGTTGGTGCCAGTACCATTGCTCATACCTGTTAGGTCTCTTGCTGGGGACAATGTTATTGCTCCTGCCTATTATGACTCTTGTTGGGGACAGTGTTGATTACTGTTGATGATGCATGTTATGCCCTTGCCTTGTTGCTCTTGCTGGTGCAAGTGCCTTGTATTGCTGTTGTTGGTACCAGTATTGTTGCTCCTGCCTGTTATGGTGCCAGTATTGTTGCTCATGCCTTTGCTGGTGTGTTTCTGTTGTGGTCACGCCCATTAACCTTACTTTTGCTCTTCACTTTCTTTGCCTTACCTTATCTTATTTTTTTGAGGTTTGGATTTACCGAGATCCAATGATCAACTTTAAAGATACAACCTTGTAGTACCTCAAGCTTGATGATTGATCCTTTGCAAAACAATTCCTAACTAAACACCGCACTGTCACATGCCGAAATTGTTAGTACTATTTTCTTCAAACGTTAAACCAATCACAATCACCAGACGAAAATATATATATTTATTGAGACAATCCTTTTGTTTCAATATCTTAAGCTACGACCCAACAAATATGTGGATCAAGCCAACATTCTTGCTCACATATAGCTCCACCCTGCATTTGAAAGAAAAAAATTGCATACGGTTTTTTTTTTTGGGAATCAAAATATCAAAAAAAAGAAGAAGAAAGAAATGTTCTAACTTCAATTTCTCTCTCTTTGAGATGTCACTCATAATTGATATAGCTGCTAATTAATGCAATGATTTTAAATATATTATGAAGGCTACTGACGCTTCATGATTGTTACCAAACTCATCTATTTGGCAATTAGTACGTACTAATTGTCTTGTATAATTCTTTATGCTTGAGGTTGTTACATACTAACCATCTTTTATATTTCTAAAAGGTTAGCAATGGAGCATAAGACCCACTAGTGTCGTGATTTAGAACAATTGCTCCTCCAAAAAAGGTCCTGGACTCGAATCTTAATATCCTTGTAATGTATATGAGTTTAGTATATTACCCCTCTCATAGTGAAATATGCTTGAGATTGAGACCAAACATAAGCTATTAAGTGCCAGTTTGACATTGCTTATTTGGGGTGATAAGTGATTTTTAAAAAATTTTGAGAAGCCCAATCCGTTTGGTAAACTGTGAGAAAATCACTTATTGTTAAAAATTGCTGTGAGAGAAAGCTATAAGGGAAAACAGCTAATGATGTGCTTTCATTTTCTGATTATGCAGGAATCAGTTTCGAAGAGGGGCTGAGTGCCAGTTTGGCATTGCTTATTTGGGGTGATAAGTGATTTTTTAAAAATTTTGAGAAGCCCAACCCGTTTGGTAAACTGCGAAAAAATCACTTATTGTTAAAAATTGACGTGAGAGAAAGCTATAAGGGAAAGCAGCTAATGAGGTGCTTTCATTTTCTGATTATTCAGGAATCAGTTTCGAAGAGGTGTTAGGTTTAATGATTATGCAGCAATCATTTTCTGATTTTGCGTCAAATCAATACCAACAACATTTTAACAAAAAATTTACCAAACGCCAAACTGCTTTCTCTCACAGCTGATTTCTCTCACAGCAAATCTGACAGCGATTATTTTCACAGCACAGCAATGCCAAACTGGCCCTGAGTTTAATGATTATGTGGCAATCATTTTTTGATTATGCGTAAATCAATACCAACAACACTTTTAACAAAAATTTTACCAAACGCCAAACTGCTTTCTCTCACAACTGATTTCTCTCACAGCAAATCTGACAGCGATTATTTTCACAGCACATCAATACCAAACTAGCTTTAAGTGACTCAAAATGTAATAGACCGATGCTTACCGAAACCCTCTTGAAGGATCTAATCATACACGTTGCTCAAAATTAATTTACAAATTTAGCTAGTATGCCAAAAGTGCTAATATTTAAGAATATGAGAGGTCATAACCTTTTGTAGGTAATATAATTATTTTTAAAAACAACAAATTACTTTTTTCTATTTTAGTTTTCAATATAACAAAAACATTTCTAATCATTTCAATTTTGAAATATTGATTTCACAAAATAATATATTTTGCAAGTTTTTCAAAATCGTTTTTTTCCCACCACTTTTCAAAGTTTTCAACTATTACATATAATGAGAGAGTCAAAAGAAACAAAAAGAAGGGAGGAGAGAAGGGCGGAAGGGAGAGTGAGAAAAATATACATGAAATCAAAATGGTCATGAACCATACTAAGCATAAGCATTTTACATAAAATAAATTAAATGGATAAATATTTACCTTATAGTATCGTTGCATGAAAACACCCTTATCGGATATTTTTTTGGCCGTAAATGTTTTTTTAGTGAAAAGTCCTAGATACGAAAAATATATTCAGGTAGTTTGCATTTTTTGATGGAAGGTGATATCAAAGGTAAACTACGAGAATCTATTTGATTTCCATAAGAAATTTGAGATCTAATGGTGATTCTATGTAGATTAGGCCACTAGGATTTCGGGCGCCACGGCGCTAGTAAGGGATGGGAAAGTGAAAGGATAAAGAAGTATGAATAAAAACATATTATATTTATATATGTAAATTTGACATTTAATACGAAAGAAAATTCTAGAAAAAGAAAAAAGAATAATACTAGTCTTACCACATTTTTTATACTACAATTTTATACCACATGATGTGACGGCTGATGTGTACATACCACATCATGTAAAATACTAGTTTCTGTTTTTCTAATTTTATTTAATAAAATACATTTCATTCATTTAATTGATATGACATATGATATGGACATGTCACATCATGTTGTATAGAAATGTGGGATAATAATGTGGTAAGTGTAGCATTACTCAAAAAAAAAAAGAGAGCGAAATATTTCTATGTTATCTTTATTACTTGAAGTATAAATGGATAAATAATTACCTTATATAGTCATCATTGCAAGAAAAAAACCTTCGGCCGGATACTTTTTTTGCCGTAAATGTTTCTAGTGGAAAATCCTAGATACAAAAAATCTATTAGAGTAGTTCACATTTTTTTTAATGGTGGGTGATTTCAGAGGTGAAACTACAAAAATAAATTTCCATAAGAAAATTTGAGATCTAATAGTGATTTTATGTAGATTAGGTAGGTTTCAGGCGACTCGGGCAAAAGTAAAAAAATTAAGAAGTATGAATGAAAACATATTATATTTATATAAGAAATTCGATGAAAAAAAATATTTATATAAGAAAATATGAGATCTAATTGGGTTTCGAGCATCGGAGTTGGTGAGGGTTTAAAAAGTAAGGAAAAAATGTACAAAAGAAAATTCTAGAAAAAGTGCGAAAGAAATATATTTTTGAGTTATTTTTATTAATTTAAGTATAATATTTAGTTTTGAATATGTATTTTCGGGTTGTAAGGAAGAAAAAGGCAAATATATGAAGAAATTTAAAAATGGAAAGTAGGTGTTTATTGTTTGGTATAAGCAAAACAAAAATGGTAGGATAGGGAAAGAGAAATTAATGACTACTAAGAAAAAATAAATAATTTTCAAGTTAAGTTAGAAATTAATCTTAGATTTTTTATTATAAAAAAATAGATAAATGAGAAAAGATGTTTTTCTTTTGTTTTCAATATGACATTTTTAATAACATATAAAAAGTTCCAATTTAAGTGAAAGAAAGGAAATGAAGTGGAGAGAGAAAAACACAAGGTAGAGAAAGAGAAAGCATAGCTGCACTTGACTTAGTGGAAAATCCTAGAAAAATACTAGGATAAATTTTTAAATTTAATGGTGATTCTATGTAGATTAGGAAATTCTAGAATAACTTTATTAATTTAAGAATACAAATTATTTATTTTTAATCGTCAAATTTATCTTAAGATCTATTTTTTAAAGGCAGATTAGGATTTCTTCCCACTACACCATGATGTTATTTTTTTTTTTTTTTTTTTTTTTTTTTTTTTTTTTTTTTGGGGTCCAAGTGAAGGTTGGTAGAAGAACAGAAGGTATGAAACGAAATTACTAAAACGGGGGCAAGAGAATATTCTGAGTTACTATTATTGATTTAAAAATTGATCAACAACAAACTTATGGATTGGAAGAAGTGTCACCCAACTCCATTGAAAGAAGTGTCAAACTTTGTCCACGGGTTTGTTTGTATTTCTCCTTAATGCCGATTACATTTTAAATAGAGAGGTTTGGTCATTTGAGAGAGTTTACAACGAAAGGGTGAGGGCCATTATACGGGGAATACAAGAGGAGCCTCCACTTTTGGAGCAGAAAAACATGTGTAAAATGAAGATAACATTGTTTTGTTATCCACGACCAATCAATGTATGTCAAGTGAAAAAGTTATCATGCGTTGTATGCCATGATTGCCGGAGATAGCAAAATAATGTCATCCTCATTTCACATGAGTATTTCTCTGAAGCTAAGTGGGGGCCAAACTATATTACCATTTGGATGTACTTGAAAGAAATTATTTGGATTGACAACAAAACTAAATTTGCTATTAAAAAAAAAAAATAGATTGAATGTATTTAAAATAAGCCAAAACATAAAAGATATATATATATATATATATATATATATATTTTGAGAATACAATTGAAATGGATTTAAAATTACCGCAAACAAGATCATTTGAAATTCATTTGTTTTTTTCATTAATTTCGTAATTGAATCTTGGCATACATATAACCTTACAGCGTCATCTAATAGATTTGGAATCACTCCTTTCAAATGGCCGTAACAGACTTGTTGACGAAGAGGCAATATGAATTTTGTTCAAGTTATGGTAATAGTTTGTAAGACCAATAAAAGATGATGTATTATCTTGAAATGTACCCTATAGCTTGCGGTATTTAGGCCATCAACCCAAACAGAAAAAGAGGGATAAAGAGAGATAAAAGGCAAACATGAAATCCGATGGTGAAAAATCCTAGAGCCCTATAGGTCATTTTAGAACCTTATTTTTTCAAATATGCAGTAAAGGCTTTCTAACTTCTAACACAATCGACAATGGCAGACAATTGTGCCATCAATGAGGCACATTTCAACCTCAGGTTTACATTAGCAATTCACATACAATTACCATCCTCTAACATCCTAAGGGGGCTTTTAACATAATTTGCAGAAGATGAATAAATGGCCATGCTTCCCGTTTCTTCCGCGTATTCTAAAATAATTTATGAACCTGCGTTATATTGGATGAAACTTTTTCATAGAAAACAATTATCAAAATGTAGCATATACTAGAAACAACAATTTGAAACAAAATTGAAAACCATTGTAAACAGTAACTAGTAAACAGTCAAATAAAGTAACAATCCATGAGACAAAGAAAGCTCCCTAAAGATGTTTCAACATTTCTCACAAAATTCAGACCCAGTCAACTTATTGGGCCTTCACATGCTGCTGAACAACATGAAGACCTTCGTGATCCTCCCCAAAATCCTGCACAACCAGAAAAACCATGGTCTCATTTAGATCATTGAATGTTGCAGAATAAAATAATGTGTTACTTTAAATTTAACTCCCTTCTCTACTGGGTAAAGAGTTGTACCTTCACAACCACACAAGAACAACCAACGACCTTCCTAGCCTTTCCCTCGGAATCAATCTTGCACAGCTGTATGAGTAAAGTAAATAATCAATGCACAAAACAGACAATCACTAGGCAACCAAAATAAAGTAGAGCGAGAAATTAATCCAAGAAAATAATCAAATGCCAAAAATAGTTTAAAAGTAAACACCACTTACACCAGCCCACTCTCCTAGGGTCTTGGCACTGGGAACGGTCAGCATGTTTACGTTGTGGTCAGCACAAAGAGCTTTCACCAGTTTAACATAGTCTTGCTGATCACAGTCCTCTGCCAGCACGCAGAGCTGGGCAGCATGCTTCTCAATCACTTTTGCAGCTTCGTGAAGACCTCGAACAAGACCGCCATGAGCCAGTGATTTTCTCAGCACAAGCTGCAGAGCAGTTGTAACATCCATAGGCTCACCAAGGGCTGGAGCTGGAGCAGGCGCTGCTGCTGGCGCTGCCTCAGTTGAAACTGCAGCTTCTTCACTGCAAATGAGACATTGAAACCCATGAATCATAAATCGTAGGACCATTTTTGGTAGCATTAGACTACATTCCATAGAAACAAAAGAACCGTGATACCAGCGCAGATAAATATAACACATCAACACCGTCTCTCCATTTATTATCAAACAACAATTTTCCAGAATGATTTTAAAAATCAGAAAACTCATTGTGAACAGAGATCTGTTCTTCCCACATAATACAAACTAGCTCTGAAAAATAACAATATGATCAAACAATTAAACAATATTCATATCAAACAAAATTCAATCACAAAAAGCATTCCTCTCCCAACCGGGTACCTCAGAACTCAGGAAAATAACAAAACCCTGAAATTTTCTTCACTAAATTCAGATACTTACACAGTTCATAATCTCCTCATAGAAATCTAACCTAAAAGTCTTTGCAGCCAAAGCAGAAACATATTTTATCAATTCAACTAATATTCTAGCTTTTATCACTCACCCCCAACTACCCAACTAGATCAACAACAGATAGTCCATACCAGATAACCCATTTATAAATATGCCATGTAACAAGAAAATAAATTCAACTTTGACATTTACTTAAGTAAGAAACCAGTTTTTAAACAACACAAAATTAGAACAAAAACTACAACTTCACAAACTTCAAGAAGCAACCCAATGCTCATGAAAGGTCCAAAAAGAGATGTTAAAGAAACTAATATCAGGGTCATTACTCTTGAAGAACATGAGTTTACTTACCCTGCCATTTTTCCTCTTGACGTTCAAGCTGAAAAATCGAAAAACGAACAACATATATCAATAATCAGATTCCAGATATCTTTAATCTCAAGATACAGATACATATAAAGAGGAAGAGAGTGAGACCTTGAAGATGAGGTGAGATGAGGTAGCCGATGCACCGAAAGTTCTGCGTAAGCGAAGCAAAATGAGCAGTCAGAGCGAAGTGAGGAATTTATTAGGGCAAACCCTAAATCTTGTTAACCCCTTCTTGGGCCAATCCAGTTCCCGGCCACATGAAATTGGGCCCAAATCCAAATCTCCTAGTATGGATTAGGCCCAAATCCATAATTACCCATGATTTTTTTTATTTTTTTTTCTGAGGGATTCAAACTAAATTAACTGTATTTTTAACATAGTTCAAATCCTTAGGGCCCGTTTAATAAACATTTCAATTTTTATTTTTAGTTTTTAGTTTTTATTTTTTATGGTAGAGTATAGAGGAAAATGAGAGTGAGGATGAGAGGAGAGGATGGAGAGAGAAGAGTAACAAAAGTGAAAACAAAAACTTGAAAGTGAAAACAATTTCAAATAGATTTCAGTTTTTAGTTTTTGTTTTCACTTTAATATATATATTTTTAATACAAACGATATTCTACTTTAATATAATCTAATTACTGAGAAGGGATTCGAACTCGGGTGCAAAGTGAAGAGCACATCCGCTCCAGCCAACTTGGCTAAGCTCATATTTGCTTTTTATTTGTTGTTTCATTTTTATACTAACTAGCCTCTTGAACACTTTTTTTTTATTTTTTTTATTTTTTGGGCCTAAAATGAACTATTGATTAGGATTCGAGAAGTGGGCATTTGTTTCTGTTGTGTTCAAAAATTTAACCATAAAGATCCTTGTTAAGAAAACTGGACCTCTCTCCTATTTGTTCTTCCTTCTGTTTTAGACGATATTGCTGGCCTTTGGTGCATTTCCAGCAGTTAGCCCCTTGTCATGGCAAGGGGAGCCCTAGGGAAGTTACTATTCACATGAATAGTGGCTGCCCTAGCCCCCCAACAAAGTGTGTTTCCAGCAGTTTAAGTTTGCCATGACAAATACTATTCATTTTTTTGTTTTTTTTTCACAACTTTGTTTACTTAAACAATTAATTTGGATAAGATTTTTGGGTTCCTACGTGTCAATACTATTCATATCGGATAAGATTTTTGGTTTCAAATTTCAGATACATTTCAAAATTAAAATTTCAGATAAATTCAAAATGTCAAATTTCAGATACATTTCAAATTTCAGATAAAATTTTCACCCTCTAAGATTGCGCCACATGTCATATCTATATGTCTATATTTTTCTATAAAACCAGAGGCTCAGCTCATACCTCCCACACAAGATCTTTTCTACATTTCCATTTCTCATATTTTAGATTTCATTCTCCATTCTCAATGGCAAACATGCAAGAAGTTTTGGAGAGGCAAGAGCGAGAAACTAGAGAAAGAATGTGTCGACAAGCTACAAGCAAAAGGGCGCAGAGAGAACTAGATGAGCAACATGGCATGGCCGTTGCTTTGCTGGAGGAAGATAACCAGAGCCGCAGTGGTTTACGAGAAGGCCGTGGCCCGAATGTGGACAGACATAGACATTATCGGGGTAAGAATCTTCTAAAAGATTATTTTATCCCACATTCTCTGTACTATGATATTCATTTTCGAGCGAGATATAGAATGCAACCCCATTTGTTCAATAAAGTCATGCATGATATTTGCAATTATGATGAATACTTTGTTCAAAAGAAAAATTTTGCTAGAAATTTGGGGCTTCTTCCCGAGCAAAAGTTCACAATTATGATACGAATGTTGGCGTATGGGTCATTTGTTGATTAGGTGGATGAGATTGCCCGGATGGGGAAGTCCACTATTTTGGAGAGCTTGGTGCGATTTTGTGATGCCGTGGAAACTCTGTACAACCAGGGACTACATGCGCAGACCTACGCCCAGGGATCTGCAACGGCTTTTACAAAAATCTGAGTCTCATGGATTTCTTGGAATGATTGGTAGCATTGACTGCATGCACTGGCAGTGGAAAAATTGTCCAACTGCTTGGCAAGGGGATTATGACAATAAGAAAGGACAGAAAAGCATCATTCTTGAAGCAGTTGCTGGTTTTGATACATGGGTTTGGCACGCCTTCTTTGGAGTTGCCGGCTCTCAAAACGATTTGAACGTCCTGAGTCAATCCCCGGTGTTCAATGATGTTCTGAGAGGTGAATGCCCAAATATCACATATCAAATCAATAATACCGTATACCAGAACGGGTATTATCTAGTTGATGATATCTACCCAACGTGGACAACGTTTGTGAAATCAATTCCACATCCCCGATCCCATAAGCAAAAATTTTTTGCTGCCTATTAAGAGGGGTACATAAAAGATGTGGAAATGTGTTTTGGTATCCTTCAAGCCTGGTGGGCTATTATTAGGGGCGTGGCCCGTCTATTTGACGAGGATGTGCTTAGGAGTATAATGATGACTTGTATCATCCTCCACAACATGATTGTGGAAGATGAGTATGATTACGATGCTGATGAAGTGTATGAACCAGATCCCATGAACACGGTCTTAACACGAATTTATGAAAAACCCATAGGGCCAAATGGAGAACCAGAGTAGCATGATCCGTTGGTTAGAGACAGTAGTTTCATGCCTCATATGATTGAGCATTACACGGAGATGCAATCGTCATATATTCATGAACGCCGTCAAGTTGACTTGATGGAGCATTTATGGGCGGTAAAAGGCAATGAAGGTGAATGAAGTGAAGTGAAGATGTTTTTTTTTTAATGTATTATGTTTATGTTGTATTTTTATGCTTTAGTTGTGGTTTGTTTATTTTTTATGCTTTGGTTGTGATTTGCTTTTTATGTATGGAATGTTTTGAATAAAAAGGAATTTTGTTGAATATCTTCTTTATTCATTAAAAAAAAATCAATACAACTCATAAAATAAAATACATGAATTACCACTAATTTTTTAAACAAAACAAAAAATACAATGAAATGAAAGGCAAGCAAACTAACTTAATGGTTTTGATCATTTAACCAATCCGTGTTGCTAGGTCCATTGTCACGAAAAAGTCTTCGTCTCATAACATCCCTTCGTTCTAGCTTCCAAAATTATTTTGTTTCAGGGGACATATGGCTTGTATCCATGGCCATTGTTTCCCGATCCTTTTTTTCAATCTTTTCTTGGCGTACATACTCCATTTCTTTTGCATATTCTAGTTGAATTGCCCTATCGTGCTCTTGTTGTTTCATGTCCATTTCAATTCTCATGGCTTGGTGCTTTGAAATTTCCTCCAAAAATTTAGATGCATTCTTGGTAGAATTACTCTCTCTCTTCGCCTTCGCCGCCTTCCTCCCAATAGGCCTCGGCTCCTTTTCGATAGGTGAGTCTTGACTCATCGGGGAATCCATAGGTGAATCCGATGCTGGTGTCTCGTTCAACACCACCGTCGGACCTGTTGGAATAATTCGAAATCTCTTACAATTCTTCACCACCTCCCAACATTGGGTATAGTTGAAACTTTTTTTGCCTTACCCAGTGGCACCAAACCACATTTGTGCTTGTATAATCTATAAATAAAAATAAATGGAAATGCAACAAACTTTTAAAAAATGCTACATGTATTAAAAAAAAATGGAAATGCAAGAAATTTTAACAATTTATTAGAAATGCAATAAATATAAATATTGCAAGAAATATTTAAATAAATATTGGAAATACAAGAAATATTAACAAAATATATAAATTGCAAGAAACATTTAAATAAAAATTAATATGACATAGAAATTAATAAAACGAAAATTACAAATAATTTACCTTATTGCTAAGGTTTTCCCCGCTTCTATGGTTGTTCATCACTTTTGCCAAGGCATCTCTCCATTTCGCCAACTCTTTATTCAGAATTTTCCACCTACTAGATAATGTCATTTCTGTACGGGTCGAACCAATTGCCCTTTCACAAAATTCCTGATGAATTTTTTTCCACATATGAGAGAATTTCATCTCATTGCCCGTTACGGGACAATGACTAATTTGGAGCCAACACTCACATAACAAAACATCTTCCATCATGCTCCATGCCCCTCCGGGTTCACTAGAAGAACCCATAATATGATAGAGAAAAATACAACTTGAAAGTGAAAAAAAGATTGAGTAGAAAGTGAATAATAGTAGAAGGAGAAGAAAATGTATGAGGATTTGGTGTTAAAAGTGAAGAGTATTGGTTGGTATTTATAGAAAAAAAATACAATATTTTTTTTGTATTTTTTTAAATTTTTTTAGAATTTTTTATTACATAAAAATTGGCTGCCGTTGGATTGGAGCAAAATGTCTGACCGAAGAGCCCAGGACGCGACATATGGCACATAACCATTGGCGGGGCACTATAGCGGAGTGTTCAAATTTTTTAACGTTGGCGCATGCAATGCTAAAAAAATTTGACCACTAGGCTGACGTCGTCGTGACGTCAGCATGCTGACGCAAGCATCGCCCTCGAGCTGGCGCTGGGGCCAGCTTAGTTCGTTGGGTCAACAGCATTTTGGGCTTGCCCCAGCCCTCCCCCAGGTCCTATTACTGGAAATGCTCTTATAGACCCAAACGGCTTGTGTATTAATGGCTAGTTTTTATCTTTTGTTGGGTTCCATCCCCAATTTTTTTTTCAAAGAAAAAACGAACAAACAAAAACAAAAAAGAAAAATAATCCCATAACGGCTTCTCTAATTATCACAAAAAAGGCAACCCAAGCAGAAATGACAAAGCAGATCCAGAATTTGGCTTTCATTGGGACAATTAACTGATAACATTAAACAAATCCAACTAATAAGTGCAAACTTTTTAATATATTGATTGATAACATTGAATACATATACCAAATCTGTTTAACACATGTTTCAAGTAACTTGAGTCTCTCGGAAGTCAGAACCATGCTTCCCTTGCAAAACTAGACACTGGAAATGCAAATCTACGAAAAAACTGTAAAAACAAAACAGAACTGCTAAAAAACAAAAGCAATTGCTGGCTTCAGCCGCTGAAAATGGAGATGTGGAAGCCTTACTTATCATCAAGTCCTTTGCGGTCATTCGCTCAACCTGTTTTCGACTTTCTCAACCGTATTTTTCACGCCATCACACCACTTCATATGACCATGCCTGGTTTGGTTGCCTCCAATTCAGGGGCAAGCCACCTGATCTATTCTTTCCCCCTTGGCTAAAAGAAGAAAAAGAATCCATTACATCCTTAACAGACCTTGGACACAGCTGATTACTTCCCCGGAAAGAAAAAAGACAATGAGCCGCTTGCTGATGATTCTAGAGGAAGCACTCTTCCCTTGCACATGTTGTAATAATAACATAACGTTTAATTATTTTTAGATATTTTTCATAAGTAGGCGAACGAGGCAGAAACTTACTGGACTCAAAAGTCACAGACATCCTTTGAAACTCCTATTGAGACCATGGAGGCTTTAAGGCACTGGGTTTGCCAAGGACAATGAAAAGTAAATTAGATCTATATCATCACTACAGGGATATAGATCAAGATTAGTCAGCCTAGGAGAAAATACACGAATTAATAAACATGTTGTGTATAAACAATCTTCTTATGTTCCCCTTCTTAAAAGATCATTTTGTTCGCTCTCACACTTTAAAACAACACAAGCACCCACATGTGTCATCATCACTTTCAGCAGTACAATCTTCTTGGCGTCGTCAAAATTAAGCACCAGTCAATGCATTTTGGTTTGGTTTTTAAGTTTTGTATTGAAAACATAACATGCACATTTATATGCTAACGAACCAACATCTCAATGGGTAAGATGTGAAAATGATGCATACCTTCTTCCTCCAGTTCTAATAGCTCTACAAGTTGTTCAACCCAAGGTAAAAGCATCACAAGATTTCAAGAGCTACTTCATATCATAAAGACATTGAAAGCCAAGGTTTCAGATATAAAACTTAATTTTGCTTCGCTGTGAAATAGTCCATGAAGCTAAGGAAGTATGAGATCACACCACCAGAAGAAAGTAAAGCAAGGAACAGGATCACATGAGGCAAAAACAAACGAAAGGACATATTTTGTTTGTATTTCACTAACCAAGTATCCACCACTAGAACCACAGCAGTAGTACTGGAAACAGAAACAAACTTGGATTATCTTTTGCCGGTCCACGAGCTAATATGGTTACGAATAAAGCCATACAATCTTCGCTTATGTGACAGAGAGAGATTGAGATCATATGTAGAACAGATAAGAACTGAGAAAAAAAAACCAAGACAGGAAAGGGAAAAGAATGACGCGACAACATTAACCACAAGGGTTGTTGAAGAGGGGGATCAGAGGCGTCATGCTCAACCCGAAAAAACAGCGGAAGAGCATACATGAATTTGGATTCCAAACTAGCAAATTATGGCATGCCAACAACTAGCATGTACCTGGAATCATACGAAACATAGAAAGTGGCGCACTATCATAGTAAGTAGAAAAATGTCCCTGACATTAAAAGTGAAAATAAGTGCAATACAAGGCAACACCATTTTATGGCAATGAAAGCACAATTGTGTCCAAAGATCTTGGAATTATATTCTATAATATATGCAAGGTAATGCCTTGGAAAAGTATACCTACCTGTTGATTTGCACTGGGGACTAGATAATTAATCTAAGGAGCCAAAGGACACGTACATGCATATCAAAGCTTCTGCAATAGCGGGACAACTGTGCAAGAAGCAACCCATAACCAAGTGACATGAAGGATAATGGCAACAAGTAACAAGTTCAATAAAACAACATTAAACATGACCTAAATTATAACGAAGTAAGCACCTGTATCTGCTTCTATACCGCCTAAGCACAAACTTACATATTTTGGGATAGTATAGTGGTTCTTTTTATTCAGTGTCCGCTGCATTGCAAAAAAAATATTTGGTAGGGAAACCTCAGCTTTTCTTATCCCTTAATTGCACAACCAACTCATATCATTAAAATTTAAAACAAAACAAAAATCAATATCAAATTTCAAAAATGTGGAAGCATGAACTGAACTACAACAACACTCAAATCATAGAAGAGCAGCAATTAAAAGGCCTATCAATTCCCTTAAGCAAGACAACCTCTTTTCAGAGGACCAAACTGTAGAGGAATGGCAAGTTTATCAGGAAGACTTACTTTTAAACATAAAGTGGACCACTATAATCCACGAAATGACACTTCCATTGAGATTTCACACAAAATGAGGAACATAAATTAACCAAAAAGAACAAAAGAAAACAGCCTAACCATTCCAAAGTGCCTGAACCATTGAGACCATAACTGTGGTAGAAAGGATTGACCTCACCATGAAAGTTTTCCCGAACAACCACTAGCTTGAAAATGGTTAAGGATTACTCAAGCGAAAGAGATAGCCATAAAATATTGGAAAACTGAAGAAAACTAAAACATCAAATACCTTCACATATACGTCCACCAAAAGCAGTTGTCTAACATGTCAAGATTTTAGTTGTTTGTCTTGAATGGATGCGTCTATGCGTAAAAAAGAAACATCTGTTCCCATGACCAGTGTTATACGTGAATGTAACTCAATCCAATCCAATTATATCGACGAAAAGTGCAAGCAATGAGAAGTTCCAAAGTTGTGCACAAGAGGATTACCATTAAAAATATGTTATATATTCATAAATTAACTTTTGCAAAAGTGTACATGAAGATACGAGTACCAGGCACAGACAACGTTAAAGAGTATTTAGTCCATTCTCAACACCTAAACCATACAAGACACCAGCATACTTCTCCAAAGAACCATTAAAGAAACTCTCTTTCAATTTTCTGAACGTACAAGATGTAAGCAAACTATCAGAACCTGCCTGATGACAAATACCAACTCTCTCCACTTCCAACAATTCTGCAAGCTTGTTCAATCCACCATGAAGGCTATTGCAAAACTTCATCAGATGCTTGATATCGTATATTGTCGGAAAGTAAATATTGATCAAATTAAAGAACTCTGCTTGCGTCTCGGGCAAGTTCTGGCAAGTCAAAAGCTTAATCAAGTATCCAAAATCATACCCACTATGGAAAGTGACCCAATGCACACTATCATTCAACACAATCCCAGACGACATTAAGAGCTCGCCAAACCTCTTTGCATCAATACCCTTCTCATTGTTTTTCTTAAAATCAATGCCACTTTGGCGCAAAAGCTCAATAGAATCATTGGCAAAAACATCCTCATTGAGATTGAATTCCCGGAAATTAAACTGCCAAATGCAGTGTTTATCAGTTCCACAAGTGGGTAAATTCCCTTGCTCATCAGAAAATGTGAGACCCAGTTGAATCAGCTTGAGCATATCTACATTATCCTTCAAGGTTTGGTAATGGTAGTCATAGCTGTTCTTGAAATTGCCCACCGGACGAAGAACAATGCCAGGAAACTCGGTGTCCATAGCAACATACGGATAGTCATCGACAATTTTTCGTATCAAAGCAAATTCCTCCTCAAAATTATCGTTCCACACCTCACGAATTTGAATCGAATCGGGCTTCGGTAAGAGCTTCATTCCTCAGTGAAAACCCACAAAGAAATTTCGATAAAAACCGCAGGGTTTGAAGACCCAAGTCACCAATTGAACCAAATACGCATATAGCGGACCCAATTGAATCCGCGGGATCTATAAACCCCGATCAGTTCAGCTAAGGAAGGATTGGAAATGATACAAACCCATCAAAATTCATTCAACAAAGATCTAAGCTTTTAATTAATTGATAATATAAAAAATGCATTAAATTGTATGCAAAACCCACAAAATAAGGAACAAAAAAGCAAATAAATAAATAAATTAGAGGAAGAACATCAAACATCAAATCAATAGAGAAACGTGAAGGAATTGAGACCAACCTCAAATCAAGGGAACATTCGCATCACAGATCCTACGAAGAAGAGGACTCGCAGATTCAACAGAGAATGAAGAAGCTAAAAGGCAAGGTTTCTCAGAAAGAGAGAAACAAAGGGATGCGGAAATATGTCGGCAAGATTTGCTTCAAAATATGAGTCGTAAAGTCGATGAACGAGGAATGAGATAAATTTTATGGGGTCATCAAAATGGCGGTAATCTGAATTCTTTTTTATTAACTGGTTTTTGTATGTGTGTGTGTGTGTTTTTTTTTTTTTTTTTTTTGGTTTGTTCTTGCAATGAACGAGAGGCAGAAAAAGAAGAACAAACAGAGAGTACGACCAAACCAAAATATTTAAAAAAAAAATAAAAAATTTAAAAAAAAAAAAAAAAAAAAAAAAAAAAAAAAAAAAAAAAAACAGACCAGAGAGAGGAATTTTTTTTTTTATATAAATTTATAAATAAATCCAATCTTAGACATGTATTTATAAAAAAACTCAAGCATTATTTAAACATAGAAACACACCCAAAATCAACAATTGTATATTTTTTGGGTGTGTTTATAAATGGGTTTTGAGTGTGTGTAATGATGGGTTTTGGGTGCGTTTATAAAGTGTTTTGGGTGTTGGATTTTTTTTATAATTTCAGCCTCCATTTTGGGTATTTTAATGAAACTTTATTGGCAGGTGTTGGTGGGACCCACTAGGTCGGTTTGCAATTGATCATTAGTGAGCTGTGGACAGGTGGAAGCAGATGGCAAGAAAATAAAAGCAAAACCTTTAATCTAGGCCGTCCAATCCATCATATCCAAAAAATCCACTTGGGGAGGGCAAGGGGCCAGATATAAAGAGCCCGACTAGTATATAGTCTATACTGTTTTGACCCGTTTGGTTCGCAAAATGAATTCTATAAAAATTTTGTTTACGTAAGTTTGGTGTACAAATAGCGGTGGCAGCTGAGAGGTTTGCACATAAATTAGGATTAATTAGGACCTCAGACAATCTAAACTATTACAAGAGGAGGAAGAGAGGTTTCTCACACACTACTAAGGTGCTATAGGGATTCGAACCTGAGATTACTAATATGCTATAAGAATTCGAACTTGAGACTACTAATATGGTCTGTAAGTCAATAACATTTTCCACTACACTAGACCTGGTGGCACCCTCACACCATCAAATGCCACTTGAATCGTATGCACGTTGCATGAAAGATTGAACAAAACTACAAAAAATTGAAAACACAAAGCATAACCCAAAATATTGTAATTTAGGGTTGGGCCAAGGCTGAGAAAGGAATGGCTTAGGGCCTACCATTTACAAAAATGGGCGTGTCCAAGCCTGTCCGTACAATCGGGCTAACCCGTGACTCAAAACATCATATCAAGCTTGGGCGGGGCCAATTTTACAATGTTAGCCCAAATACATTCGGTTGGGAAGGGCATGGCCGATCACCGAACTGGATTCAATAATGTAAACTACAGATACACAAGCTGATGACTACCGATAGCATAAGTGAATGGTAAAATAGCAGTCACAAAGTTTCCCACATAAAAATTTAGGTTCATAAGTATTCAAGGTACAATTAATCCAACTAAAGCAGGTTCTTGTCATAGCATATATCACAAGAGGAAGCCCCATGAAAACATGGTCTTGCCATCCAACCAGTTGATCCAAATTTAGTCTTCCACTTTTGCTACCATTGCCTAGCATAATAAACATCAGAGAGTAAGAAAAACCTTAACAAGATGTTCGTGTGCATAAATGACGGTTCAGGGAATGGTTTTGATTTAGCTTGTCCGACAGTTTATTCTATATGCAGATATTTTACTCGAATCTCGAGATTCTTAGTCTTGGTCATCTAAATGCATTTGAGTGTTTGCAACAACAATATGCTGAAGCTGCGCAAGATGCATAGAGATAAAATGAACCGAAGTAAATTGTAATATGGCAAACTAAACAACCAAAACCTGATGAACTTTGTTTAGTAGTTCCCCACAAACTTTCTAATGCAAGAACACCAGAAGCTGCCATACACAACAGGACAGCTGTTATTCAATTCTACTAGACACAGATTGAAAAAGTTCTTTTTCTGTCAACTATTATCCTTCACCACAACCTATATTGTCCACAGCTATGAGTGAAATTGTAGTGTCTCCAATTTTGATCCTCATAATTTTTTACAATCGAAACAGGACCTTTATATACAGACTCTGAAGTGGATTAATAAAATCAAATGCCAATATCTAAAGTGGTGTGATATATATTGTTTGGGACTAATTACAGGCTGCCACTATGCTTCTTTCCTCAGAAACACCCATTCCTTTCCAGTGAATATTTTATCATTCACAAAAATAATTTCAGCATTCTTCAACCTCTCTATTACTGTATAACTTCTCAAATTACTGTGTAATGAAACTGCCAATAATCCTGTTGTTACAAGCAAAACACATGCACTTCTTCTACTAATCTTTTATAATAGACAAAACTGAAAGCTTATCATGGTAGAAGGAAGAGATGAAAAATAAAACAATAAAATCCTTCCTGTTTCAAAGTGAATGAGGCAAGGCAATCATGAATATGTAGATTGTTGGGTTTAACAATCAGCCCAAACTATATCAAAACAAATAGAAGATCTGGAGAAACTGTAACTTTCAAATAATAAAGAAGGCTCACCTTCACCTCATGTTCTCTTTCGCTTGAGCGTCTTTATTTTGCTTAAGATATAACTGATAACCTCCTTCAGTGTGGCTTTCCTTCCTTCTTTGACGTTCCAAAGTTCAGAGACAGCATACCTCCCACTTGGATTATATTCATTAAGTTCTTTTAAGGCTGTAACGACACACTCATATATCTCATGGCCCCACTCCTCCTTCAGATTCCGTAGCTTCTCATCTTCCTCATTAATTATTTCCTGCATCACACGGCATGTAAGCAAATTAATCATCTTTTTAACCACTTTCCAATTGTCCTTAAGAAAGGGTGATTTGACAGGATTAGTCATGTCAACCCATATGACTCAATTCAATCTGATGAATTAAACGATTATGCATGTCAACTTGCTCTACAAGCGTGATAATTGTTTTGTGTTTGTGTTGAGAAAATTAGACATGATTAATTAACAGAGAATGTTCTTGTCCGGCCAAATAGTGTAATACTGCGTCTCTCAACCCTACACGAACATGACACATGAAGTCCAATTGCTACCCTTATTTTTGTCTTCATTCTCAAGAAATAGGACAGCAACCACCAACATGTATACACATAAAACTTCAGTTTTTAAATTCTTCTCCATTTCGTCCAGAGCAAGGAAAAGGATATCCAACTCAACTTTTACCCAACTCTGACATTGAGTGGATCTCACAATACTATGAGGAACAATAAAAGTTGGAAAAAGAGTTGAGCTCTACAACATCTTTCAAGACAAAACGTACGCATAATATATAGGTATCAATGCATCGCAAGGTAAATTAGCACACACACAAAGAGCATAAACTCTCCGATACAATAGTAAAATGGGAGAAACTGAGTTGGTCGGGTGCCAAACGTGGCCCATCTATAACAGAAGAATCCCCAAAATGTTTCCTGTTTGAAACTCCTGTAGACATATAAGAAGATAGAGGGACATGAAAGAAATTGCATTCAGTACACAGGTACAACCTTACTATTTTGAAAGTGCACTCCTATCCTATTGAAAATCCCTTAAAATTTATATGATAAACCTAACCTATCTGTATCTCCATAAACCATGTTTCTTGCAACTTCCCAAAATATCAAAAGCAGGAAAGACCATAAAGAAAAACAAAGTTGCCTAGTTAATGGCAAAGACTAATTTATGTTTCAGAATTGGTATCACGAAATAACTAAAGCACTAAGAAACAGTTGGAAACAAAACAAAGTTACATATTTGCACCTGAAATAACGAGTTGCTAGATAAGCTTTTTAACATGATATATAGTAGCAAGCTGCAGTGTACAGTTGAACTTGCATTATTGGTTATTGAATGACTTTGGAAACAAAAGATTTGACAGTATAGAAAAGATATACCTGAGCATTCCCATCAACAGTTATAATCTTAAAAGGATGCCAATCTGTTTTTGTTAGATTATCCTGCCACAAGGAGCATAAAGTGGAGGCCTGCACCTGTGCTTCCTCATCACTAAATCGTTCCTTGCATACGTTGTAGAAGGGCTTGTAATCAAGATCACCCATTCTCTTTATCTGAATATGAGATCGAACATCCAACATACCTCTCAAACCCTAAAGAAAAAGTAAAAGCTTTCGTGACTTTGTTATCTCTTTACTATAGAGGAAACATATACTAATTACAAATCAGTTTTTTTATACTTCTTTTCCTTAAAGGATAAGATAGTAGGACTTATTTCCATTTTTATAAGTAAGAATCTAATATGGTGGAAAACATATACAAAAGATTCATAACTAGCTACATATATCTGATTCTATATCATACTCTGGTCTGAGACACAAGATTATGCCAAACAGAAAACATGTGAAGTTGGATGATTGCTACCAGAAAAATTATCATATACCCAACAGTCAAAATTGTGTCAATATAGAGAAATGAGGGCGGGTGGAGAAATGACCTAGGATTAAAACAGGTCAAGCGTTTTGATCCTTTGCTATGTAACCAAAAACAAATAAACCCTGTCATAGGCAAAAAAATAATAAAGAAAATCTAAAACAATTTGGCCATCGAATTTCCGTGAAAGGAATAGATGAGCATAGTGCTTTCAATAAACATAGAAATGATTTTATGATAATCAAAGGGCTAAACCATTTCCAATTTGGCTGATTTGCTTGGATGATCTTAATTGGGTACTTAAAACATGGATGGTTTTCATCATGGGACCACATTGTAGGATCTAGGCCAACAATCTGGTCCTTACTTTGCATAAAAGGAGGAAATTTTTTTTTAGATAATTATAAAATCAGTAAGTCCCAAATACAAAGGAAAAAGAAATACATACTGCTATTAATTCTTTACGAGCTTTCTGTAACTCATCATTGCTTTGGCGCTCTTTGGTGATAAGAGTTTGATTTAGAGATTCTAAATCCTCAAGCTCGTCAACCTTTTCCTCCAATTCATCATTCATTTCTTTTATCTTCTTTTGAACTGCATCGTCATCTTGGTCCCCGAGATGCTTCATTACCTCTAATTTCCCTTTTATCTCTTCAATCTCCATTTCCAACTTCTGTTTCGCATCCAACTGCTTTTCTAACTCAAGTATTTTGTTTAAGGCATCCTCTTTTTCCCTCTGAAAAGTTAAGGGTCCTAGTCAGGGAAAACCAAGGAAAATATAATATTTTAAGGAAGTTTTACACTTTCTAGTCAGGTTAATAGTAATTCACATACCTTTTGCTCTTCAACCAGTCTCAAGACATTCTCATCAGCCTTTTTCTGCTCCACGGAAGCCAAGTGAAGTGAATTGTTTCTCTGATCATTCTGTGGAAAAAAAATCTTATTAGTAGCAAGCACACATAAACCAGGCAACAGCTTCACTTACTGCCATGCAAACAATTTTTTTACACAAGATAATAAGCTATGTGCATGCCAGTGTTTCATTTACAAGAAGTGCAAGTGTACCTAAACATTATATCTTGTATGACATTGACTATGAGGATGCACTGTTGACCAGTTTTAAAAATAAATAAATAAACTGGATTGGGCAAGCCCATAGAATACAAGATAAAATGAACCAAACTGAAAATATTTTGATGCATCCCAGTTAAATGGAAATAATGGATCCTTTTGATAAACTATAAATGACTCTTTTACTACTTGACTCCCAATGCATACAACTAGCCCCTTTATTGAGGTCTCACATTGTTTAGTCTCCCAATAATCACATAGGAACCTGAGTCTGACTTACACTGTATATACAAAAATGAAATGATTCTAGTGCTACTTGTTTGAAATTGCATAGAGGTCTAGTACTCTTCTAGACTCCTATGTTTATAGAAAATAAGTTATACTTCAGACACTTAAATCACTGTGTAATGAATAAAGCATTCACTGACTTATAGAAATTATCAACTCAAATTCTAGAAATATCTACAAGTCTAATCAACTAAGTTAGAAATTAAATTCTGTCTAGACTGATGTCAATCATATTTGTAGCTAAATGACCTAATACTAGTATAGCTAACAAACTGCAAAAAGTGGACTGCTAGAAAACAAGTAGATTGAATGGTTAAATTCTTAAAATGCACAAAATTGAATAGTACAAGAATATGACATATATTACCTTCTTCTTATCCTCGTCAAGCTTTTGCCTCTCACGCTCAGTTAGTGCTTCACGTTTGTTTAATTCTTTGCTCCAGGAATCAAGTTTCCTTTTCTTAGACTCCAACTCATAATTCAGTTTCTCTTGTTCATCTAAAATTCTTCGAACATTGTCTCGTGCAGTCCGCTGCATTTTCCTCGTTTCTGATAAGCAAAAAAATGTTTCGTCAAGGAACAATAACAGAATTTTAAACAGGACCCAACAGTATCATATACTGTATAAGAACATCAAATGCAGATAATAAATTTCACGACAAATGCATAGGCGCATTTAAACAAGACGATGTCCTCTACACATGCCCATAAACAAAAACAAAGCACAGAAAAAGGGACAGAAACAAACCTTCAACAAAGTCGTTGTGTAGCTTGTCTTTCTCTTCAAGCATCCTACTTAATGACATTGTGTTCTCATTGTATTTGTACCTTAGTTCATCCAGATTTTCATTTGTCATGTCAATTTTATTGGCTAGGCTGGCCACAACATCATTTCTGTTTTGAGCTGCTTCCTGGACAATGTCAGATACTGTTCTTAGCTTTCCTTCCTCGCGAAGGAACGTCCCCATCGGCCCTTGGGAATGATAATCATCCGCACGTGCACACCACCCATAAATACTTGAGCCAGGCTGTTGCTTTCGTGCATTCCAATCCTTTTTGCCGTGACAGTCAGTTTCAAACATTTTCTCAAAATCAGTAGCATTCCCGAAACCACTCCAATCTTTACTAAAGCACACCACGGCGCATGCAGCTGGCTCTTCTTCATTCAAAAAGGTATGAACTTCTGAAGGTTTATATTTAGAAAACTTCCTCAACCAGTATCTAGAATCCAGCAAATCTTTTCCATCCTTTGGCTGACTCACAATGTTCACAACGATGCCAGTCCAAGGCCACACATAAAGATCTTCTTCTTGCTTCTCTTGTGGAGCGACAGGTGTGGGTAAAAGTGGGCGCTGCATTTGGTCTGCTTCACTGGCTAGGTCATTCTCCAAATAGATGGCCAAGGCTAGGTGGTTGGCCTTCTGTTTGGCACTTCTGTTAGCAGAACCTTTACCCACCCCAGAAGCATGTTGGAAGAGGTCCTTGAACTTGTAATCTTGTTTCTTCTTCCCGGCACAAAAGGGGCATCTAAGAGTGCCGTTAGGACCCTTTACTTTATACTTTCCCTCCCTCAACTGCTCATATGGTTTATCTTTGTAATCGTTGATCTCAGACTCACTAATATCCGACTCTTCTTCGGAGCTGTAGTCCATCTGGATTATCTACAAGCATTACAAATCACTAAACCCATTACACCGGAAAACTTGCAACAAGACAGTTTAAGGTAATTACAGCATGGATTTCACTCCAAAGGGTCAAAATCAAAAACATAATTGAGAAGAAAACAAAATTGAACATACAATCAAATGCTTTCAGCGTGTTTAAAAATAACGAATACAAAAACAATGTTTGTGTGCAAATTACTTCTGTGACTTAAAACTCATGCTTCAATCTTCATGCTGAGTGCATTTTCCCTACATTTCTCAGTCACAGAAACTACATTTCAAAATTCCAAACAAAAACCTCTTCGCTACCCACAAATTTGAAGCCGCATTTCAACATGCAGATAACACAGGATCAACATAATCAAACACATTATCAGCCAATAAGTGCAGATTGTAGTGAGACAAAGTGAGAACTTACAGTAGAGAGAGATAGAGAGTGACAGTGTTCCTCGAGCTCTTCGTCTTCTTCTTTGGGTTGGGTGAAAGAGTAAAATGGTCAGCAGCGAGCCCTAGTAATGCTTTTGATACCAGAGGTGAGGATCACGTGACTGGAGCTCAGTCAGATTATTACAATTTGCCAGCAATGATTCGGCTAAGAGTCGTTGTGGGCTTTTTCAACTTATTTTTCTTGGTCGATATTTCATTGTGGGCTAGGGCAGCCTTCGGCCCCAACTTCTTTTCGGGCTGACATTTGCTGCTATTGTTTAAATATAACTGATTCCATTAGAGCATTTCCAGCAAGGGGCCCAAGGGGAGGGCTAGGGGGAGGCAAACCCAAAATGGTGTTTCCAGCAACAAAATTCTGCCAGGGCAAAGAGTGGGGCCCAGCGAACTGGGCTGGCCCCGTGAGGAGGTCTGGCCCAAGCACCAAAACTCGTTTTGGGCTGACGTCATCACACTGGAGGTAAATTTTTTTTAATGTTGGCGCGACGTTAAAAAAAATTTTCGCGCCCGCTACAGTGCCCCCCCAACGGCTCTCTTCCACGTGGCTGGCTCTGGGCTCTTGGATTCCCATTTTTCCAGCAATCCAACGGCAACCAATTTTTTTCTATAAATACCAACCAATACTCTTCACTTTTAACACCAACTCCTCATACATTTTCTTCTCCTTATACTATTATTCACTTTCTACTCAATATTTTTTTCACTTTCAAGTTGTATTTTTCTAAAAAAATTTATGGGTTTTTCTAGTAAAACCGGAGGGGCATGGAGCATGATGGAAGATGTTAGCTTGTGTGAGTCTTGGCTCCACATTAGTCATTGTCCCGTAACGGGCAATGAGATGAAATTCTGTCATATGTGGAAAAAAAATTCATCAGGATTTTTGTAAAAGGGTAATTGGTTCGACCCGTACGAAAATGACATTATCTAGTAGGTGGAAAATTCTGAATAAAGAGTTGGCGAAATGGAGAGATGCCTTGGCAAAAGCAATGGACAACCATAGAAGCGGGGAAAACCTTACCAGTGAGGTAAATTATTTGTAATTTTTGTTTTATTAATTTCTATGTCATATTAAATTTTATTTAAATGTTTCCTGCAATTTATATATTTTGTTAATATTTTTTGTATTTACAATATTAATATGAATGTTTCTTGCAATATTTATATTTTGTTTTGCATTTCTAATAAATTGTTAAAGTTTCTTGCGTTTCCATTATTTTTTTTAAATATTTGTTCCATTGCCAATATTTTTTAAAGTTTCTTGTTGTTCGCGCTAAATCTAAACAGATAAGAGTTTATGCTAACTTACAAGTATGCTGATGGTTGAGGACTGGAGTGACCTTCTTCCGTGATGTCCGAAGGTTCGAGCGGGGGCTGGATCCGAACTGAGGAGGGTATACCAGTGTGGTACCTACCGAAGGCACTCCGATGACAAAGTTAGTAACTAAGAGCGATTCTATTGACAGTGGAAGCACTAGTCAAGTCAGAAAGTCTTACCACTTGGCCGGGCCAAGGGGCTTTATTTATAGAGAGCATTTGTGATGCTCTTAGTACTTAGTTTCGATGTGGGACTCGTGGGAGTGTCTTCGAAGATCGACATGTGCTCTGACAGGTTCTGGCAGGAGTTCTGAGACGATCTGTCAGAGTTGGATTGATGTGACTGTTGGTCGCTCGGCACACCATGCCGAAAGTTGGCGTGGGTAGCTGATGGCCCGTAGTTGATCCTAGAATCGGTATAGAATGCTGAAGGAACATTCGGCATGGCCTACTTGAGCTGATCTCGGCTTTAAGTGTGTTTCATGTGTCACGACGTGGGTGGGTGGTCAGATATGGTACAAACAGTAGTCCCCCAAGTTTCTTATCGAGGAGGGACTTCTTGGTTGGGGACTTGCTTGTGTGCTTGAGCTCCGTCATTCTGGCCTGGGAACGAGCGTTTGTCGTTGTAAGCCGGTGATGATCATGTAGTCCCCTAAGTCCTCAAGCGAAGGGGTTGGTGTGAAGATTGGAAGGGCACGGCAGGAAGAGCCGAAGGTGGTTTGAGCGGTACAGAAAGCATGAGTCAAGAGGGAAAAAACTCGACCCATGCGTGCCTGCCGTTCGGCACGAGAGGTGAGTGAACACTCGACCCATGCGTGCCTGCCGTTCGGCACGAGAGGTGAGTGAAAACTCGACCCATGCGTGCCTGCCGTTCGCCAGGAAAGTTGTGCTTGTTCTCAAAGAGGGGAAGAATGGAGAAGTCGACATGTCGAAGTGTAGGCGCAAGTGGGGAGTGGAGGGCGCTTGGGATCCCCTGTGCATGGGTGACACGTGTCAGCAAGGCTGCGAAGAGTTGCGACGTTTCGGTTCCCGATGCTAGGCTCGTCCTATAAATCGAAGGAAGAGGCGGTATGAGGAGGTACTTGAGTTTTTAAGAGCAAACGGAGCTGGTGAGAGGCGATTTTCGGCAAGTGCATTGCGGCATTGTAGGCGATTTCAGGCGGTTTTTGCAAAGGCGGAGCGATTTCCGGCATTGTCGAACCACCGTGCAAACAAGGTATGTTGAGGTTTTTTGTGTTTGAAATAAATCAAAGTCTCGAATTTTGTATGAACATGTATGAACACGTAAGAACGTAGATGATCTTAGATGAACATCAGCTCCTGGGCTCTAGGATAGGGGTTTGATTTGAGCACGTCGTTTAGTTCCATTTTGCTGTTGTTTGTAGATGTCAGACATTGAATCAGACTATAGTCATAGCCCAAGAGCGTTTGATGGAGAATCGGCATCGGAGAGCTCGATCGCAAGGCTTGATAGTGCCGATTTCGAGGAGACTAAGGGAGGAGAAGTGCCGGAGGTGTCTACCGATACGGGGAGCACTTCGAGTGTGGAAGTAGTGGGGGCTGACGACGCCCACCATCGACATCTGGTCATCGAATGGGAGAGGCCGAGGCCGATGTGTCGGTTGCCGATCCTAGGGAAGGCGTGCTGACGGTGGTCACCGACTGACAAAGGATACCGATGGCGAAGCCAGAGGACCTAGTGTTCGGGTTGGACCACCTCGAGCCGAACGTAATGACCGAGGCGGAGGTGGCGAAGATCCGGGCCCTGTACAACATACCGGAATCGGTAAAGATGCGGATCCCAGGGCCGTTGGAGTCGCTGAGCAATCCAAGAGGGGAGGTGGTCTTCTTCATGGATGTCCTTAAGCACGGGCTTCGGCTGCCACTGAGGCATTTCGTGCATAAGATCCTGGCGGCGATCGGCTACGCCCCTGGGCAGTTTAATCCAAATTTTTGGATTACACTCTTGGGGACGATCACGGCCTTCGGCATAGCTAGGGAGGGGGAGCCGAGCTATGAGCAATTCGCTCATCTGTACAGTGTGACGAGGGCGAAGAGTGCCGATCAGGGGGGTGGGTGCAGTCAAACTGTCTGTCGGCGGGGCAGAGGGGGCACTTCGTAGTCGGGGTGCCGACCTCGCAGAAAACCTGGCTTCGGCGTCGGGTGTTGGTGTCCGGAGCTTGGGAATCGGCACCGGGAGTGATTGTGGAGAGGCATATCCCACATCCTTCCAAACAGTTGGTAGGCCCATGGGGTGTCGTTAGGTAGCATATTTTTTTTTTTTTTTTTTTTTTTTTTTTTTTTTTTTTGTTGTCTGGAGGTTGTATTTTTGTGTTTCAGTGTCCTTGAAACGGCCGATCGCTACGAAGAGGGAGATAGAAGTGATTGAGCGCGTTCGATCAAGAATATCGGAGGAGGGTTGTGTGCACAAGGCTCTGCTAGACTACAAGAACCTGTACAAAGCGGGTCTGATCAGTGAGTCTGAGTACCTCCGAAGGAAGGAGGAAGAAGAGGAATAGGCAAAGTAAGTAATGCCGTTCGGCCTTTCATTGTTTCGTTTTATTGTGGCGTATGCCGAATCGACCCTAACTTCTCTTCTCCTATGTGTTTTTTTGTTTTGTAGTGGCAGGAGGGAGAGCAATGTCGGATGCGGCGAGGAGGAGGCTGGAGTCGCAGGCCCCTCAGAAAAAGAAAACCAGTTCGTCGAGGCCGAAGACGAAGCAGCCTCGTCAGACCGAGGGGGCGTCGACCCAGAGGTGACGCCGGCCAATCGGCGACGAGAGAAAAGGGCGACGGAGGCGGAGCTGATTCGTGAGGCCCACCTGCAGGCTACGGGGAAGAGGGTGATCGAGGGCGCCCTCGACGTGACCCCACTTCCGAAGAGGCCAAGGGGGCTGAACGAGGAGGCGGCCGTCGTTGTGCCTGACGACGATGAGGATGTCGAGGCTGAACCGGTGAACATTGCCTGCCCTCGGAAGGTGGTGTCGTTCGTGAACTGCTTCATCGAGGGCACTCAGATGGAGCTGCCGGAGCTGGAGCAGCTGCTGATGAAGTCGTTGCGCGAACAGACCGGTCGAGCCTTTCACCTCCAGGCTGCTGTAAGTGTATACTGTTTGTTGTGAGTTGTGGTGGTGTGTTTATGCGATCGATATGTGCTAACGGTGTTTGTTTGCAGGCTAACATGGAGATGTGGCTCGGCATAAAGCAGGCTGTCAACACGGCCGAGCGCGTGCAGAAAAAAATATGAAGAGGGCTGAGCCAAAATTGCCGAGGCTGGGAAGCTGCTACAGGATGCGGATCGGCATGCGGATGAGAACGCCGTGAAGATTGCCAAGCTATCCTCCAGACTAGCAGAGGCTAAGAGGGCGGCTGTAGGGGTCGAGGAGGCGAGGGCGGCGGCGGAGGCGGCAAAGGAGGCCGAGCTTCGGTCCCGGGCGAGGGAGGTGGAAGAGGCCAAGAAATAGGCCGTAGCTAAATACCGAAACTTGCCAGAGTTTGTGGCATTGCTGAACAAGGAGGTGATGGAGCAATGCGAGGACCTGATATACCGATTCAAGCGCTTCAATGCCGACAAAAAGCTGAATCTGAACTTCGTCCAGGATCCGCCACCGTTGCCCGAAAGGGTAACTGAAGAGATGGTGGAGGTGTACCTCGGGGAGGATGCCGAAGTCGATTCCTCGAGCGGCCCAGAATCGGATAGTGAGGAGGAAGAAATGACTCCCCCTGCCGAGCCGTTGAGTGCCCGAGATGATGAGAGGCCGGCACTGCCTGCTCCTGCTACCGAGGCCGATCCTCCAACTCCTTGACTCTTGCCTTCTCTTTTGTTTTGGTAATATGTAAAATTTAGCGTTTCGATATTTAGGCCGTTCGGCAAATTTTTGTAAATACAATTGCCCAGCTTGAGGCTTGTAATTTATATCCAAGTCTAAATTTGAATGAGCTTCGGTGTTTGTCCTTGTTTCCGAATGTAAGCATGTATGCCGAATTGTATAGAATAGGAAAACGATACTGCTGTTGAAAGAAAAATTGTAAAAAAGTGTAGTGGCCGAAGGGCCAATCACTTGTAATAGAATTTTAAATTTCGAATTCCAAGGGTGGCCGAGGGTTTGACCATCGGAGCCACGCAATCGGTAGGTGCCGGGTCGGCAGATGTTGACAATTTCATAGGGTCCTTCCCATGAGGGGCCTAGAGTGCCTTCAGTAGGATTTCTCGTTGCGACAGACACTTTACGCAAAACCCAGTCCCCCACTTTGAACGATCGGTGTGTTACGCGCGAGTCGTAATACTGAGTCGTTCGTTGTTTGTAAGTGGCGTTCCGGAGCTGTGCTTGCGATCGGTGTTCGTCAATGAGATCCAGGTTGAGGGCGAGCTGCTGTTCATTCTGCTGAAGGTCGTAAGATGTCGTTCGACATGTAGGGGCATGTACTTCCACCGGTACTACAGCTTCGGTATTGAAGGCTAGGGAGAACGGTGTCTCGCCAGTTGACCTTCAGTAGGAGGTGTTGATGGCCCATAGTGCTTCCGGAAGTATGGCACCGAGGCAAAGAAGATGCTGATGTTGAATCAGGATCAAAGATGCCGAAACCAAGAGCAGTCGAATTGTTTGCCGTTGTCCATGACGATGACGTTTGGTAGGCCAAATCGGCATAGGATGTTTTTCCATACAAAGTGTTCGATCTTTGCTGTCGTTATCGTTGCGAGGGCTTCAGCTTCGGTCTATTTGGTGAAGTAATCAACGGCTATGACTGCGAACTTAAGCTGACCCGTGCCTTGCGGCAAGGGGCCGATGAGATCGAGTCCCCATTAGGCAAATGGCCACGGGCTAGTCATCGGATTGAGTGGTTCGGCAGGGACTGTCGATACAGACCCGAAACGTTGGCACGGATCGCACCTTTGCACAATCTGGGTAGCGTCAGCGTGGAGAGTTGGCCAATAATAGCCTTGGCGAACGGCCTTGAAGGCCAAGGATCGGGATCCCGAGTAGTCACCACATGCGCCTTCGTGTATCTCACGCAAGATGTAGTCTCCTTGTTGTGGTGTAACATATCTCAGCAACGGCAGGGAGTGGCTGCGCCGATAGAGGATGCCTTGCAAAAGAAGGTACCGAGCCGATCGTCGTCGTACTGCCTTGGCTTCGGCTTTGTCAGTTCGTAGGGTGACGTCGGTGAGGTGGGCGTGGATCGGGTCCATCCAACTAGGATCCCGACGGATGGTGTTCACATCGGCTTCGGTCGTGCTCCGCCGAGCGAGAACTTCTATGGGGACGTGGCGTCCGACACGGTCGTCGATTGCCGAAGCGAGCCTAGAGAGAGCATCGGCGTGGCTGTTCTCAGATATGGGGACCTGGCGGATGTAGTAGGTTTTGAACTGCTTGAGCAATCAGCGGGTCTGCGCGAGATAGGCAGCCATTGATTCGTCCTTTGCTGCGAATTCGGTGATTACCTGGTTGACAACGAGTTGGGAGTCGCTGCATATCATCAGCTGTTCGGCACCCACGCTTTGGGCAAGCTGAAGGCCTGCCAGAAGTGCCTCGTATTCGACCTCGTTGTTGGAAGCACGAAATTGGAAACGGATAGCATATTCGATCATGGTGTCGTCTGGTGTCTTGAGGACTATGCCTGCTCCGCTGCCCTACCGATTGGATGAGCCGTCCACGTATAATGTCCAGTGACGACTATTTTGATCGAATGTATTGTTAGCCGAAGGTGGTGCCGTGACAGGGTCGATTGGTCGTCCGTCGTTGGTTGGAAGTGTGAATTCTGAGATGAAATTGGCCACGGCCTGTCCTTTTTCAGAAGGCCGAGGGTGATACCTGATGTCGAACTCGCCAAGCTCGATGGCCCATTTGATCAGTCGTCCTGATGTCTCTGGCTTCTGCAAGACCTGCCGCAGGAGTTGATTGGTCAATACGTCGATGCTGTGAGCCTGAAAGTAGGGCCGAAGTTTGCGCGAAGAAAGGACGAAAGCGTAGGCCAACTGTTCAAGTTGGGGGTACCGTTGCTCTGCGTCCTGCAATGCATGGCTCATATAAAAGATGGGGAGCTCAATGCCGTTCGGTCGACAGATGAGCACAGAACTCAGAGCCAATGCTGAGACCGAGAGATAGATGATGAGGTCTTCTCCGGGAAGAGGGGTGGACAGCAGAGAAGCTCTGCTCATGTAGGCTTTCGGATCTTCGAACACTCGATCGCATTCGGAAGTCCAATCGATCTGCCGTTTGCTCCCCTTGAGAGCTTTGAAGAAAGGGGTGCACCGATCGGTGGCTTTTGATATGAAACGGGCCAAGGCGGCGACTCAGCCGGTGAGGCTCTGAACCTCCTTCTTCGTCCTCGGCACCTGCATATCGATGAGCGCTCGAATCTTCTCGGGGTTGGCCTCAATCCCCCTTTGGCTGATCATGAAGCCCATGAATTTGCCGGAAGAGACGCCGAAGGCGCATTTGCTCGGGTTCAAGCGCATGTTGTATTTTTTCAGCTTGTCGAACATGAGGGAGAGGTTTCGAAGATGATCGCCGGTGGTCCGACTTTTGACTAGCATATCGTCTACGTAGACTTCCATTGTAGTGCCAATGAGTTCGGCAAAGATTTGGTTGACCAGTCGCTGATACGTAGCTCCAGCATTCTTTAGGCCGAACGACATGACGTTGTAGCAATAAAGCCCTCTGTCGGTAATGAATGCCGTATGCTCACGATCCGTAGGATGCATGAAGACCTAGTTGTAGCCGGAGTAGGCATCCATGAAGCTTAGGAGCTCATGGCCAGCCGTGGCGTCCACCAATTGGTCAATTCTTGGTAGTGGAAAGCTATCATTCGGACATGCTTTGTTCAGATTGGTGTAATCCTGGCACATTCGCCAGGCGCCGCCAGATTTCTTCACCAAAACTGAGTTGGCTAGCCAAATGGGGTAGGTGACTTCTCGGATGAAGCCGATTGCCTGAAGCTTGTCTACTTCAGTCTTCATGGCCTCGTATCGTTCGGCGTCATAGGATCGTCTCTTTTGTCGGACCGGCTTGAAAGAAGGGGAGATACTGAGCTTGTGGCTGATGACGTCCGGGGAGATGCCAGGCATATCATTGTTAGACCAGGCGAAAACTTCCGAATTGGCCTTAAAAGAGGTAATGAAGTCGGTTCGGAGAGACGGACTGAGGGAAGTGCTGATTCGGACTTGCTGATCCTGTGTGTCAGAGATGGAGACCGTTTTGAGCTCTTCAGCAGGTTGAGCTTGCGGTGTGACGTTGTCGTCCCGGGGGTCATTGGGACATTTGGTCCCTCCTTTGCCATTCGGCATGCTTAGGCGGGTAACGGCCAGTGTTTCGGGCGGCCTTTGCCCTGATGTCCGGGTTGCCGATTTCGCCGTGGATGACACGTAGTATATCCGTGCGCTCAATTGGTCCCCTCGAACCTGACCGACTCCTAAGTGTGTTGGGAATTTGAGCAGCAGCATATGTGGTGACAAAATGGCTTTCATTCGGGTGAGAGCAGGCCTGCCGATGATGGCGTTGTATGAGGTCGGACAGTTGACTACCAGGAAGTGAGTGTAGATGAAAGCCTTTTTGGGGCCGGAGCCGATGGCAAGGGGAAGCTGGATGCTCCCAATTGGCTCGACCACATCGCCCGAGAAGCTTAGAAGAGGAGTGATCTCCTTATTAAGGCTTTGATGGTCGATTCCGAGGTCGTTGAAAGCATCGGCAAAGAGTACGTTGACCGAACTTCCGGTGTCGATGAGGATTCGGCCTACGTCGAAATCGGCAATGTCTGCTCGAATGATAATGAGATCTGAATGGGGGAAGATGATGCCCTTTTCTTCTTCTTCGGAAAAGGTGATGGTATTCCATCCGAATCGTGGGATTTTGCTGTTGCGCTCCTTAGTGAGGCTGAGGACCTGAGGGTGCCGAACGGCACGTACGTAACTCTTGATGGACCGATGGCTAGAGTCAGCGATTGGTGTACCGCCGCTGATCACGTTGATCTGCCGATTCCCCTGGTGCTCGGGGCCCGATCACGCATTCAGATACTGGTCTAGTTTGCCCTTGCTGATCAATTTCTCAACGATCATTCGGAGGGCGATGCAAAAGACTCCGGTATCCATGTCGACTTGCCAAGGGAGCTTCCAGAGGCTTGGCTTCGGAATCATCTGATTTTCGACCATGAGGACATGTTCGTAGGTCGAGTTGAGAATGGTGAAGACCTCCGGCAGTCGGTCGCTTTTGGTGCTTCGGAAGTTTCGGCCACCTGACTCCTTATTGCGCTTGCCTCTGTCCGGCTGACCCTGGAACAAGTCCCTTCGCTTGTCACCCGTTGTGCAAGGTGCGGGCACAGTGGGTGCCGTTCGGTAGGGAGCTTGATTAGTGGTCTGGTGTGGCGGGAAATGGTCATAGGTGGATGCCGAAGGCTGACTTGTACTTGCCGTCGGGCCAGGAGATGTCGAAGGCATTCCTTTAGAGTTGAAGTGTTCGGCGTTGGCGTGAATGGTTGCCTACTTCATGAGTTCGCCATATGTGGTCCAATTGCTGCTATGTACTAGGTAGCGAAATTGGCAGGCTCGGAGGCTACTTTTGATGGCGCCGAAGGCTGCTCGGTCGTCGATTTCTGGGCACCGAGAGTACTCGTGGCTGAATCTGGCTGCGTACTCCCGAAAAGGCTCACTGTCTCCTTGCCGAATGGTGTAAAGGTCGTCGGCAGAGTATAGACGATCGGTCTGTATCATAAAATGATTGAGGAAAATTTGTTTTAACAGGTCGAAAGAGTCTACCGTACCTAGTTCCAGCCGATAGAACCAATTCAGAGCTGCCCCGACCAAGGTAGATGGGAACAAAAGGCATTGGCCTTCATCGGTGAGTCACTTGCAACCTAAGGCCGATTGAAACGTGTGAATGTGGGTGACAGGGTCTTCCACTCCCGAGTAGAATGAGATTCGGAGGGCATGTACCTCTTTTTCAGGTCGGTAGAATCGAATTCGGCTAGTGAATGGTCCCGGTTGTACCTTTTCCCAAGTTGGTGTTCAAATCTGATTCTGCTCTTCCTTGATCCGATTGACTTTTTGAAGGAGGAGGCGGATTGTAGGATCGGTAGGAGGGAGGTTGGTCCCGAAGGGTTTTGCCGTTTGGGGGCCGGTTGGGAGGCAACCCTCGTGTCCTTGTGCCTCGTGGCCCGCCGTTAGACGTCCTTGCCGCCGATCGTTCCTTCTGGCCGATCCGGATGTCGTCGACTAGCGTGAGAGTGTCGTGTCGAGGGAGGTCGGAATGTAGTCGGATTCATCTGTCTCTTCCAAGCCGATCACGTCATACCTCCGTCGAAGGGGAGATTTTGGTCCGAGTACGTCCAGATGCCGATCGTTGAGTTTTGCTTGGACGGGAATCGGTGATGTCTGGCGTTCCCGTCGTCGGTCGTTGATTCTGTCGTGGCAATCGGAGTAGACTTGGCATTCCCGGTGGCGCTCTGCCGAAGTTGGAACGAATAGTCTTCGGGAGGCAGACGGTTCGCCCTGAGCTAGCTGCTTTCCAGCCTTTCGATCGTTAGGCTTTGGTACGCTCTTCAGTGATCATTCCTGCCGAAGTTGCGTGGTTTGTTCCAAATCGTCCTGCAGCTGGGCCGAACGTGATTGTTGCTCGTGAAGCTGCTTCTGGGTGTCATCCAGTTTGGAGGAGAGGATATTGTTGTGTTTCTGCATCTTGGTCATTTCCCGCTGCAGGGCTTCCATCCTATCTTCTAGGGTGCTTTGCCGACCGGGCGTTTTCACTCGGGGTGTGCCGGGCGGCACAGCAGGGTGCTCTTGGCCGACGAGGCCGAGGATGGGACCGTCGGCCGCAAGGGGCGAAGGCGGGTTCATAGTTTAGAAGTAAAAGGGAGATATGGGCTGATTGTCAATCGGCTTCCCACAGACGGCGCCAATCTGTTTAGGTTAAATCTGAACAGATAAGAGTTTAGGCTAACTTACAAGTATGCTGATTGTTGAGGACCGGAGTGACCTTCTTCCGTGATGTCCGAACTCAGGAGCGGGGGCTGGATCCGAACTGAGGAGAGGATACCGGTGTGGTACCTACCAAAGGCACTCCGATGCCAAAGTTAGTAACTAAGAGCAATTCTATTGACATTGGAAGCACTAGTCAAGTCAGAAAGTCTTACCACTTGGCCGGGCCAAGAGGCTCTATTTATAGAGAGCATTTGTGATGCTCTTAGTACTTAGTTTCGATGTGGGACTCGTGGGAGTGTCTTCGGAGATCGACACGTGCTCTGACAGGTTCTGGCAGGAGTTCTGAGACGATCTGTCAGAGTTGGATTGATGTGACTGTTGGTCGCTCGGCACACCATGCCAAAAGTTGGCGTGGGTAGCTGATGGCTCGTAGTTGATCCTAGAATCGGTATAGAATGCCGAAGGAACATTCGGCATGGCCTACTTGAGCTGATCTCGGCTTTAAGTGTGTTCCACATGTCACGACGCAGATAGGTGGTCAGATATGGTACAAACACTTGTATTTCCATTTTTTTTTATACTTGTTGCATTGCCAATATTTTTTAAAGTTTCTTGCATTTCCATTTTTTTTTTTATAGATTATGCAAGCACAAATGTTTTTTGGTGCTACTGGGTAAGGCAAAAAAAGTTTCAACCATACCCTATGTTGGGAGATGGTGAAGAATTGTAAGAGATTCCAAATTATTTAATGGGTCCGACGGTAGTCTTGAACGAGACGCCACTCCATGAGACATCGGCATTGGATTCACCTATGGATTCCCCGATGAGTCAAGACTCACCTATCGAAAAGGAGCCGATGCCTATTGGGAGGAAGGCGGCGAAGGCGAAAAGAGGGAGTAATTCTACCAAGAATGCATCTAAATTTTTGGAGGAAATTTCAAAGATGCAAGCCATGAGAATTGAAATGGACATGAAACAACAAGAGCACGATAGGGCAATTGATGTAGAATATGCAAAAGAAAGGGAGTATGTACGCCAAGAAAAGATTGAAAAAAAGGATCGGGAAACCATGGCCATGGATACAAGCTATATGTCCCTTGAAACAAAACAATTTTGGAAGCTAGAACAAAGGGATGTTATGAGACAAAGACTTTTTCGTGACGATGTTCCTAGCAACACGGATTGGTTAAATGATCAAAACCATTAAGTTAGTTTGCTTGCCTTTCATTTCATTGTACCATTAAGTTAGTTTGCTTGCCTTTTATTTCATTGTATTTTTTGTTTTGTTTAAAAAATTAGTGGTAATTCATGTATTTTATTTTATGAGTTGTATTGATTTTTTTTAGTGAATAAAGAAAATATTCAACAAAATTCCTTTTTATTCAAACATTTCATACATAAAAGCAAACCATAACCAAAACATAAAAAATAAAAAAACCACAACTAAAGCATAAAAAAACAGCAAAGCATAACTAAAAATACAACATAAACATAATACATTAAAAAAAACATCTTCACTTCACTTCATTCACCTTCATTGCCTTTCATCGCCCACAAATGGTCCATCAAGTTAACTTGACGGTGTCATGAATATACGACGATTGCATTTCCGTGTAGCGCTCAATCATACGATGCATGAAACTACCGTCTCTAACCAACAGATCATGCTGCACTGGTTCTCCATTAGCCCCATGGGTTTTTCATAAATTCGTGTTAAGGCCGTGTTCATGGGATCTGGTTCATACACTTCATCAGCATCGTAATCATACCCATCTTCCACAATCATATTGTGGAGGATGATACAAGTCATCATTATACTCCTAAGCACCTCATCGTCAAATAGACGCGTTGCACCCGTGATAATAGCCCACTGGGCTTGAAGGATACCAAAGCACTTCTCCACATCTTTTCTGTACCCCTCTTGATAGGCAGCAAAAAAAATTTCCTTATGGGATCGGGGATGTGGAATTGATTTCACAAATGTTGTTCACCTCGGATAGATACCATCAACTAGATAATAACCGTTCTAGTAGACGATATTATTGATTTGATATGTGATATTTGGGCATTCACTTCTCAGAACATCATTGAACACCGGGGATTGACCCAGGACGTTCAAATCGTTTTGAGAGTCGGCAACTCCAAGCAGTTGGACAATTTTTCCATTGCCAGTGCATGCAGTCAATGCTACCAATCATTCCAGGAAATCCACGAGACTTTGCTTTTTGTAGAAGTCGTTGCAGGTCCCTGGGCGTAGGTCTGCGCAGGTAGTCCCTAGTGTACAGAGTTTCCACTGCATCACAAAATCACACCAAGCTCTCCAAAATAGTGAACTTCCTCATCCGGGCAATCTCATCCACCTGATCAGTAGATGACCTATACGCCAACATTCGTATCACAGCTGTGAACTTTTGCTCGGGAAGAAGCCCCAAATTTCCAACACAATTTTTCTTTTGAACAAAGTATTCTTCATAATTACAAATATCATGCATGACTTTATTGAACAAATGGGGTTGCATTCTATATCTCGCTCGAAAATGAACATCAGAGTATAGAGAATGTGGGATAAAATAATCTTCCAGAAGATTCTTACCCCTAGAATGTCTATGTCTGTCCACATTCGAGGCACGGCCTTCTCGTGAACCACGGCGGCTCTAGTTTTCTTCCTCCAGCAAAGCAACGGCCATGCCAAGTTGCTCATCTAGTTCTCTCTGCGCCCTTTTGCTTGCAGCTCGTCAACGCATTCTTTCTCTCCTTTCTCGCTCTTACCTCTCCAAAACCTCTTGCATGTTTGCCATTGAAAATGGAGAATGAAATCTAAAATTTGAGAAATGGAAAGATGTATAGAAGATCTGGTATGGGAGGTATAAGCTGAGCCTCTAGTTTTATAGAAAAAATTAGACATATAGATATGACACGTGGCGCAATCTTAGAGGGTGAAAATCTTATCTGAAATTTGAAATTTATCCGAAATTTGAATTTCGAAATGTATCTGAAATTTATCTAAAATTTGAAACCAAAAATCTTATCTGATATGAATAGTATTGATACGTAGGAACCCAAAAATTTTATCCGAAAATATTATCCAAATTAATTGTTTAAGTAAACAAAGTTGTGGAAAAATAAAAAAATGAATAGTATTTGCCATGGCAAGCCTAAACTGCTGGAAACACACTTTGCTATGGGGGGCTAGGGCAACCACTATTCACGTGAATAGTAGCTGCCCTAGGCCTCCCCTTGCCATGGCAAGGGGCTAACTGGTGAAAATGCTCTTACATTGGTATTTGCTTCGTTGTGTTAGAGCAACTCCACCTATTTGCCCTTAGCCATGGCAAGGGGGGAGCTAGGGCAGCCACTATTCATGTGAATAGTGGTTGCCCTTGCAAATAGTATTTTGTGTTTCCACCCATTGCCATAGCTAAGGGCAATTAATATTCATTTTTTTGTTTTATTCACAACTTTTTTTACCTCAATAATTAATTTGGATAATATTTTCGGATAAGTTGTCCGGGTTCCTATGTGTCAAGACTATTCATAATTGGATAAAATTTTCGGATAAGATTTTTGGGTTCAAATTTCGGATGAATTTCAAAATTCAAATTTCAAATAAATTTTTGGGTTCAAATTTCGAATGAATTTCAAATTTCAGATAAGATTTTCATCCAATCAAATCAAGCCAAGTGGCATCTCTATCTTGCCAAAATTTTCTATAAAACCAAAGGCTTAGCTCATACCTCTCACACCACATCTTTCTATATTTTCATTTCTTAGAGTTTAGAATTCATACTCCATTCATTCTCAATGGAAGAATATAGGAGATGCTTGGAGAGGCAAGAGCGAGAAAGAAATGAGAGAAACCGTAGAGACGATGAAATCAATGATTTGCAGAGACAAGTCGATGAACAAGTTCTCATAGCAGTGACTTTGCAAGAGGAAGAGAACCAAGGTTGCCGCCGTGGTTCACAAGTCAGCCGTCGCCGGAATGTGGACAGACATAGGCATTCTCGAGGTAAGAATCTTTTGGAAGATTATTTTATCCCAACTGCTTTGTACTATGATGTTGATTTTCGAAGGCGATTTAGAATGCAACCTCATTTGTTCAATAAAGTCATGTATGATATTTGCAATTATGATGCATACTTTGTTCAAAAGTGTGATTCTATTGGGGTTTTGGGGCTTTTTCCGGAGCAAAAGCTTACAGCTGTTATATGAATGTTGGCGTATAGAGCATCTACTGATCAGGTGGATGAGATTGCCTGAATGGGGAAGTCCACTACGTTGGAGGCTTTGGTAAGATTTTGTGATGTAGTTGAAAATCTGTACACTAGGGACTACCTGCATAGACCTACTCCCAGGGACCTCTAACGACTTCTATAAAAAGCCGAAGCTCGAGGATTTCCAGGAATGATTGGTAGCATCGACTACATGCACTGGCAATGGAAGAATTGCCCAACTGCCTTGCAAGGTGATTACGGAAATAGAAAATGCCAAAAAAGTATTATCCTGGAAGCCGTTGCTGGTTTCGACACATGGGTTTGGCATGCCTTCTTCGGAGTTGCCGGATCCCAAAATGACCTCAACGTCCTGGGTCAATCACCGGTCTTCAACGATGTTTTGGGAGGCCAAGGCCCCAATATCACCTATGAAGTCAACAATACAGTCTACCAGACGGGGTATTATCTAGCTGACGGCATCTACCCAAGGTGAACCACATTTGTCAAATCCATTCCAAATCCCCGATCCCAGAAGCAAAAATTATTTGCTACCTATCAAGAAGGATACATGAAAGATGTCGAAAGGTGTTTTGGCATCCTTCAAGCTTGGTGGTTGATTATTTGAGGTGCGGCCCGTATGTTTGATGAGGAGATCCTCAGAAGCATTATGATGACTTGCATCATCCTCCATAATATGATTGTGGAGGATGAGTACGATTATGATGTTGTAGAGGTCTACGAACCGGATCCAATGAACACGACCTGGACTCGAATTTATGAAAGGCCCATAGGGCCAAATGGAGAACCGTTTGAGCCGGAACCGTTGGTGAGGGACGGTCGTTTCATGACCCGAATGATAGATCGATATACAGAGATGCAATCTTCGTATATTCATGAAAGGCGTCAACTTGACTTGATGGAGCATCTATGGGCGGTGAAAGGCAATGAAGATGAATGATGGAGCATAGATGCTTTGGTTATGTTTTATTTAGTTATGGTTTGGTTGTGTTGTTTTTTATTTATTATGGTTTGGTTGTGTTGTTTTTTATTTATTATGGTTTGGTTGTGGTTTTTATTTTATTTTAATTATTGTGCCTTGTTAGTAGTTTTTTTTATATTTGAATTATGTTTTGTTTGATGTATGAATAAAAAGGTCTTTTATTGAATGCTTTGTTTATTAAATAAAGAAATCAAATACAAATCATTAAGAATTACTACTACTAAAATAAAATACATGAAGTACAACAACTTTAATAGAAAACATGAAAAATAAAAATACATAAAAGGTATGCCAACTAATTTAATGGTTTTGATCATTTAACCAATCCGTGTTGCTAGGCCCATCATCCTGGAAAAGTCTTCTTCTCATAACATCCCTTCGTTCTAGCTTCCAATATTGTTTTGTTTCATGGGACATATGGCTTGTATCCATCTCCATGGTTTCCCGATCCGTCTTCTCCATATCTTTTTTGCGCAAATACTCCTTTTCTCATGCACACTCGGCTTGAATTGCCACCTCCATATCTTGGCGTTTCTGCTCCATTTCAATTCTTATGGCGTTCTGCCTTGCAATTTCCTCCAAAAACTTTGAATTATTATTGCTTGAATTACCCTCTTTCTTTGCCTTCGCAGCCTTTCGGCCAATGGGCCTCGGCTCCTTTTGGATGGGTGAGTCTTCACTCATAGGGGAATCTAGAGGTGAATCCAATGTCGTTGAATCACGGAGTGGCGTCTCGTTTAACACAATGGCGGGACCCGTGTGAATAATTATGAAGCGTTTACAATATTTCACTACCTCCCAACATTCATGATGGTTGAAACTTTTTTTGCCACCCCCGGTTGCACCGAACCACATCTGTGCTTGAATCATATATTTAACAAAAAAATGGAAATGCAAGAAATATTTAAAATATATTGGATATGCAAGTAACAAAAAAAAAATAATGGAAATGCAATTAACCTTACAAATAAATTGGAAGTGCAAGAAATATGAAGAAACAATTGGAAATGCAAGAAATATTAACAACATATTGAAAATGCAAGAAATATTAACAAAATATTTAAAATGCAATAAATATTAACAACATATATATAATAGGACATTAAACTTAATAAAACGAAAATTACAAAATACTTACCTCGTTAGTACGATTTTCCCTGCTTCTATAGTTGTTCATCGCTTTTGCCAAGGCATCTCTCCATTTTGCCAACTCTTTATTGAGAATTTTGTCATTTCTGTACGAGTCGACCTCGGAAATTTTTCGCAAAATTCGGCATGAATTTTTTTCTACATATGGAAAAATTTCATCTCATTGCCTGTCACGAGACAATGACAAACTCGGAGCCAAGCCTCACACAAAGAAACATCTTCCATGATGCTCCACACCCCTCCGGTTTCGATAGAAGAAGCCATAAAAATATAAGGTGAAAGAGAGGAAAATGTTGAGTAATAGTAGAAGTAGAATAAAATGTATGAGGATTGGTGTTGAAAGTGAAGGGTATTGATATGTATTTATAGGGAAAAAAAATTCGATTTTTTTTCATAATTTTATGACTGGAAAAACGCCAGCCGTTGGATGAGGATTGGAGAAGCAAATCAAAGCGCTGGGGGCGTGACACGTGGCTTCCAACCGTTGGAGCCTGTGTCGCGCTGACGTCAGCGCACGCCGGTTTAAATTGAAAAAAAAAAAATTCAACTGCGTGCTCGACGTCACCCCTCGCGTTTTGGACCTCGGGCCAAATCGAGTTCGTGGCCACACCCCCCCCCCCCCCCCCCCCCCCCCCCCCGGCTCGGCTCATGGATGGAACTGCTCTTATGACTCCCTAAAAAAATTAATTTTTTAAAAAAAAAAAGTAGACATTTTTACTTACTTGAATAAACTCTTCCTTGTAATTTATCCAATACTTGGTTTTAAAAGTATTGGATTTAGGGGTGGTTGCGGTTCGGTAAACGCGAATTTTTGCCCAAATCGAAAACCGACCGACTATTTGCGGTATGGTGATTTTTGAAACCGCAAAAAAAGTTGTCGGTTACCGTAAATTAGCGGTTTAAAACCGCAAATTCTTTTTGTGTCATAAAAATCCAAACTTCCACATTTTATGCTTAATTTTGATGCTTCTTTTGAAGCCTTTTGATTTCAAGCATACTTTAACCCAAAAATATAAATTCACAACCTAAATAAATAAATTCACAACCTCAACTTCTCAAGCATATATAAATTCACAACCTCCTCAACTTCTCAAGCATTCACAACCTAAAAAAAGTTAGAGTTACAATTCCAAGTATTCCAATTAAAGTTAAACTTCTCAAGCATTCCAATTCTAAATCCTTTAAAGTTACAAACCAAAAGGAAAATGCAATGCAAAATGAATTAAAATTACAACCCAAAGGAAAAATCCAATTAAAAGTTAATTAAAGTTACAAACTAAAAGGAAAATGCAATGCACTAATGTTACAAATTAAAGTTACAAACTCAAGTGTTGGTGGTGGTGAGTGGATTTGAAGGACCCCAATGTGTTGTTTGAGCACCAATGCTATCTACAAAATGCAGTTTTTTATTTTTTTTAAAATATAGTCGCGGTTTGCGGTAACCGCAAGTTTTGAAAATCAAATACCGTAACCGCAACTGCAAATGCGGTTCGGTTCTTCATACCTCAAATGCAGTTCAGTTTCCCGCGATTGCAGTTCCATTGCTGTAAATTGTCAGTTAGTTTTTGCGATTTTTCGGTTTAAAATGCCACCCCTAATTGGATTACTGATTTAAAAAGTGGAATCCATGTATTTTTCGATCCATTGTGTGAATAAATATGGGAAGATATTGGATTGTCAGGGCTCTTTTTCTGACATCTAGCGTTTTTATAAATAAAAAAAATTAGACAACCCAAAATGAAATCCAACAGCCAAAATATTAATATTAATACATCTAAACCCAAAAATCATCCTAAAATATATAAATATTCACTTATCTGTTTATAATTTGCGTGTTTGCATTTTACCATTTATGAATTAAAATTTTGTTTTCGAAATTTGAATTCTTTTTAAAGTTAAAATGTTCAAAAGAAAAAAAATACCTAACTTCATAAAAAAAACATAAAAAAAACAAAAAAACACCTCCCTCATTCAAAAAAAAAAAAAAAAAAAAAAAAAAAAAAAAAAAAAAAAAAAAAAAAAAGAAGAAGGTTAAACAATTTAATAAAAGCTTTTAAAATCAAAGTTTGCGAAGTCAAATGTAGAGATTGGAGGAAAGAGTAAAACAAATAGTTGTATTTTGGAGGGCATGGGGGTGGAATTTAAGTTTAGCCTCATTTGGGTTGGAGATGACCTTAGAACCCAAGAGGCATCTTTGGGGCAAGTTATCTTTCCTACAACGGGAAACTTTAAGATCATCCCCAATGGGGTTTGAAAGTGAGTCTCTATACTCTATGGGGCTATAAAATTAACAAACCCAAAATGAAAAAGCATCCCTAGTGACACACATTTAATATTTCTCTTGTAAGGTTGATAAAGTCACTTATCTTAAATAATAATATATATATTTTGGATACAATAATATCTTATTAAGATAAAATACTTAATCTAGTACATAATAGGTTTCAAACCGATGAATAAGTAGTTGGAAACACATTTAGAAAGTGTGTATTACGCTTGTCCCTCTAATTCGACGGGTAAAACAAACTTAATATCAATCATTTCGTAACATAACTTCATCACAATAGTATGCCCATGAATCAGCTTGATTATGCAACAAAATTTTCACACAAAATGTATGAGCATTGGATCCTTTGTTATGATTGTTTTGTCAGGCATGGTTTTGATTTCACAGCTTCATATTTGGTGACACATTTCTCATTTTATTCTTTTGACTCATGTTGTTGTATTGAAGGTGCTATTGGGCGCTCGCTACTCACTAACATTCAAGGCCAGTATAAATCATGTTCAAATTGCATTGAAGGCGAGTTTTCATCATGAGTTGACCATCCCTAAATTTAACCAACCATTACTACACAAAACATCACAAAAATATGATATAATCATTTCTCATGCCTTTTGGCATAAGATGAAAATTGAAAACCTTATGATTGATAGAGAAACAGAAATACCCACAAATGTATCAAATTCTTGTTTGTACAACAAGATGTAAAGGAAACTGTAAAAATATTTGACAGGACCCGTCCCGGATTCCTCGAAACCCTGGACGAATCCCGTCGTAGTTTCCGACATCACCCTGATGCCTGGCCCACTTACTAAAGACCGAGACTTTCTACCAAAATTTTGGTAGTCTCCCCTGTAAAATGAACATTTCCCAAAATTTCAACCTGCTCAAAATTCACAATTTAATATCCCAACCAGTAGCATGCTTTAAAACGAATAAATAGTTTACAACAAGGCCTCCGGCCTCATAAATCAAACCCTAGCACGAGCAATAACAGAGCATATCTAAGAATTCGATTACAACAAAAACAGAGTTCAAAGGGAATTAAATGATGAAAGATTCCTACGAAGGCTCAAGATTTGGAAGCACACGATCTGACTCGGCTGCGGAGCTCAGTCAACTACTGGCTGGGGGGCGCAAGACAGAAAAGTGTGAGTGGACAAAAATAAAGTTCAGTTCAGTGTAAACCAACATAATATAACCCCACCTTTTAGAAAACCATGCAAGAAATCCAAATGCATCCCAAAACCATCATAATCAAGTATATAGATCAAGTTAAATCAATACCGGATGCCAAGTCCGAAATCTATAAAGAAAACTTTACAAACCCACCATTCAAAACTTATAAGTCCCAAAACTAAACTCTCGAAAGCATACCCGTTGGCACGACTGGCAAGAAAGCATCCTCACCGAGAAACAAGAACGAATGAATAGTTATATATATATAATATAAGAGATATGCAGAAACCCACTACATAAGAAAGTATCCTAACTTGTCGTTCGGCAATACCATACTGGAGCAATTGTGAGTGCTGAGGCAGCAATATGCATAAGACAATTCAAGCCCAAGGGAGGCCCACTTGGCCCACTTCCATAAGATAAGTGGCATGTTCATAATTTTCTACGTAAATTAATATTGAAGGAGAGAACCACCTGTGGGATCAAGGAAAAGCCAACCAAAATATGGCTATCACTTTGCATGACTTACATGACCAAACTACCATCTCATTTCAAAGTGCCGTTCAGCAATACCTCCATTTCAAGTCCAAGGGAGAGCCCACGTAATTCATTCCAAAGAGAAAATGGCGAATGTTGAACGCCACCCACCTTCAGATCATGAGCCCTTACCGTTCAGCACCCCTTTGAAGAGAAAGTTTGGGAGCCCTCATATATTCTACATGGCCCTGCCATTCGGCATTACTTGGCAACATATTGGGTACCCAATGCTCATGAAGATGGACATGCCAATCCAAGTGCAGGCTACGTGGTTCACTTATATTCAACTGTTATTCAGCAATTCAACAAAATAACCACCTTGCATGGCAAAAAGAGACAGATCACCACCCATTGTGCAATATTTCCAAATAGATAAGTGACATTTTCCATCTCTTCTTTTATTATTATTGAATTTGGAGATTGCATTTCAAACTAAATTTTTGGCAATATACTATTATTGGGTCAGTAAAAATCTATATTGGATTTATATGCCATTTAGCGATGTTGCTGACCAACATGATACATGGACAACATGGCAAGTGCCCCAAGTGTTGTAACCAACAGCACCAGCCTCTATTTGTCTCTGAAGCCAATTGCCATACTGCACTTTCAAGATTTTCAAACAAAAATCTGGGATGAAAAGTCAAAATTACAAATCTGGGCATGACTCATCTGGGAGCCACCTTCTCAATGGCACAAATCATCCTACATTTCGTTTGGACAGGATTGAGCCAAGTGATATGCTTAAACCTCCAATTGATCTGCAATTTATTAATCGGTAGCTCCACCGATCATCGATCAATGCCGCACATTGGATGAATGCCCATATTCATGGTTGCGAAATCTCCAATTGCCGAACAGCGACACCAAGCATGACTCAACTCGAAGCTACACTTTTAACAGCACGTGACCAGTTTGCCGAACAGTAACCCAAATGTTGAGGCCAACAAGAGCTTCACATAATGTCCTACCAGTAAGTCTTGTCCACTGTAAGACAAAAAAGAAGCAGCTACACTAGTCCTCCCTTCATCTCACTCTGTCGGAGCCTCTCATCATTTGGTACCTTTAGCAGAGAATTTTATCAATACACCCCTGCCCTCTTGCAAGTGCTAAACAACAGGTATTTGATCGGTGATTCACGTGCTTGCTGGAGCTGACACATCTTCAACCTATCATTAGCATAAATTGCCATGTCTCTGTGCCCAACATAATTTGCCGAACTGTAATCGGAATCCAAGCAGCTATAGAAATGCTAAATGGCAGATCAAGAGTGTCGAAATCAAGCTTTCAATTTTGGAAATATTCTGAGGTTAACAAACGACATCCCATGTGGCTCCATGTACAGACCAACTCCCTATGGATCTTTGAAGTCAATTGCCGAACGGTAATTTCCAAAATTCCCAAACCCCTAAACCAATTTTCATGGGCCCACCACAAGTTGAATTCTGAACCAGGTGGTGGCAACTAAATTTTGCAAGACACAACCTCACAGTTTCCTTCTCTAAAGCACCAAGAGTACAACACGTCGTTCGGCACCATTTACCTTATCTTTCGGCAACTAGTACTAACATGCCTATTCGGCATTTCGAATCATTTGCCTTCAATACCCTGTTGTTCAGCATAATGTTTCAATCACTGACAAAGTGACCAAGTGGTACAACTCATACCACATTGTCTTTCGGCACATATGCATCATTACATACACACCATTACCATCGGCACATCTACATCATCATCATTTGCATCATTGCCATCAATACATATGCTACATAAACATCATTGCCTTCAGCACATATGATCATCGGCATATACGCCAAAAGCAAAAACCTAATACTATTAGTCATCGACAATAGCCATGGTAAGGATCATTGGCTTATACACCAAAGAAAAAAATCCAAGCATATTAGCCATCGGCAATAGCCATTGGTAATGATCTTTCACATTGAGCTCAAAGAAAAGCACATGTTTATTAACCATCGGTAATAGAACATCGGCATAATATGCAAACTTTATACCTTTGGCAATTGCCACGCGATATTGTGTGATTTGGCACCCCTTTGAAGAGTAAAATATGGGGATTTGAGCTTGTTCTACAAGTCTTCATCATTCGACAAAAGCGATGCCCCGTCATCATTATTAGGCGAGAGCGATGCCTTCAGCACCCCATCATCATTATTAGACACGAGCGATGCCTTTGGCACCCCGTCATCATTATTAGACGCGAGCAATGCCTTCACATCCCCCCCCCATGATTCGGAGTCTGCCTTCGGTACCCTTACATCATTCAGCGCATGCAATGCCTTCGTCATCCCCCAATGATTTGGCTTCTGCCTTCTGCGCCCTAAGATGATTCGACGCTCGATGCCTTCGACATCCCCATCATCATTCGGCACTCCAAATCATGTGAGTATCCTTTCTAATTGCTACAACTACTCCCTTGGCAGGCCCAAAGCTTACGGTAAGCTACCAGTAGCTCCAACTGCTGCCCCAAGCTTACGACAGCAACTCCCAAGCTTCCCGAGTTTACGATAGAAGCCTCTCAAGCTTGTGGCAGCAGCTCCAAGCTTACGGCATCAGCTTCCAGCTTATGGCGGCAGCAGCTCCAATGCTTACAGAAGCTCCAATACTGCGTTGCCAAAACGGCACCCCATAGGTGACACTTGTCCAGTGCCTCTTCTCAAGTCATGCCAAACGGCACCTCCAAGAGACATATTTTTCATTCCAGTGCTAACGCCACATGCCGAACGACGCCTATGGAGAATCCTCTAACATCCAGCGCCTATGCCAACTACTGAACGACACCCATTATAACAACAATATCTTCAACACCTATAGCACTTGCCTTCAGCAATCACCATGCGACTCAAACTCCATGCCCTTCAATAACTGCTTTTCGGCGATCACATTAAAATTATGGGAGAACTCCCTTCCGTAGATTACATCAAGCCCTTCGGCAGTGTAGATGGTGCGGCTTGGAAAAAGACTAAGGTGTTGCTCGGTCAGTGCACCGAAAATTACAAGTCCTCAACCAAGAAATACCTCCTTACTTGAGAACTTGGGGGACTTCTGTTTATACCATATTTGACCAAGCAACCAGAAGCAACTCTAAGCAAGGCAAAGAATCCCACATTGGAATATTACAAGAAGTGAAGACTCCCCCTCACCTATAAAAGGAGACCACTCTCCACTTAGGAAATCCACTTAGGAAGGGGGCTGGGGCTGGGCTTGATCTTTAGAAAACAATGAAAAATATGCACAACACAACCATATCCATTTACGGTGGATCCAAAACCAATTGGCATGCTCAAGCACTTTCACAAATAATTTTCGAAGCACTTTAGTATCTGCTTGTCTAACAACCAATCCTTATAGGTCAACTACCCCTACAAGAAATCATAATAAAATCCAACTCATCTGGTACAGTAGTGAGAATATCCATTTACCCGCTACACTGCCTCGACTATACCTCACACCAAGGTATTGGTATAGTATGTCTGCATAACCCCTCTAGAGGTATAGGGAATCGAAATCCAAGGAAGATGATATGTCCCCTTCACCATCAGGTCATCGAGGATAATGCCTGTGAGGCCTTGAAAAATTCCAGACTATTACTATGCTCACAATATTAATTGCACGGTCCTATCTGAGGTAAGTTGAATTTTTTCACAATTAAATATCACTATTATATTGGAGAATAAATTATTTTCCCACAAATTTGAAGTTAGAATTCTAGTGTTTTGACTTTGTAGAAAATTAGTAGACGTCGATACGAGCTTGTGATATTTTTCGAAGAATTTTTCTGAAAACGGAGGTAGGAAAATAAGAAAATCGAAATAGTAACAGCCACATGGCAGCTTGTGATTGGACCACTTGACAGCTTGTGATTGGCTTGCCCATCAATGAATGAGTTCATATATTTTTGAGATATAACTAGGTTCTATAGTACTACTCGGTGAGCTCGTTTAATCTAGACCATTGATTTATTCTAGGATTAGATCTAGACAAATCAAAGACTTCGGATTTGATCTAAGCCATTAGATTGGTAATTAAGAATGCATCTAGACCATTCATCTATGAACTATCATGCTGCTTCCCATATTTTACCAAACTCAACTTTCAATATAGACCTTCAAATTAATCCGAACTGTCCGAGTATTCTATAAATACGCATTCCCTCATTCATTTTCATAACACCTAAACTCTTCAAAACCTTCCTCCCTCTCTTAATCTCCTTCACCATAACCACCCACCTTCTGAGAGTTACTATTCACCCAAAATACTATTCATCCTAAGTCACTATTCATTCCAGAAATGATCTACGTGGCCACTATTCTTAGTTTCATGCAACTTTTATCATGGGGTACTATTCATCACAGTATTTTATCAAGGTAATTTCTTTCCCTTACCTCATCCTTTATTAATATTTGATCCCCAAGCACAATAAGAGTAGATCCACCAAATTTAGCAGCTCCACCTCCAAAGTGGATGGCATAACCACTCAACTTCCACCAGGACATTCCAAAGAATATCACAGCATCTCTTAATCTCCTTGATCCCCAAGCACAATAAGAGTAGATCTACCAAATTCAACAGCTCCACTTTCAAATAGAGAGATCTACACAAGATCTACCGCAAAAGCAAAGAGAAGACAAAACCCAACAAAAGTTGAGGGGTCCACAACATAACCGGGGGCGGGGGTAGAAGAAGAGTTGAGAAGAAAGAAGAAGGCTGTTATTGTCAAAGCGGTTTCAATATTATAAAAGTTGAAGTGATGAGGTTTCGAACCCTTGACCTCCAACTCAAATACTCAACCTCTTCCGCTACACCAACATGGTTCATTAGGGTAAGATCATATCATTAATATATTTAATCGTTACCAATCAGATAGTATTAAAAAATATTAAATAGTTAGGGTTTTTGCTAACATCAGTCTAGCACCACCACTTTAAACCCTAGTCAGCGTCTTCTCCCTCTCCCTCAGCGTCCTCTCTCTCTCTCTCTGTCTCTCTCTCTCACACACACGTCTTCTCTCTAGATTAAATTTCTGAATTTTTTTTTCCTGGGTTTGTGTGGTTGAAGAAGAGGGTCATGGGGGATGAGATGGCAGATAAGATGAAGTATGTAGATGAGGTTGTATTGAAGAGAAGGAAAAGCAATGAAGAGCTGGCTTTAAGGAGGAAAGAGCAGTTGGAGCAGAGGAAGTTTAGGTCTCAGAAAAATAAGCAAGAATTTATTAAGAAACCTGAAGATTTCGTCAAAGAGTTTCGCTACAGGGTAAGCCATTTGCTCTTTTTTGTAATTTATTTGTAAGCGATGTTTTGGTATTGTTAAATTTCATGGTTTTCCTTTGTTGTATTTGTGCAAAAGAAACTCAAATCAACAAGTTTGAATTTGAGGATCATTCTATCGTTGTGTATGTAAAAGAGGGTATTACCCTTTAGGTGTTTATCTTAAGTGCCCAAATGTTGTAAGTTGCTGTCTTTATGCTCGAGTTCTTTGTGAGACTTTGGAAGGGGATTGATCTAGCAATCGGCTTGCTTATAAAGAAACTGTCAAAGGAAGCTTTGATATATACTTATAATTGTGATTTTGGTCTAAAGATTGGGTTTTGTTTATAAATAATGTTGAAGTTTGAGATATTTGTAGAGAACTTCCTCTCTAGATTTTGGATTTGAGAATAACGTGTTAAAAACTGAAATGATTTTATATGGTTAAATCTGTAGTAATTGGAGTGTGTTATGCTAGAATTGCGAACTTGAGATAGATGGCTCTTATAAGCTAGTTTTTCTATCTGCAACTTCATTTGCATATTCTGTCTAAATTTTGATGAAGTCCTTGATTGAAATTATCTCCTGTTTTTATTAGGAGATGGACCTCGTCCATATGAAACACAGGTTAAAGAGAAAAAGGCCAGAATTGGAGACAACTAACTCACAGCTTCTTTTGGTCATTCGCATACAGGGGTGGGTTTGCAATTTAAGATGATGAGTTTTTGTTTCGCTTTATCTTTATCTTGAACCTCTATTTCTAATTTCTATATTTTTTTTTTCAGGAAAAATGACATGCATCCTACTGTTAGGAAGACCTTATACAGCCTAAGATTGAGGAAGATTTTCAATGCTGTCTTTGTGAAAGCAAGTGATGCAATAATAGAGAAGTTGCTGAGGGTGCAGCCGTATGTTTCCTATGGGTAGGGTGTTGAACATCCTTCTATTTTTCTAATTTTTTGCCAGCAATTCTAAGAGTTTAAATGCATTACAAGACATAATGGCATTCTCATATAAATTCATGATTTGCATTCTGAATTGAGCAATAGTTGATTTTCTGTTATAGACAATTAGTTATTCAGATTTTTTAATGTTTGCCGATTTTTTGATTGAGCCTTAAGAATTCTGCCATTGTTGTGTTGGGACTTTGTATTTAGATGTATCTGAGGTCTCCTTTTTGCCCTTCTTATATCAAACTTTTTAAGCTTCATGTGTGAGCTTAAGGCTTGACGTTCTACAAATGCTTGCATGCTATGTCAAGAACAAAGTTGGAACCTGTCATCAAGCACATAACTAACTATAAGTTAAGAACTTCAGTATCTGCAGGGGAGCCGAAACCGGACTCTCATTAACATTCACATTCTGTGGATATCAGTGGACTTTATAGAAGTTTTCAGTGTCCATGTATATTCTAAGAGATGCAGTTATACATAGAAGTTTTTGTGTACTCTATGTTTTCTATCTATTTACTTGTCAATTCCCATATTGTGTCTGTTTTGGAACTGTTTAATATTTCAAACCTTGAAATGTCCATTGTTTGTTAGGTTTCTTCTCTAATAATTGAGCCTTGGTCTTGAACATTTATTGGGTTCTTTGAGGCTGTCAAAGTTCGAAGAAGGCTTATAATTTATAAGGAAGGAACAAAGCCTTTTACGTTAATAGCTGGGGGTTGTCTACAAGTTGGGTAGGATCGATATACATACGAGTTTGTCTGTGGCTTTAGGAATCTTATTCTGTCACTCAGTCTTATCTTTGGCCATATCTGTTTATAATGTATGGAGCAATTGTTTACTTAATTGCATGTGAGCAAAAGCTATTGCGGTATCTTTTGTTACGCTTGTGCTGATATATATTGTGCCCCTTAAGTTTTTCGTTTCCTCGTTCATATAACAATATTTCTGGTTAGACAAGGAGGTGCGGAGGGTGTTCAAGCTAATATGGAGGATTGAATACAGGTGTAGGGATTTTTCATTTCAAAAAGAAATTCCGGATACGGTCGTAGTTGCTTTTTACAATCTTGAGAAGGGAGTTCTATGGTTACTAAGATTTAAGATTCAATCATCAAGTCAAAAGTTTTATGCTTTTTCTATTCTTTGACACCAAGTGGCTGAAATCCTTTCATAGTTAATATCTATTTTGTCATCTCTAATGTCTTAGTCCTAGGATTTCATTTTTTTTTGTTCCAGTACTTGAACTACAATGTTGAGAAGTATAGTTGTTTTTGGTAGTCACATGGCTAGACAACATTCACTATAATTCCCCAAATCTAAATTCATCAATCTTTTGAATTATATGGATATCCTGTTCAAAAGATCCAGCAATCAATAATTTTTTCCCTCGTAGTGTTGCCTGTATACTGACCAATGCTTCATGGTTATGATGATATTTTGCTTGTTTTCGAAGGTATCCTAACCTTAAGAATGTGAGGGAGCTGATTTACAAGAAGGGTTTTGCAAAGATAGACAAGAAGAAAGTGCCTCTGACAGACAACAACCTTATTGAACAGGTAGTGGATAATGTCTTGTTGAATGTGGGGCATAATTTACAAGTCAACATCTTTTTTTAAAAGTTTATTAAATATACATTCATAATTTTCACCCATCTTTTATCTGGCAGGAAATGGGGAAGCATGATATTATATGCATAGAAGATATAGTGCATGAGATTGCTACCATTGGCCCACATTTTAAGGAGGTTACCAGTTTTCTATGGCCCTTTGTGCTTAACAAGCCAGAAGTAGGACTGAAAGGGTCAAAAATGGCATACAAGGATGGTGGAGACGCAGGCGATCGCGAGGACAAGATCAATGAACTAATTAGCAAGATGAATTAGCATGAGAAGAACAGGGGTCTCAAGATAAATTATTTTGGTTTAATGAGGATTGCAGTTGTATTCTCTTTTCATATACAAGAACAGAGTTGTATGATGTCTTGATGCAGTAAAAGTAGTCAAATGATGAATTGTTCTTAGTACCCATTTTTCATTGCTGATTCTGAAGTTAATTTCTTATTTACTATTTCCTTTACTCGATACACGGATGAAATTGCTTATGAAATTTGCGACTCAAAATCAAATCAAAATCACGTGTACTGCAGTGACCTTTAAACAAAAACTCGAGTGATATTTGCCTGCAAGCAACTGTTTCAAAAATTCAAACCTTTCTTCTTCTTTTTGGAAAAAAAAATCCCATGTAGAACAATATTTTTTGACACAGTGAATTATTTTGTTGGAGGCATCAAAAGACAGAACATGGGTTAGGGTTAAAAAGAAAATGTCCATCTTCGACCCAAGTTATGTTTGGTGATTGAGATTGGGTTGGATTATGAGGTAAAGTTGAATTGCAAGGTTCTTGCTCCCTTTCGTCCAAGTTCAAATCCTCCTCATTGTATATTAGATTAATTATCAAAAAAATATTTGTTTATGTTTGAAGACTAAGATTGGATTGGATTGGATTATGAGCTAAAGTTGGATTGAGATGGATTGGATTTATGATAAGTTGGATTACAACTGCAAGGTTGTTGCTCTCTGTTGGGGTCTTTTTCCATCGGAAGGCTCATCCGGGTTTGTTGATTCTTGGACCGCCATAGAGTGGTGAATCAAGCCTTTGTTGCCCATTTTTCTGAGTTAGTGAGAACTAGGCCCAAAGTATCCCGAGGGAGAAGCAAGTCTCAGGGGAGTACTTTGTTCTTCTTCCAGCAACTGCGTGTTTTGTGCGGATATTTCCAACAACTTGACGAAGAGTTGAAGATGGTGCATTGATGTTACACAGACTTGGCATGAGAGTTTGCTTTGTGAATTAAGGTACTACTAGACTTGGCATGAGAGGTTAGGTGTTTCAGATATGGGATGGAGCTTTTTTTGAGAGAGAGAGAGAGAGAGAGAAGATGGGTGGCTTGAGTAGATTTCCAGCAACTTGACGAAAGCTTTGTCATGCTCTTGGGTGGCTTGCCAGAAGAGGAAAAAGGGAAGAAATGGAATAACAGAGCTTGAAATCGAAGGGTTCCAAAGGTGAGTGGTGATGCTTGCTCTCTCTGGATGTGTTTATGGGAATGGGAGGAAGAATATGGAAGAACACAACTTGAGATTGAAGCTTCCAGCAATGAGTAAGGATGTTGCTTGCTCTGGAGTTGAAGATGACTTGCTGATGTTGATTTGAGATTATATGAGCTTGGCATGAGAGCTTGTAGTGTGGGAGCTAAAGACCCACATGTTTAGCAAATGAGAATGCTTGTGCTTGGGTTGGTGTTTGATATGCTTGAGTTTGGGTGTTGAGAATTTATTGTTTGAAGCTATGGATGTGGTGGTTTGATTGTTTGGTTGTGATGGTTATTGGGATGCTTATAGCAGTCAAATGAATGGGGTTTCAAAGAGCATGGCTGAAGAAAGAAAAGCTTAAGACTTTGAAGGGTATGTTGTTTGTGACAATGATTCTAGAGAAATTTATGAGTTCTAGAGGTGGGAGGATAAAAGGAAAAGCTTGAGGCTTGAAAACTATGATGTTTATAGCTTGGAAGGAAGGAAAAGCTTGAAGTTATGCTTGGTGAGACTTTATGGAGAAGATGATGGATTTCAAGGGTGAGAAGGTAGAAGACATGGTTGTGATGGCTGAGGAATAGCTGCGATGACCGTTGGAATGCTTGCAACAATTGAATGGAGGAAGGAAAGTAGTTTGGTGGTTGTTGAAGGGGTTTGATGGCTGCTGGGATGCTTGCAGCAGCCGAGTGAGGGAGTGTTGGCTGAAGAAAAATTGGTGCCCTTTGATTGAGCCATGAATGCTAATTTATAGAGGGTGAGGGTTTTCCTTTATTTCTAATAGGTAAAGAGAGTTGCTGGAATCAGCTTATTTTCAGTGGTTAAAAGGGAGCACTAGGGCATGCTATTTTCTAGCAGGTAAAGCTAGGTATCATAAACTGATTATTTCCTATGGGTAAAAGGAAGCACTGGAAATTGCTTGTTTCTAGTGGGTAATAGGAAGTGCTGGAAAAGGCTTGTTTCCAACGGGTAAAGCTAGGTATTTGGAAAATGACTATTTCCTATGGGTAAGTGCTAGGAAAATATCTCATTTGCTCATCCATATTGGAGAACTCTAAGTAATGAGCTTGGACTTTGGTACTCCCAAGTAGCTAGCCCAAAGTCTCTATTATCCAAGAGTTTCCGTGGGCCTTGTGGACCTCCGTAACCTTTCACACCACAATCCCTCATGCAAGCCCCGTAAATCACATGACTTGGGTTCATGTGAGCTTGATAGGTGATTGGCATGGGAAAAATGTATTATCAGTTTGACATGGCATGTGCACTATTTCTATATTTATTTAATGAATTAAATCAAAAATTACAGATTAGATTAACGCATGACCAACATTATACGTTATATTGGGCTTTAAATGTCTTTGGGCTTCTCGTGACTTTTTGGGCCTCAACACTCTCTTGAACTCAAGTTCGAATCCCTCTCACCCTAGATTAGATTAATTATAAAATATAATAAAAACTTTAGAGTTTTTCTATTTAAACTTCGCACTTCTCTTTGTTCAACTCGTATTCTAAGTTCAGCCCAACTTATAATTCAAATTTTCACAATTTCTAAGAAAACCCCACTATCTTCCCAAACTACCCCTAAATACACACCAGACAGTAGAAAAAAAAAAAAAAAAAAAAAAATCATCTCTCAAGTTGGATGACATTTTTTGTCTTTTTATACGATAATAAAACTTAAGAGCTTAATGATTTAAGCATTGGGGTAAACAAAGAAAAGTTAGGTTTAAATAGAAAAACTCAAACTTTATTTGTGTTTGATGCTGAAATTGGATTGGGTTAAGGTAAAGTTGGATTTCAAAGATGTCTCCTTTCACCCAATTCGAATTCCAACCGTAGTTAATTTTCCAAAAGAAACAAAGGTGACCTCGTAGGGCAGAGCGCCTGGGTTTGAGCAGAGTGTGATCAACAAATAAAGGCTTAATTATGTACATGCCCCCTGTGCTTTCCAACTTATCTCAGATTACCACCTGTGGTGGAAAACGTCTCAAAGTACCCCCCCAACGTGCAAAAAACTGTCTCACGTTACCCTTTCCGTCAATTTTTTTGAAGTTCCGTTACGAATGTTACTGTTCATCTTCCCCCAAAATTCCAGAACAGTAGCCCCTCCCCTTTGTTACTGTTCATCGCTTATTTACCCTCCAAAACTAAAAAATTTCTCCTAACCAACACAACTAGCAGCAAGAACAACTCGAGAGGTTGAAAAATCATACCTGGATCGAAGAAAATGGTGCTCGGAATCGCCCGAACGAGCAATGGAGATTTTGGGTAAAAACCGGCCAATTTCTTGCTTTTTTCGGTGATCCAGACGACGGTTGGCAGCGGCTGAGATGTGAGGGTGGTAGAGGACAACGTGCTGGTTCTTTTGATATCCATGTCGTCGCTTGGGGTGGCCGGAGGAGGCGATGGCAGCCCAAAAACTGGTGCGATGAACAGTAACAAATGGGAGGAGCTGCTGTTCTGGAATTTTGGGGGAGATGAACAGTAACGTTCGTAACGGAACTTCAAAAAAACTGACGGAAAGGGTAACGTGAGACAGTTTTTTGCACGTTGGGGGGTACTTTGAGACGTTTTCCACCACAGGTGGTAATCTGAGATAAGTTGGAAAGCACAGGGGGCATGTACATAATTAAGCCACAAATAAAAGGGCAGAAGATTCAAACTTTCTTCCGAACCAAACACCACAATATTTCTTCGAAACTCCAAATGGACGACAATGATCCGTGGTTAGCCCCAGACAAGCTTCACCATGTTCTCTTCTGCTTCTCTTTCACCCTCCTCTTCTCCACATTAGCCGCCCGAACCCGGTATCCGTTTCTACGTCGTCACTCTATTCGGGTCGGATCCATTCTCTCTCTCTTAGCCGGCGCAGCCAAGGAGTTCGCTGACGAGCTCGGGTTCTTCAGGTCCGCCGGAGCCTCCGCTAAAGACGCCGCCGCTGATATCCTCGGCGTCCTGATCGGTTCCCTTGTGCTATATTTGATTAAGTACACGACTCGACCCGAGAATGAGACGGGTCGGATCAAAGAGGATTCGATGGTCTGATCGGGCTTTTGGGTTAGTACGGTTAATGGGGTTGTCTGGTTTTTGAGGAATATTGGTGGGTTTGGGTTAGTCGGGGTGGTTGAAGAAGAGGAGTTTGTTTGGATGGTGAGAAAGTGTGGGAAAAGGCAAGAAAGTGGAGATTTTGCTTAAGTGAGGCAGAAGTTAGGAAATTAAGAAGGTTCCACTTAAGTGAGGCAGAAGTTAGGATAAAATGAGGCATTTCGCTTTTCATAGTGGGCAATCATTCAAGCAATTGGTTAACTTTAGGTAAGGTTTTCTTTTTATAACTTTGTTAAATCCAATTTATGTTTCTCTGAAATGCTGAACGTGTAATATAGGATAAAAGCCATATACGCTGATTTGGTTGTTCTTTATACCTCTGGTTCTTCATTTGCTTTTACAATTTACAATAATTTCTTGATTGATCTTGTTCACTCCTAAAAGAAGGTTAGCTTGAGCATCTGAAAAGCGCTTTTGTTCAATTGAGTTTATTGTGGTTTCTATAAGATGACCTCCAACGTTAGGATTCATCTTTCTTTCGTGTATGTCCAGGCTCCAAGGCGTGTGTTGCATTTACTTTTATCATCTCCTCAATGTATTGAATGAATTTCTTACATGGTTTAGCACGGAATAAGACATATAATAGTGGAATATGTTGTATAACTCTTACTTAACCAGAAAAATTGGGGAATTGAATCAGATAAATTTGGTAGAAATGCTTGTTTCGTTGAAGGGGGAATAGTAAGAGTATCGGTATAAGAGGTATGAGCTTGTTCATGCGGATGGACCCTTTCTCATTCTCATTGGAAAATTGGGACGGACCCTTCTTTGTGGCTTCATTCAAATCGGAGTTTTGGGGTGGAGCCTTCTTTCTTATTTATGCGGATTGGAAGGAAGAAGGATTCCTGCGTGCTACAAAAGTTAAACATATTAAGTATGTATGACACCCCATTTATGTCATTGAAAAAACTAGTTATGTTTCTCCAAGTGCATGGGAAGTATTGGAATTTCCAATATTTAACATATATTTTAAACTTTTGGATATATCAAACTAGAATCTTATGTCTGTATATAGATTACGTGAATATTGTTCTTGCTCTAGGATTTGAGAACATGTACTCCTGTTTAAGCATCTATGTTATGTATGTTTGTTCCTATTTGTTAATCCATTAGAACTCCTAGGGGATTTCATTTGATATTTTTGGCTACTGAAAATGAGGACTTTAACATTAGAAAGTCACGAAGTTATGGTGAAGGAGTTATTTCTTTAATAAGGTGAAGATAAATCTGTCGCCTTGTCAATATGTACTGCTTGTTGTTGACTTGTCATGTCAATCTAGTTTGGATGATTGTCAAGTGAGACGGAATCACAGTACAAAGATATTTGGTTTGATCATATATTTTTTGCAGCATAAAATCAATAGTTATATGGAACGGGAAAGCATTTTGGCAAGATTGTTTGAAACCTAACTTCTTGCTAATTTATGCTGTTTCTTCTTTGATGTGATCTTTTCTACTGCCCTTAGGTTATGAAGCAACAAGTAAATACAACTCAACAAGTGAACACAATTCTAACTCTCATGCTACCTCCTCATAGGTTTTTCACTAACTTGAATGGGATGACATATTTGCACTGTGGTACTGAATTGTTTACCTGAGGAACTACAATGATACGTTTTCTGTTGGATTTCATTCTGGATTGTCCCTGGCAAACTTCAGCTTGTTTCGATTTTCTTGTATAGAACTTTTGTTTGAACCATGATTGTTTACTTTAGTGACGAAACATTTTGCATTTTCTGTTGCGTTTGGATGTTTTGCACCTAGTGCTTTACTAAAAGTAACTGTACTTTTTTCTTTTATTACATTTTTTTCTCTAATTGCATGCATGGTATTTATGTTACATACGCATGTTATATAGGTATGCACTTGTATATATTTATGTGTGTGTGTGTGTGCATTCCAAGCTCAGAAACTTTGAAAGTGAAATCCAATATAATCATGTGAAGGGAACCATTTTTGGTGTTGGTGTGGTTGTCGAAAATGGAAAAGATGCATTCACTGGGCCCTAGGCAAAAGGGCTCCTTATTGAGTTAATGAGCTGTCATTGTAATTTTCCATGAGCTTATTTAGATGTCAATTGATGGCACATGCTATTTATGCTAAAATTGAAAAATGAGATTAAAATGGAATTTTGCATTTCAACTTTGAAGGGGACTGGGGAGAAATATGACAGAAGATAGTAAATTTCAGTCCTTCATGCACATTAAGTGATTGCTGGGATTTCGGGAAAGAATGAAACCGGTGAACAACTATATGCTGGAACTCCTTGAAAGCTATATTTTCTCAAATCTTATTTTAAGAAAGGACTACAATAATTTTGTTACCTAGTTTCATATATTTATGTAGACAAAGGTCAATTCTGCTCTGCCCCCATCACACCGAAAAAAAAAGGTGTCAATTTTCATCTTCATACTCTTTGGTTTGTAAATTTCTTCTTTCTTGGAGGGGAAGAGGAGAGGATCTCTATCTTGGCTAATTATTAATACACTGACTATTTCATTTCTATATATTATGTATGTACCCGCCAGAGCTCATCATGCAACTGTATTTTATCTCCCTTCCTTTTGCTACTCTGCATTATGTCCTGATGTGAGCTTCTGGATTATTGATGTAGGTCTGATGATAATGTTGATCGGTCATCTTCTGAAGCTCCTTGTCGAAGGCTTTTCAATATGGTCACCATCTTCCTCGGGCAGCTTGACAGCTGTATAGGTTCCCGCCCCAAAGAGTGCCCCGAGAAATGGTGCAGTGAGGTAGACCCATATGGCTTTGTAGTTGTTTGCAGCTATGGCTGGCCCTAATGTTCTCACTGGGTTCATGGAAGCTCCTGTTGTTTCCCTGCACAATAGTTGAAAATTAAAGAAAGTTTCAAGATACCATGCTGAAATAGTACTATTCTTGAGTAATTCTTTGAGCTGTATGACTTCCCTTTCATATTGACTTGCTGAATTCATTTTTCTACATAGAATTTAGAATGTATTTAATTCATCGTGCCTGTGAACTGTGTTCTTAGTGTATCTCAAGGACTTGGTAGAGGTCCTTTCAGATAAATAGACGCACTCATATAGAATCATGGGTTTTGCTAGGACCAGTCACTCGAGTGCACGCAGGTTGTTCCTGACCGTTGATCAAATGTGGGTCCCACAATGATCAACGACCAGAAATGACTCACCGTGCACGGAGGACTTGACTGTACCATAGCTCATACATTCGTTATTCAGCCAACCAGCCGAAAGTGAGATTTTGCAGTAAAATAGGTTGGGGTTTCTGACATACCCAGCTATGAGTATGTTAAGCATGACTGTTGCTCCCACCGCGATTCCCGCCAATTCTCCCACCTGCATGTTGTTAAAAAATTTGACCAAAATCAGTCATGTTAGGTTAGGAGATTCTTTGCACTTTTTTTTTTTTGGACTGATTAGTGAATAAAATACAATGTGAAAGGTGACATATCTGATACATAATTTTTACTGAAAGGCTTATCTAGTCCTTATCTGGAGATGTGTTTCTACTTCTAAGTTGACATTGGTAGTTGGTTCTAGAGAGAGATACTTGAACTGTGATAAAACAAATTTTAATATTTATTCATTGGAAATTGGACTTGTGGAGGCCCCATCCCCCCAATCTAGCTAATCTTCATTGACTCTTGTCTCATGCATTTTGTTGATGAACATATTTTAAAATTGGATTGGATTACCTGTCTCCTGGAAAGTCCTGTGAAGATGACAGAAACTGGAAGAAATATACTTATTTTAAACCAGCCTAAATATCCAATCTCTTAAGAATATAAAAATAAGGCAAAATGGAAAAAAAATAAAATTTCCTATATCGTTATGCCAGCAGCTCCCACAAAGCTAAATCTCCAAAAGAAATTATTTCAAAAGAAAAGAGGCATAATAATGTTATAATATTTGCTTCTCTCGCATAATTGTATTAGAATGATCGAACCTGAAAATTTCTTATTACCAAAACCTCTATTTTAAAAAAAAACACAAGTGCTAATTACGGACCAACTGGTTTAACTCACGACTACAAACTTATATTTTTTTAAAATTAGGTTTCACATTCAAACACATTATTGCTACATGAAAAGGAAGACTTACAGCTCTAGTGTCGGTGGCCACAGCAGTGACAACAAACATGAGGTTGAAGCTAATAATGAATTCCAAAGCAAAAGCCTGGCCATAGCTTCCTGAAGGAACTGTAACTCCACCACCCATTATGGGGTGAAAAATCACCTTCAATGCAAATGCAGCACATATTGATGCCAAAACTTGTGCTCCAACGTAAACTGGCACCTGCCAAAACCAAACCAACAAACCCAACAACATTATTAGCCCAAGAATTCAAAGATCTAAAAAGACTGGCATTTTGGTAATTAAATACAGATGCAGTTTTCTTGTCTTCCTAGCAGCTCACATGCTTCCATGAGAAATGTTTCAGTGCAGCAAAGGCAATGGTGACAGATGGGTTGAGGTGGGCCCCAGAGATGTGGCCTGTTGATAGAATCACAATCATAACAGCTAGGCCAGTGGAGGCTGCAAGGCCTATGAGGGTTTCTGAGCCTTGTGTCTTCTGGTTCACTATGGCTGTGGCTGTTCCAGCAAAGATCAGTATGAAAGTGCCCAAAAATTCAGCACCTACCTGATTTTGGCACCACACCCAACAGATATCACACATCAAATAAAAATGGATGTCTTAAAATTTCACATTTGATGCATATTTCTTCACAATATCATGCCAAGACTTCACTTTTTTTTTTCTTTTAACGAAAAAAAGGAAGGCAACATGAGATAGGAGATTTTGGGTTTATGTTAGAAAAGAGCTCTCTCTCTCTCTCTCTCTCTCTCTCTCTCTCTCCTTTTTTGTGAATTACCTTTCTTGCAAGTGAGACAGGAGGGTGAGGCAAAGCACAAGAAACTTTAGGCAATGTGCCTTCTTCCAAAGCCCAATCTTCAACAGTGAAGCATCTGCTGCAGCTCTTGAGGAGTGATTTCCTACCAATCCCACTGCTTCTGTGATCTGCCTTGAACCCACCAAAGAGAGGAGCCCCAGGAGTGCCTGGTGTTACAGGAGTTGAAGGAGCTGATGGAACTTCCTCATTATTATTGTCCATTTACTTCCAAAACAAAACAAAAATAAAAAGGTACAAAAGGTATGAAATAATAAATAAAAGTTCAGAGAGAAGAGGAAACTTCAACTTTCTGTTTCACTTGTTTGTCTCTCTCTCTCTCTCTCTCTCTCTCCTCTCCTCTCTCTCTCTCTCTCTCTCTCTATGTGTTCATGAGTGTGAGTGAGCTCTGATTATATAGTATTAAGTTGGTTGACTTGGAGAATCCCAAGGGAAAACAAAAAGGGCGTTTATAAAAATAATTATAAAAAAAGTTAAGAAAAGAAGTAAGTGGTTGAAACTTGCTGGATATGAGGAAGTGGACGATGGGACACTCAGATTTTTATTTATTTATTTATTTATTTTCCATTTTTACTTCAAAATAATGTAAATTCAATGTCTATAATAAGCTCAATAATTGTGTAAGCCAAACCGCCATCTTTGGATGTGCAATGCATGTATTGCATTGTGTGGTTGGGTAAATTACAGGCAATTTGTTTGATATGCTTTTACTCTCATATGATTGCCACGTGAAGAGATAGCAAAGATTGTACGCTTTTCGATAGGCAGGGATCCATTTTGCCAAACCCATCAAACCCGTCTATTCTAAGTTTTAGTTTGGTTTGGTTTGGTTTTGACTAAGAAAAAAGTTAAATAATTTGTGATAGTCTAAATTACAGAGAATGAGGATTTCTCACACACACACAACTATGATGCCATGAGGGTTTGAACCTGAGACATTTAGTCTGCAAGTCAAGGCTCTTTTCCATTGCGCTAGACCTCGTTAGCTGAAGTTATTGATCTTAAATAGTAAGTATATTAGTTTTTTTTTTGGTTCATTCATTAGGGAGGGGGAGTCTTATTGGGATTGCCTCAAGATTGTCTCCTAAGTGAATCGAACCCTTGTGCACTTAGGGGGGAGGGGAGAGTTTGACCCACTTTTCTATTGTGGTGCCACCCCATGTGCAACTATATTAGTTATTTAATTTTGAAGTTTGATGTTATGTTAAATTTTAGGATAGTTTGATATAGTAAGTTATGAAATTTTTTGTTGTTGTAATATGGCTAACAATGTTGAAGAAAAATGTGAAAGAAAAAAGGATTGGGCTTATGACCAAATCGCCCAAGTCAAACCGTCCAAAATTGGTTTGGTTTGATTTTCTCACTTGTTTGTATCAAAACTAAATTGAACCAAACTGTTCTGATATAACTGGTTTGAACATGATTTTCCAATAAAATCAATTCAATTCAAAAATTGTACCCACCCCTACTTTTAAAAATCCATCCGACATTATTTTCTCCTCCACTTTTCTATCCAATATTTGATTAAACCAAGGTTTTTATTTAAAACTGCCTCTTTTCGTTTTTCTTTTCATAAAGGGAATTGAATCTAGATCTACCTTCACTCTGACTCTAAAATTATGAATTGGAAAGTTCAAATTTCTAAACCATAAACAAGTTGAGCCAAACCTCTTCTATCTAGTGTGAAAAGAAGCAAGTGGATCACTATTATAGGAACAGCTTAAATTTCCCCTTCCCCCAACTAATTAATGAAGCTAGCTTAATTATTTTATAGCTTCCTTCTACCTTTGATAAGTTAATGCGTGTGATCACCTTCATAATTAAGTCAAGCTACATGCTTGTGGGACATGCTTAAGCTATCTGAAGCATATGCATCACTCAGTACATGTATGTATGTCTCTGTGTCACATTATTAAATCACTCGCTAATTAAATAATATTAGAAAGCCAAAAAAATTCAAGACTGATGCAGAGAATCTTTGGTAGTGAGCAGCAATAATTATATACATATATCCATTCAAAAAATAATTATATATTTATATTTATTAATACTGGCTATATAAATAGGCAATGAAGGAACCAGAAATTTTTCGGGGGTGTGCTAAATTTATATATATAAACAATGAGAACCCCCCATATGCAATCTGGGGATTATAATTTTACTCAAGGCCCTCGAAAGTGGGCTGACGATGTAGTTCTTGGTGAAGCTTCGACAATACTTCAAGGTGGTTTCCAAGAAAATGCATACAATATATATATATATATATATATATATATATATATATATATATCTTCTTTTATCAATGAAGTTTTAAAAAATAAAATTGTTATTAATTAATTTATTATTTTAAGAAAACATGTCAGATTACATTTCTTCTCTTTTATCAGTGGTTCTCTTTGTTATCTATAACAGCCTTTTTATTCAAAAAAATTATCAGAAAAAGGTGGTTTTACATTATTGCGGGTCGAACACGGGTGGGGCTTGGATTTCAATGCCTCGTCCATGCCCGCTACATGTCAAGCTCTTTGATCTTGGTTGTACCATACTCGAGCTGAAAATTCTAATTTTTGTGGTTGTCAAAGTTAGGAAGAGGGAGGGAGGAAAACTCACACACACAACTATCATGGGGACTTGAACTCAGTATCCCTTGGGGCCTAGCATTTTCGTTGGCACAATTCTGGCAAGGGTCCAACTTGAAGGTGTCAAACGGGCTATGTCGACTCGACCCAATTCATTTAGAGTCTGCCCACTTAATAAACGGGATGTGCCGGACGAGTCCATTTAAGAAAATCATCAATCTCGGCTCGAGTCCACAGCCCTAGCTCATATAGGATCGGGTCGTGCTCGTGTCGGGCCACTAAATGGGCCGATATGGGCGCATGCCAAATTTGACATATGTATTGCTTTTGTTTTTGTAATTTTTTTTTACATCTTCATTTAAATTTTTTTTACAATTATGTATATACTAAAAAGATTTATTATTTGTTGGAAATTTTTTTTTCTTTGGGTTTGAAAAATTGAAACTTCAAAAACAAAATTATTATTTTATATATAAAGAAAACATTAAATTTTAATATATATAATTAGAGAAAAGGAATAGACTTAAATTTAAGATATAAATGTAAAAATATTATATAATATTTTTCTCTAAAACAAATATAATTTAATAAATGGCCCGGTTTGGCCCATTGGACCTAATTACTTTGTCTCGGCCCGCCCAACAATACTGGCCTTGTCGTATTGGGCCTTACTTAAGCTGGTCGTGCTCGTGTCATGCTCAGACCAGCCCGGTCCGTTTGAGACCTCTAGTTCAGCTTTGAGTCCAAGAAAAAATATGTGCGGGCGGGGCCCAAAGTAGACAATATCTTGCTAAGAGAGTGGACTATGTGTATTGCCTGGACTCAAACAACTCTTTCCTCCAAACCTACACTCAAAATTTGAGTTCGCACACTTGATTAAATTGGTTAAGGATTTAGAATCTCTAAATCAAAATCTTATCACCAAAGAGCGCCAAAGTAATGATGAGTTACAAAAAGCTCGTAAAGAATTAATAGCAGTACGTGTTTCTTTTTCCTTTGTATTTGGGACTATACTGATATTATAATTATCTCTGAACTTTGGAACGTCAAAGAAGGAAGGAAAGCCACACTGAAGGAGGTTATCAGTTGTATCTTAAGCAATATAAAGACACTCAAGCGAAAGAGAACATGAGGCGAAGGTGAGTCTTCCTTATTATTTTAAAGTTACAGTTTCTCCAGATCTTCTATTTGTTTTGATATAGTGTGGGCTGATTGTTAAACCCAACAATCTACATATTCATGATTGCCTTGCCACATTCACTTTGAAACAGGAAGGATTGCCTCGCGCAGCTTCAGCATATTGTTGTTGCAAACACTCAATTGCATTTAGATGACCAAGACTAAGAATCTCGAGCTTCGAGTAAAATATCTGCATATAGAATCAACTGTCGGACAAGCTAAATCAAAACCATTCCCTGAACCGTCATTTATGTAGACGAACATCTTGTTAATGTTTTTCTTACTCTGTGATGTTCATTATGCTAGGCAATGGTAGCAAAAGTGGAAGACTAAATTTGGATCAACTGGTTGGATGGCAAGACCATGTTTTCATGGGGATTCATTGTTGGATTAATTGTTGTGACTGCCATTTAGCACTCGCTTTTGCTATCGGTTTCATCAGCTTGTGTATCTGTAGTTTACATTATTGAATCCAGTTCGGTGATTGGCCATGCCCTTCCCAACCGAATGTATTTGGGCTAACATTGTAAAACTCGGGCCAAGCTTGATATGATGTTTTGAGCCATGGGTTAGCCCGATTGTACCGACGGGCTTGGACTCGCCCATTTTTGTAAATGGTTGGCCCTAAGCCATGCTTTTCTCAGCCTTGGCCCAACCCTAAATTACAATATTTTGTGTTGTGCTTTGTGTTTTCAATTTTTCTTAATTTAGTTCAATCTTTCATGCAAAAATGCATACGTTTCAAGTGGAATTTAGATGGTGTGGGGTGCCAATGGGTCTAGTTTAGTGGAAAATGATATTGACTTACAGACCATACAAGTAGTCTCAGGTTCGAATTCATGTAGCATCTTGTTAGTGTGTGCGAAGCATCTCTCCCTCTTATAGTTTAGGACATGTTTGATAACCATTTCATTTTTAGTTTTTAGTTTTTAGTTTTCACTTTTTGTGCTAGAGTATAGAGGAAAAAGAAACCCTAAAGGCTAAACCCTAAGTTTTCTCAAGGTACCCGCATCTCCAAGGCAAATGTTAAACAATTTGATAGCTCAATTTGCTTTATGTTCTAATTCAACAGGTAAATCTAGCCTATATAGGGACATACCAAGAGGTGATTTGTATGCGTATGCCCACAAAGCATCAGTTAGTCTTAATGACCAATCCTTTTGAGTCAGATTTACCGTCTTTTCCAAAATTTGCTTGATTTCCCTGTTTGCAAGTTTAGCTTGACCACTTGTCTATGGGTGGTATGGAGTGAAAATCTTATGGGTGATCCCATATCTTTTCATCAACACTTCAAATGGTCGGTAGCAAAAATGTTATCCTCCATCACTGATGATCACTTTAGGAGTACCAAACATGGACAATACATTTTCTTTCAAAAATTTCACACTTGTACCAACAACCCACATATGTACTTGTAACTAGGGGTGACAATTTTTGATACGACCCGTTTCACGCCTTGAAACCCGCATGGAAAAATTACGACACGAACCCGCACGATTAAAAAACGGGTTATTTTAGAGTCAACCCGCCAGTGACCCGTTTATAAAAGGGTGGGTTTCGGGTCAATCCGCCAACCTGCTAAAACACATATTTAACCCGTTTATTAAGCTGGTCAACCCGCCAACCTGCTAACCTCCTAAAATACCTATATAACTTGTCAACCCGATAAAATACCTATGTAACCTACCAACCCGACACCTGTTTAACCTGTTTATTAAACGGGTCAACAAGCTAAAATACCTACATAACCCACCAATCCTCTAAAATACCTATGTAACCCACCAACCCATTTATTTGTTTTTTCTTCATTTTCTTTATTTTTTAAAAATCTTTTTTATTATTTCTCATTCTCAATCTTTATATATAGAGAGAGGATTATTTTATATAAAAAATAAAAAAATGAAATTACTTGATTAATTTACCAAAATTGAGATTTATTTATTTATTTTTATTTGCTGTATTTCACTAATCCAAACGGTCTATTTCGTACATACTCATTCAAAGATCATCTCTACAAAAAATTACTTGAATCCGATATCATTTGACCACTCATTTGAGTCATATAAATTTTAGTACTTTCTTGAAGCATCGTGTTTATTGATTTTGTAAGACACAATTGGATGTCGAAACGGTTTCCGATTTGTCTAATTTTTTGTAAGAATGATCTATGAATGAAGACCTTAAAAATAGATGGTTTGGATCATTGGGAAAAAATTTGTAGAGTACCCTAAAGGGCGTCCCTCAAATAAAATTATTTGAGGGATCCCTCAATAGAAGGGGATTGTATATATATATATATATATATATATATATATATATATATCAACAACTTAACTGGATTATATATATTTTCCTCTTTTACTTGTAAAAAAAACTCATCGCTTAAGAAAATAATGGTGAACTGTATAAAATCCTTAAAATTAGGAAATTCTCCATCCTTGTCTCTTAATCATAGAATAGGTATTAAACTTTTACTCCAAAAATACCAAAGATAATATCATCAATATTAGTTAAACATCTTATACCCAAATACTCTTCCACCTAGGCGTACCCCCATTCCTGATCCGTCAATTCCATTAATACCGTCAATTCTAATATTATTCCGTTAATTCCATGTATCTTGTCAGTTCCATCCTTCCAGGCCTTGGAAACACAAAGCTAACCGAGCCGCATTCCTCGCAGGCATCGGGAACACAAAGTCAACTCGAGCCTCAATCCTCGCATGCCTCAGAGGCACCAAGTTAACCCGAGCCGCAATCTTCACACCACACTGTTCAGCCGTCCCCGAAATTCATGGGGCATTATAAAAAATAACAAAACTATTTCAAGGCAACTTGGGGGGAGGGGGGGTGTTACTCTTGTGGTGGGTTTGAAAATCATATTCCGCAAATCCATATTTCAAATCCTTTTTTTCAACTTCCAGAAAATCATTTCTCAACTACCTTTGAATTGACACCACATACTATTGAGAACTAGTGTCTATAATTCATCATTTTCAAACAACTGAGTATATATATGTACATGTACGTGTAGTTAAATATGTTCTTAGTTACTTAACTAATTTATTATTCACATCAAAAATTCATTAACAATCCATTCCCAACTCTTCACAACCAAACTCAAGATAATATCCCTAAAAAGCAAAAGCGATTACATAATATCTAATAAACATTTGAATACTCCAATATCACCCAAACATATACTTATATAATTCTCATAATAATAATAAGTAATTGAGTAACAAGATAAACTTCGAATATCATACCACCCAAGAATATCATAAAACACTATAACATAAACTCGTAATTCAGACATAATCAAAATAGTTCACAGACAGTCAAGCCTCGTCTACACAATCATTCTAACACTACGTGAAGGGCGATATTATATCGGAAGACTCACAGTCAACCAATGGTCAAACTTTCTAAATTGGGTCAACTGGGTCCACGGGGCCCACAACCTCCGATTTTCGATCCAAGAGTGCCTATGGGTTCAACAAGGTTTACTATATTTGCCCTACAAGTTTGGTCCGAATCGAACAGTCGGATCGCTCATGATCCCACGATCAGACGGTTAATATTTACATAAACTTTAAATTATTGAACCAAGGTATCTGGGACTCCGATTCTCGATCCGTGAATCCTTATATGATCCTAGAAGTGCCTAGATCAACATAGTTGAAAACCAAAATGATCTAATGGTCCGAACTTCAAACTCGGATATCGCCTAGTATGCGATATCCAATCGACAGTCAAACAGTACCCAAAATGAAATCTGACAATACTGTCGTGCTAGAGACAACATGAAGATCAATTTAGGGCCAAGAGGGTTACACAAACAGTGCTAACGCGTTACCAACGCGTGGGTGTCCAAATCGATTCCGACGATAGAAAAATCTCCAAACCGCGGGTCAAGACTTATACCTACATGATTATCACATAGAGTGGAGCAACTTTTGTTCTTAGACCTACCCTAAAAAGTCGACGAAAATAGCCGGAATCGGAGGCAGAAAATCGGCAGATTTTCAATAGCTTATTTAACCCCATAAACGCAGAAATTTCTCCTATCCAACACAACCAGCAGTTAGAACGTCTTGAGAGGTTGAGAAAGCATACCTGGATTGACGGAAATGGTGGCTGGAAGTGCGCGAACGAGCGACTGGAATTTTTTTGAAAAATCCGCCCAATTTTCTTGATTTTCCGGTGGTATTCGCAGCAGCTCGTGGCGGCAAAGGGCTGAGGCTGGACGAGGAAGAGGTTGCAGTCCTTTTGGGACCGGTGCCGCCCCAAGTGGCGGGCGGTGGTGGCTCTTGGAGCCACCAGTTGGAGAGAAAAAAAGGAGGGGGAGGAGGGGTTTGCTCGCAGAGAGAGAGAGAGAGAGAGAGAGAGAGAGAGAGAGAGAGAGAGAGATTCTGGTTTTAAAAACCAGTTTCAAAAAATTACATTTTTTCCCCTAATTGAATTTTGATCGTATCTCTCTCGTTACAACTCGGATTTGAGCCCACTATGTGTCTACGGACTCATCTCGATGTGCTTTAGCAACGGTATAAGTAAAATCCCCAAAGTCCTTTCCGAATAAAAAGTCAACTTTTAAACCATTAAAATATTCCGTGATAAAATTGTCTTTTAATTGAATAAATTAATAATTAAATATTAATTTAGGTTCGGGTTATTACACTTGAGATGTTCTAAGAGGTGGGTCTCATAGTGGCCACATCAGCAGTTAACATTTGACCTCATAGTTTACTTAACAGAATGATTCAATTGGACATGTTTGAAAATATTGGGGTGTAAATTGATAAAATTGAAACCCCGGAGGCCTATATTGAGAATGACCCCAAATCTCAGCGGGTCTTTTGTCATTAGGTTTTTTTTTTTAATCTTGTAATTCTGATCTTGGATTGGGACACACATCCCATTTGGTCTCTTGCTACGGGCACTCAACATTGAGAAGGACAATTTAGTCTTTTTATATTTACAAAGAGAAGGACAATTTAGTATGAAAGGTACAACAGGGAGAAGCACATTTGGATCGTAGACATCATGATGAATCTCGTTCATTCCCAACGCCTGGTAAGTCTTAATAAGCACGCCAAACTGCCGTTGAGAGCAGACCGCCTGTCTGCGTCTCCAAACAAACCCCAATTCCCTACCTTCTCAATATTCCATCTCTGAAACAAATCGAAGAAGACGACGAAGAAGACGGAGAAGGTTCGAGAAGGCACAAACTGACTGCGATTACAGAGACATAAACAAGAAGCGATTTTCAATTTTGAAAGATCGACCTCTGTTTTCGTGTGGGTGGAAAATGGAAGTGCCAAGCTCATGGGACGCGCTTCGCAAGCAGGTACTATTTTACTCTTCGTCGTTGAAAAATTTGCGCACAAAATTGACGATTTCTGTAGGATTTCTTCCTAATTCTGTTTGATTGATGAGAAAGTGCGAGAATTGAGATGAAAATCTGGACTTCTCTTGAAACTTGATTATTTTGTAAACCACGTAATCCTGAATTCTGTTTGGTTTTCGAGAAATTGCCTGGCAGAATTTGATATCAGTTGAATTCTGCAGCCGGTGCTGTTTGAGTTACTGGTTTTTTGTTTTGTTTTCGTTTTTGTTCAAGTTGTCGGCAGTAGGTGCATGAGATCAGCTTGCGTTTTTCTCCGAGTTTTCTTATGGTCAATTACTGGATTTGTGTCATGCGGTTTGTAGTTTGATGCGTTAAATTGAGAAATTCTTTCTATTCTACAAATGGAGAGTAAATTTTAGCTTTGATTCGAATGATAGTTGCTAGTAAGAGAAAATTGATCGTATGGAAAAGAATATGAAAGGTTAAAGAGTTGTAGTTGAGTCACACTCAATTCCCCGCAGTTACTAGTTCTATTTGGTGGACAATAATGAAATTAAAAGAAATCGTAGTGAAAAGTTTCAACATAGCCTTCGTTATAAAATTTTTGACTTTGAAGACTTCTATTTCAAGTGAAATGTAGTGCAAAAAGGAGTTTTACCACCCTCTACTTGAAATGTGGTGCAAAAAGGACTTGAGGCACAGGTTCTTTATGATGCTAAACTATAAGATTTTCTAATTTCGTTGTGGGTTTTAATCTTAAGACATTATTAGGTAATGTGTGAATCAATCTGCATGTTCTTCCTAGATTCAATTAAAAGACTCTACTAGTGCCAGATTCTATTGTTCCAAATCTTTCTTACAAGGCAGCATGACTTGCTTGGTCATATTAACAGCCATATAGCCCTACTGCAACGGTATTGGACCCTTTCCTCAAAAAAATGACTAGTTCAAGTCCAAGAGTTTTAGTTTTTTTTTTTTTTTTTTTTTTTTTTTTATCGGAGTGGCATTAGTTATTTGTTCAATGGTAATTGTTTACACCTCATAGAACATAATCGCATGGGCTCAACCTAAATTGCAGGAAAAATTTCATTTTTACTGTAAAGTGCATGATCGTGCATTTGCTATGCTAATTGTTTTCATTGTTGCCTATTTCATGCACATTTCCCTTCATACTAACTCTGGATAGCTGGCAATTTTGTTTTCTTAATATGAATTTTTATCTATATGTAATTTCAGGCAAGGAAAATTGAAGCTCAGTTGGATGAGCTGATGCATTCTTATCGTAAGTTTGTCTCTGCGAAGGGTACTGCAAAATTTGACACTGCAGAGAATGATCTTGAATCTGGGATAGATAGACTATTAAAGCAACTGCAACAAGTAAATTCGCAAATGCAAGCATGGGTGTCATCAGGAGGATCAGAAATGGTTTCTCATACATTGACTAGACATCAAGAAATTTTTCAAGATCTCACTCAGGTATTCTGCCAATCTGGCCTCTTAATAATGCTGATAGGTGAACATTAGATGGCAGTATTTAATTTTGTGATCCTTATCGTGTTAAGGTGTCTCAAAGGTGTTTTATGTTGCTTCATAGGCAAACAGGCATGGATGGATGCAGTTATGAGCTCTCATGCCTCCTCATAGTTCTATTTGAAGTCAAGACCCTATGTTTTTAAGAAGGGATTTGTGTTACAGATCATTATCTAAATCCTTCTTCTTCATTTTTCTTTTAACTGCAAGTTGTTAATATTTCAGCTTGATGGCCTGCCTTCGTGCGGTTTTTTTTTTTTTTTTTTTTTTGGATGAAACTCTAGGCCCTGATTTGGTGTGGCCATATTATTTCCATTTACCATTCCCCTTCTGTTTTAGAAATATGAAATTAAAGGAAAAGAGATGAGAAACTTTCATCTTTTTGTTCTGAGTTCAATGTGAATTCGAGAGCTTGAAAGTTTAAATATGGATGGTCAATTTTTCTGACCAAAGCCTCATTCTGAGCTCTACTTTAAGTTACAGATTTAATGTTACAATTATGTTTTCAACTAGATACCTTATGATTAGCCTCATGCTATATGCTGGAAAAGCAACAAACACCTTCAATTCAAAATTTTGTATAGTATTTGAATCATTTGTGCACTCTTTTGCTATAAAACCATATTCCTTAGATTAAGCCTAGCAGACTCTAACTTTTTGTTAGACATGATTGAAGTGCAGGAGTTCTATCGTCTCCGCTCCAGCTTTAGAGCTAAGCAAGAGCATGCTTCACTCCTTGAGGATTTTAGGGAGTTTGATCGAACAAGAGTAGATTTGGAAGATGGTGTTGGCTCTGCAGAAAATGCTCTCCTTAAAGAGCATGCTGCTGTTAGTCGAAGTACAGGACAGGTATGCTTAATAAAAAGCAGTTTTTTATACAAAAAAAAAAGAAAAAAAAAGAAGATATATTTCATTAGGCTTTAACGGAAAAGGAAGGCAACTTTTCTACTGCAACTCTGGTTTGCGTTAATAAATATTTGAGCCTAGGAAGCGAAAGCAAAATGTACTGTTCATGGAGGCACTTCTCTTAGATGATGATAGTCAGATTCCATGGTCAGGCTTTTTTATTTATTTACATCCCTTTCCTGAGGAGTGGCAAATGGAAATATCAGATCTACTGCTTGATTAGCACTAAAATTATGCTTTATATTGAGTTCCCAAGTCCATTCTGCTGCAGATGGATACTGTAATCTCTCAAGCCCAAGCAACACTCGGTACGCTTGTCCTTCAACGTTCAACTTTTGGTGGTATTAATTCAAAGCTCAGCAACATTGGCAGCCGCCTTCCATCGGTACGAAACTAGTAATTGTTTTGTGGTATTAGTTATTTCTGTGGTATTCTGGTGTCACTGTCAGTGTCACACAGGGTCAGTTATCAAAGGAAATCAATTGTTTCTGTTTTATATTTGAACTATGAATAAGAGTTATAAGCTGCATGCAATGGCTTAATTGCAGAAAAGTAAGTCACCACCACAAAGTTCACTGAATGATTTGAAACCAAAGCACCAAAGCTAAATTTAATGAATCCTATATGCATGGAGGCTAAGAAAGTGCCTTGTACCAAACTCTGGTATATAAAAATGTTTATTTAAAGGGTAATGCACAGAAAAGAGGACTTTAATTTAACTCTTTGAATGTGTAAATCTGTCATCTTACGATCTCCGTAGTTCTATTTATTGATGTTCCATGACTTGATGGCGCAGGTAAATCACATCCTCGCTGCTATAAAGCGTAAAAAGTCCATGGATACCATCATTATTTCTCTTGTCGCTTCCGTATGCACATTTTTAATATTTATCTACTGGTTGACAAAGTGAGGATACGAGAGGAACAGGCATTTGTGTTGGTGGTTCATGTGTAAGTGAGAAAGAGAAACAGTTATGATTTTTTCTTTTAATTTTCTTGAGCGAACCAGTATTACTGTAAGTGATTTGTTTCATAGGAGTACGAAAAAACAATTTCAATGGATGCAGGCATTCCAGGCTCTTGCATGTTCCTTTATTGGGTTTGAGTGTCAATTTTAGTTTCGAATTTTCAGCGGGTTACAGCATGGCACTGGCGTAATATGTAAGTGATTGGATGTATTAATACATAATTTTCTTCTCCAGAAATAGTTTGTCTTTCTTTGTCATGAATAATATCACAGTCCGTGGCGGGGCGTGCCCAGTCGAAAGAGATGGAAGCATAGTTGTATGAACTTTTGTGAAGGAAGCCAGCGCCACACAGAATGAGAAACCTTGCTAGATATGTTTTCCTTCACTTTACAAAGACATTCCATGATTATGGTTAGAACTGAATTAGTAAGAGGAAGAAGGTTGATGCCATTGTTCCCAATATGTTCGTTCCTCTTCAATGTTCTCTTTTAATCACAAATCACTTGTCCATTATTTGTTTTCTCTAACCGTCGCCATCTCTATTTAAATTGAAACTGATGTATAAATTTTTCTTTGAGGTCACAGTTACTTGGTTAAATAAATGTACACTCGTTAGTGAAATTTTGTTTTTGAATTTTTCTATAAACTATTTTAGCTGTCATCCTACAGGTGTTATAGAGATGCTTACATAAATAATCATGCCACATTTTCCGCTCGAGTGCCACCTCCATTTTCATAGGTCAAAAATGGTAGCGGTGATGGTGATGGTGATGATGGTGCTGGCTTCTTTTTAAGAGACAAAATATAACTCTGATGATAGAGCGCCGATCTTCACATTCACGATTAGAGTTTGATTTTTAACTTGTCTGTTTCACGAATGTAAAAGAGGAAATTTCTGAAAGTCTTCCTTCATAATAGTTGGGGTGTATTATGATAATAAGTTAATGGTTCAATTACTTTCAATGAAAAAAAAAAAAAAAAAAAAAAAAGAAAAAAAAAAAAGAAAAAAAAGAAAAGAAAGTCGAGCCGAGAATTCCATTAATTCTACAATACAAAGTTAATGGGTCCATTACTCCACTAGATCATGATAGGAAAAAACAGGTTATGATTTACATCAGACTTTTTGAAGTGGGGTGAAGATTCAGAGTTTCATGTTTGAGTAATTTAATAATTCCATGTGGGTTAGATTGATACATAGTACCATGGAAAAGTTCATTACTTTTTCTTCAAACTACATTCAAACACTCATCTCTACACAACACTTGGACAAAGAAATCTATGAAAAGATTTGGGTCCATTTCCATGGGACAAAGCAAGCAAACCCTGTACAAGAAAAGAGCAAGCAACGAAAGGGAATTAAGCTACAATAATACTAAAAGCACTCACACGCTTCAATACGCCGAATGATGTGACAGATGATATGACAATATTATTTTCCTTGTTAAAAATAATTTGAAAGAAAATGATAAGACAAATGACATGAAAATATTATCTTCCTCGTTAAAAACGAGAATTAAATTGAATTGCGATATGTTTAAATTCGAAAGTTTGGAATTTGTTTTGACGGATGCTACATTGACTCATCCAATCAAGTTATCTCAAGAGTAGGCAAAGCGAACAAACAATCTTAAAGACACATCCACTGATAGCCAATCACATCATTTTCTCCAAGACCATCAAAACCATGTTTTGTGTTTCATGAGTGAGTGTCAAAATCACACCTCAGGAATGTGATGAGTGATGAATGCTATACATCACTGATAATAGTGCATGTAAAGTCTTACACTGTTAATGATTATATGGGAGATAACACTGAGAGCAAAAAATATGAGCTCTTCATATCAGCTTCTGCTTCTTCATCATCTACATGTCGGCCACTTGTCCCAGTACCCATCTCTTCCTGGCTAATACGTGGCAACGTCTCATTTGTCACTCAACTACAAATCTTTTTTTTTTAATTACATCTTACATGTGAAAACTTAAACATTTGTTGTAAGGTACCGGTGATCAAAGACCAAGATAATGTTAAGACAGTGCAAGTGCAATTGGATGGAGTTTGAACAAAAACTTCCATTGATATTCTAGGGATAACACAAGAGCTTTTAAAAGCTATGAGGACTTGAAACAAGGTAGAAAATCTAAGTTAAATAGGAGAAATCATGTCCTTTTTCATTACATAAGATCTTATTGGGGAGCGGCAGGAGAAATACTTGTGTGCAACAGAGATAACATTGTTTTGCTATCCCTGGCCAATCACACTAAGCCACACATGATAACTTTTTCACTTAGCATAACGTGATTGGCCAGGGATAAAAAAAACAATGTTATCCTTGTTTCATATAAGTTTTTCTGGAGCGGCAGAGGTGTTCCTAGTGGCTCGGGGAGGACTAGCCTACTAGGTTGAACAAGTGGAGGTCTCGCAGTAGTCGTGTCCGAGTTGAGGTCCAATCATGTGTCCTGTCAACATGTGGAAAGTCATGAGTTCCTTACGCAACTTCCTGAGTCAACGATGCTCTGATCTCCATCTTGTCAAGGGTGAGGTCCATTGAGTAGCTGACACGTGACGGGGAGGTGATTGGAGTGACACATCGAGGAGGCGATACTTCTCCCATTAAAGGCGAGTCTCATCCTTGAAGTGGCCCAATGGTGGTTTGACATATGGACACATTCATCCCTCCGTGACTAAGTCTTCGAGTCGAGGTGTCCCTTGTGGTGGTCAAGTGTGAGACGTCCCAAGTTCATAATGATTCAGCCTTAGTTCATTTCAAGCACGTGGGCCGACCCCTAGCTACACCGGTAATGTCATGAGGTGGGTGGTCGTTGGCATAGGCGTGTATGCCAAGCAACCCAAGGTGTATGGTTCGGTGCCTATCTAAATTGAGTGGTCAGCCGGCAAGGATATGTCTCGGTTGGCATGGCCACGTGTAGAGTCAGATCCATGTGGCAAAATATTAGTGGTAGATTCAGCTTGGTCAGTCCCTTATGTCAACTCAACACCATTAACCAAAGTAATTAATAAACACAAAGTCCAAGAAAAACTAATCACATCATCATCAATCAAAAAAAAAAAAAAAAAAAAAAAAAAAAAAAAAAAACAAAAAAAAAAAACTCAAACTTTCAAAAAAAAATTTTAGAAATATCGGTGATGTACCAAAACACGTGGAAAAAAAAATCGGGAAAATATCAATATCGGTAAAAATTGAATAAAAACCATAGAAATTGTAAGAAAAACTTGGAAATTTTGATTGAAACTTTAGAGGATGTTTATTTAGTCAATTATTTATTGTTTTATCACCAAAAAATTGGAAGGAAATGCATTGCATGATGGGTTTGACTGAAGAAATTGATGAGATTCAATATTCTTGTGTGTATATATGTTTACAGAGAAAGAACACTATATAGGATAAGAGGCACAACTAACCACACCTCTTTCCTAGATAAAGCCTCAATTAGCTCCTTGACTTAAGGAAACATAAAATACAAGAAACCACAAACTGACTAAATACAAGAAATTGACAGACTGACTAAATACTATGTGACAACCTAGGAGAAGTAATCGGCCTATAGTTGACTTTCAATACTCCCCCTCAAGCTGGATCAAGAGGATTGATTGATCCAAGCTTGGAAAGGAGCCGTTGGAATTGAGCTGTAGGTAAGGCTTTGGTAAATATATCAGCAAGTTGATCATAACTTCAAGTGTACTGTGTTTGAATCACTTTGGATTGAACTTGAGTGCGAATATAATGGCAGTCGACTTCGATATGCTTGGTCCTTTCATAGAAGACTGGATTAGAGGCGATGTGGAGCGCTGCTTGATTGTCATAGAAGAGAAACATGGATTGATTTTGACAAAAGCCTAAGTCAGAAAGCAAACCTTTTAACGATATAAGTTCACATGCAGTAGAAGCCATTGCCCTATATTCTGCCTCTGCACTTGAACGAGCGATGACATTTTGCTTCTTGCTCTTCCAAGTGATCGACCAGGTTTCCTCATACAAAGGTACAATATCCTGTGGTTGATTTTCGATCCAAGACGTTCCCTGCCCAATTAGCGTCAGTGTGTCCAAGGATGTGAACATTATCATTCTTTCTCATGAGTATACCGCGACCAACAGACCCCTTAAGGTACCGCAAGATTCTTTTAACCACATTCAAGTGTAACATGGTGGGAGAATGCATGAATTGACTCACAATGCTAACTGCATATGTGATGTCTGGTCTATTGATGGTTAAGTAGATAAGCTTACCAACCAAACTCTGATAATAGTTGATGTTGTTGAGGGGTTCACCTTCCATGTCAAGCTTGAGTTTGTTGTCTAAAGGAGTATGAGCAAGTTTGGAGTCAAGCATGCCAGACTCTTGAAGAACATATTTGAGTTGATTTAAAAATAACCCTTTGTGTGAAGTGGCCATTTCAATGCCAAGAAAGTACTTCAAGACTCCTAGGTCTTTGATTGCAAGCTTCTGTTGCAAATACCATTTAAGATTGTTAATTTCATCACCATTGTCACCCGTGACAATGAGATCATCAACATAAATGAGGACCACCAATTTTCCAACGAATCCATTTCAAACAAATAGAGAAGAATCTGCATTGCTACTCTGGAAGCCAACTGCCTCTAGAACTAAACTCAACTTGGCATACCATGCACGTGGGGATTGTTTTAATCCATAAATAGATTTGTGTAGTTTACAAACCAAATTAGGATTATTGCTTTGAGGATGACTAGGTGGGAGCTTCATAAAGACTTCCTCTTCAAGATCCCTTTGAAAAAAATGCATTTTTTTACATCCAATTGGTATAGAGGCCACTCTTTATTGACTGCAACAGACAACAACACACGAAATGTGTTCATTTTTGCAACCAGAGCAAAAGTCTATTTATAGTCCACACCATACGTTTAAGTGAAGCCCCGAGCTACCAATCTTGCCTTGTGTCTTTCAATAGATCCATCGGAGTGAAACTTGGTTTTGTAGATCCATCGACTGCCAACAGCATTCTTCCCTTTAGGAAGCTCAACAACACTCCAAGTATTGTTATCATTAAGAGCTTGCAACTCGTCTTGCATTGCCTTTCTCCATATTGCTTAAAGAGTTGCATCCTGGAAGCTTTGTGGATCATGAGCACTAGAAACAACACTAAGGAAGGCAGCATGACGTGGTGAGAACTTTTGATAAGATACAAAATTGGTGATGGGATGCTTGGCAGTGTATGTGACATAATCTTGCAGCCTTGAAGGAGGATGATGATCACGCATAAGATTACGTCTCAGGGGTGCATTAGAGGCTTCTATATTTCTTTGGTCCTCATGATGATTCAGAGAATTGTCTGAGTCTTCAATAGGTTCATTCTGAATTTCAACTTCAGGCTCATGAGATGAAGGATGAGCAATAGAAGACATAGGATGACTGGAGTCAGTACTTGTAGCAGGAATAGGCAACGGAAACAAATCAAAAAAATTGATCCTCCCCCTGACCAATAGCTTCATGAGTCTTGTGGTAATAGGGAGGTTTTTCATCAAATTGAACATCTCTTGATACGTTGATTTTCTTAGAGATAGGGTTATAACACTTGCACTCCTTCTGTGTTGAAGAATATCCCAAGAATATGCATTTGACAGCTTTTGGATCAAGCTTATCCCGATGAGAAGCCTGAATATGAACGAAACACGTGCAACCAAAAACCTTTAAATGAGATAGGTCAATCTTCCTTCCTTTTATAACTTCAAGGGGTGATATGAAATCCAACACTCTACTAGGCAAATGGTTAATAAGGTAAGTAGCAGTGAGGACTCCTTGAGACCAAAATCTTTTTGGAACATTCATTTGAAACATTAGAGCTCTAGTTTTCTCAAGTAAATCACGATTTTTCCTTTCGGGTACCCCATTTTGTTGAGATGTACCCACACAACTTGTTTGGTGAATGATTCCGTGTGTGCTCAAGTATTGTGTCATGAGATGGGACATATATTCAATGCCGTTATCTGATCGTAGTGTTTGAATTCGTGTGGAAAAATGATTTCTAACAAGATTATGGAAGTCCTTGAAAACATTCAATACATCACTTTTGAATTTTAAGAGATATAACCAAGTGGTTCTTGAGAAATCATCGACAAAAGTCACAAAATATTTATAACCATCAAAAGATTCAAGGGTTGGACCCCAGATGTCAGAGTGTACAATCTCAAATGGTTTATTAGCTCGAGACATAGAGGAGTTACCTAGCAGACTTAGACAATTGACAGGAGTCACATATGGTATGTTGTTTTACTAGGTTGGGAAACAAAATAAATAGAACAGGTTCTGAAGGGTGAGCTAAACGTTGATGCCACAAACTTTGATATGGAATAAAATTGGAACTGACTTGAAACCCCTTGCTAGTTTGAAAATCCTTGGACAGGTAATAGAGGCCATCAAGATAGAACCCTTCACCAATCGTCTTCTTGGTGGCTATATCCTAAAAAATGACATTATGAGGAGAGAATACAGCAACGCATTTTAGGGTGTTTGTGATTTTCCCAACAGAGAGCAATTGAAAAGGAAAGGAAGGGATGTAAAGGGCCATGGACTCAATATTATCAGAGATTAACATGATCTTCCCTCTACTTATAACAGTAGCACCCTTACCATTTGCAACTGACACATGAGATGAATGATTCAATTTTTCAAAATCAGATAAGTGTGTGAGTTGATTTTCCATATGATCAATGGTACCTGAATCTATGACCCAAAAATCATGCATTTTACTAACATTTAGAGCAGTATAAAAAGCATTCAAGGTACCTGAGGTTTCTTTTGGGGAAAGGTTTTGAGTTTCAGCAAGAAATTCAGCAAATTTTCCAAGCAAGGTTCTTCTTTCCTACATTGCTTACTCCTTCACTGTCATTACTCCATTTCGTTTTCTGAATATAAGAAGCAAATTCATTGATAAGATCAGCAGGATTGGAAGTGAAGCTTCGAAGTCCATTGTTTGAAGACGTTGCATGATTAGCCTTAGAAACTGAAGTATGAAATTTCTTCTGAGTGCCTTTATTTCCTTGATAAACTTGAGAGGCTTCAATTCAGGGTGAAGGATCCAACATCTCTTCTTCACATGACTAATGTTGTTGCAATAGCTGCACTTCAAATCTGGCCTATTTCCTTTGTATACTTTCTCCTCAGTGTGTTTGTGATTCGACAAATATGCTCTAGTTTCATAAATATTTGTCTTGGTTTCAATGTTCATGACCTTTCTACGTACCTCTTCTCGTTGAATTGTAGCACAAACACTTGTAAAGGATGGCAGCTCAGAATTCATAAGAATGTGACTGGGGAGATCTTCATATGTTGAGTCTAAGCTTGATAATAACTGAAATTTTTTATCTTCTTCGGCTATTTTCAGAAGCACAGTAGCATCCATGGTGTGTGGGCGGTACACCTCGAGCTCATTCCACTTGTTTTTCAAATCACCAAGAAGTTGAACAAACGGCTTACCTTCTTGCTGAAGGTTTGCAATTTCCTGTTTGAGCTGAAAGACACGAGCAACATTGTTTTGGTTACCATACATCTCCTTGAAAGTCTCCCATAGTTGAAGAGAGGACTTAGAGTAGCAGAAGATTTCAGCAATTTTCTGCTCCATAGAGTTGAGGAGCCATGACATGACAATTGGTCTTTACATAACCAAGATTCATAGTTAGGATAGGAGATATCAAGGGCTTCAATGCTTTTATTAATAAAACCAAGCTTTGATCTTCCACCAAGAGAAAGGGTAATTGCTCTCGACCAAGGAAGATAATTAAACTCATTTAGTAATACTGAGCTAAAACGTTGATTTGGGTTGATCTCAATCTCAGGGAGATTTGAGGGAGAAATGATAGAGGAGCTTTCTGCCTCTTATGCAAAAGGATTGTCATATGCCATCTTAGCACAGACAAACTAAAAGGAAGGAACAAATGCAGAGTTAGGTTTAGGAATCCTGCTCTGATACCATGAAGAAATTGATGAGATTCAATATGCTTGTGTGTATATATGTTTACAGAGAAAGAACACTATATAGGATAAGAGGCACAACTAACCACACCTCTTTCCTATATAAAGCCTCAATTAGCTCCTTGACTTAAGGAAACGTAAAATACAAGAAACCACAAACTGACTAAATACAAGAAATTGACAGATTGACTAAATACTGTGTGACAACCTAGGAGAAGTAACCGGCCTATAGTTGACTTTCAATCTAATCTAAGTTGATTATATAGCGAGATGACAAACATTGTGAGTGTAGAAAATATGTAGTGAATAATGAAAGAAAATTAAACACACCATATAGTAATTTATTTATAATGATTTACTACAATATTTTACACTTTATACATTGCATAGTAAGATACATGAGTGACTTAGTACCACATAGAGTTCCTATGAGATTCAAAATTTTAGTTCATCATCTCTATGTGCAGAGTACGTGTACTATAAAGAGTAGTCGTCAAATGATATATCCCGAAATAGTTTTGCAAGTAATCGGATACGAGATCGACTGAGGTTGCCCATAAGCAAAATCATTTGAAGATTGAGTCTTAGATTCTTTCCATGAGTGGCTCAATTCCATCCCAAAAGGCATTGAATCCCCTTACGTGTGCACGCGGCTGTGGGTTTTCTTCTTTTTCCTATTGATAATATCCATATGATGCTAAAGAGAGAGGGAAATTCTTAGATCCGAAATTTTCCTGATATTGTCGCCGAAATTATGGATACTTTAAAAAAAGAAAGAAAGGAAAATGTATTTCATTCACCCAGAAGGAACATTACATGATAAATAAAAAAAAGCATGTTAACGGTGACCTCGTTAAAACCTTCCAGGAGAAAACCACATGGGATAAAATCCTGAGGTAAGGAAGAGTGCCACCCATGCTATTGACTCCCTAACACCATCTAGAAGCCAAGGAGGCCCATCACCCAACCAAAAACAAAGCTCCTCCAAGTGTAGACTAAAATGTGCAACACGATGTGCCATGGTGTTTGCAGTACAAGGAACAAAAACATACACAAAAATTATCAGTACTTATACGATAATTGCATGGATAGGTTCCAAAATATCCTCCTTCCAAAAAAAATGATAATATCCACGATATTTCGTCACTATTATCAATATTTTAGACCGTGCAAATGAGAGGTTTTCAAATTTATTTTTCATTGTTCATTTCCTGTTTCTGTCCATGTCGTTTACCCAATCGAGTTACCCTTTTCTTTTTACTTTTATTTTTTATTTTTAAAATCAAGTGGGGATAGAGAAGAAAAACTCATTTTGGGAATGAAAAGGAAACGGGATATATATGGTCAGTTTTTCAATACTTCAATTATAATGGGCCAATAAACCTATGTAACGGGCCAACATACTCATAACTAGGTATTGAACTGATCACAAATATATATCGTCCTCGTCATCCATATGAGTCAAACTTGAGACCTCCTCCAATCAACTAAAGACAAATACAACTAGACCAAAGACTAGTTGATTTTTTTTTTTTCAAAACTTTCTCAAGAGAGAACTTTTCAATATTATTTTTCACTGAATTTTATTTATTGTTTCTGACCATGCCGAGGACCTAATCGAGTTACACTTTTCTTTTCACTTTCCTATTTTATCAAGTCTGGATAGAGAAGAAAAACCCATTTTGGGAATGAAAGTGAAAGAGATATATGTGGTTTTTAAAAGATGGTTATCACTTGTATGTCAAATGTCAAAGAATTAATTCTTTCCTAAGGCAATAGGAAAGATTTAAATATTATAAAAATAAAAATAAAAAGAAGAAGAAGGGGAGCAAAAGTGGCTACATGAACTATACCATTGGCATTCCTAAGGCATTGCTGCTAGTATCCTGGGTGGCAACAGATTCTTAGGACAATATTTCAGAAAAAAGAAAAAAGAAAAAGAAAAGCCATTGGCCTTAACTTTCCAAGTTAATTTGGAAGCATACCTAACATTTCTAGTGGAGAATTCAACTACATGTCAAAATCAATAAACAATCCATTTGTACCTTTTTAATTATGCACATACTTACAAATACAAGACCTTTCCTAATCGGATTCCCATTTTCTTTTTAAGAAATGAGGACTGTTTATGAGGATAATTTTTCTTTGAATTGTTTGTAGGGTTAACACCGTATTGTAATTCAATAATCTGAGCATGTACGTTTTAAAAAAGGTAGGCTCAAAAGCATATAAGACTCAAAAGCTAGGAATGCTGAAATAAGGTAGGCTCAAACTAATACATCTAAAGTTTGTTAAAGGTGCGTGGTTTGGACTAACGAGGTCTAGCTGAGTAAAAAGTGATATTGACTAAGCTTCCAGAACAATGCTATCATGTTTGAACCCCCATGACATTTGGTAGTGTGTGTGTGTGTGAGAAACCCTCTCTCCCTTGTAATTTAGACTAAAAAGTGGTTTGCTTTTCAAATAAAATCCTAGATATGAATAGGATTGTCAAGAAGAATTTTCCAAGTAATCCAGATTGGAACTTAGAAGTGTGGTTTGCTTCCAACAACTAAATGGGATTATGTACCAAGAAATGTTCCAAGTAATTAGCTCGAGTATTTACATTCTTCAACATGCATCTACCAAATCCTCCAAATTGTTTGTTTTTTTTTTTTAAAAAAAAAAAAAAAATCCTTTATGTTGGATCTCTCGTCTGTCATAGGTTATACCCATGAGTGTATGGTATGTCTAGAAAAAGAAATGTTAAGGAGACAAGGTGGGGAATTAGACAAACGAAAGTATAAAAAACATCCAATTGGGGGGGGTACATGGATGTTCCTCATGGGTTTCAATCAAAAATGCTTTATAGAATCCACTCTCTCTCTCTCTCTCTCTCTCTCTCTCTCCTCTCCAAGTGTAGTCTTCTTCCTTAAGTCTTGCTATATTAAGACCTTTTAACTGTAAAACAGTGGTGTATCCTTCTACATATAAGAACACAAACATTTATTACTTTTATATTAAAAAAACATATAGTATTCTTCTTGGGTATATAATAATGGACTATTGAAAGATAAGTAAAGATTCATAAGCAATAAGTTTTATTTTGTTACCTTGTTTTGGATAGTCAACACTTTTACTTTATAGTCTGCACATCTGTAATTTAGGAATTTCAATTCCTTACCTTACACATCAGATTTTTTCCTTATAAATTGTATCATTCTGTAATTTGGAAATGCCATTTTTACATAGACCCATCACCCCAGAAGGAGAAAATTCTCACATTCTTTAGTCCAATACTACTACATGAAGCCTCAAACATCTGATCCAATATCTCACTCCTGAAAATTTCAAGCATCATCCCAGTCTCAGAGGCTCCAAAATACTCTCACCAAGCCTGAACGAAGTCTCAATTATGGAAACCCAAAAGCCACAAATGCAACCAGCACAAGATTATCATCAAGAACACCCACCACAAGCTCCGAACACTGATATTTTATTGGATCTAAGCCTCTCCAACAAGGAACCCGATCACGGGTCGAATCCAGAACTCAATCTCATCAACTGCTTTGATTCAAACGCATCAGGAAACTCTTCACCAGAGACTTCTAGTCCTAAAGGTACAACTGCTCATGATGCTGCTGAGCCAAGGGTTTTCTCCTGCAATTATTGCCAGAGGAAATTTTACAGCTCACAAGCACTTGGAGGGCACCAAAATGCTCATAAGAGAGAGAGAACACTAGCCAAGAAAGGGCACAAGAGTAATTGTACTGCAGCCTCATCAGATGCCTTGGTTAGGCTTCCAAGTTTACTCTCACACAGATTCTCTAGCATGGCCTCTCTCCCTCTGCATGGCTCTTTCAACCGGTCACTTGGAGTTCAAGTGCATTCTACAATTCACAAGCCTTGTTACCAATTATCAAACACCTTTGGTTCCACAAATACTAGTCTTTATGGAGGGCATAATAGTAATAGTAATGGATGCCTGAGAAAGTCTCTTGATCAACAACCTGCAATTAGGCGGCTTGTTGTACCACAGAACAATGTTTTTCATGTGCAGGGGGGAGTTGGATCGTCTTCATCATCTTCGAGTGGCGGTGTTGGAAGGTTTGTGAATAGTACTAGTGTTCGGAAGTTTTCTCCGGTGACCGAAGGAATTGGAGGGTTGTGGTGGAATAGCAGTGTTGGCCATTTCAAGACTAAGCAAGATGAGTTGCAGAATCTTGACTTGTCCCTCAAGCTCTAAGAACTTGCCCAATTACTTTTCTTTCTTTTCATTTTCAAATATAACTGATCTATAGGCTCTCTCTCTCTCTCTCTCTGGAATTTCATGTATGCGTTGTAACTTTTGTACATTCATTTTGGTTTTGGATATAGTTGTTGACATAATATTTCAAGGGAAGTTGTTTTGAAATTCTTGGCTTGGACATTGCCAAATGCTGTTGGTTAGGTGTTGGAAGTCGAAGCTGCATGTGATATACCAATAATTCAATGATTAATCTTGCTAAAAGAAAGTTGGGGAAGTAGCATTTTTTTCATTCTGCAAATGCTGATGCACTTAATTTGGAAATTAATACTCTAATTAATTAAATGAAGACAGCCATTCTTCTTTTAATTGGGGAGGCAATTTCTCAATACTTTCAGCCGTTACGAAATCAAACTTATTCCACAGTGATTATGTCCAACATACGTTAGAATAAATTGTCTAAACTAGAATAATATACAACAAAAAAGATCGAACTCAAGTATAAAAGACGAACACACTATTTTGGCAGCTAATGTTGAGATAATATGTCACACTGCACCAGCAGGTGTGTTAATCTGGGACTCTTTTAGAGTCATATCTATCTTAAACTTTTGAATTTATGGTCCACAAAACGTGCAAAGATTTGGATTCTTGTGATTGCCATTTCCTACTTTTAATTTGACATGGACGAGGACCTATACAGATTGGACGGTCAAGATCGTCCTAGATGACACCATTTTTGACCCACCTGCAGTTGAGGTAATAGACCATCTCTGTTGGGATCAAAGAGGTTGGTGACAAGCCATGTGAGAGAAACATAATGACCCTCATCTCTGCCCACCCCCATCAAGTTTTCCTCAATATTTTAAAATTAGGGTGATTGCCTTGATTTCTTAGCTACAAATCTCTCCCACACAAATGGTGGGTCCAGATCCATCTGATGTTTACTATATCATCTTAGTCATAATAGAACATGATTATCCTAAATTAAGATGTAAAAGTGATTGAGGTTTTGGCCATTGTGACAGTTAACTATAATTGAAATCAGAGATTAGCAAAAGGGGTTTTGAGGAAGACAGAATGTCAAGTCTTGAAAACGAAGGATTAGGGTTTTGGAGTTTCTGCCCAATTTGCTTTTGAAAAAATCAGTTGTGCTGTCCATTTTTTTCGTGTTACACTGCCTCATTCTTTTACCATTCTGGCTTTAAAATATTGCAAGAGCCTTTCATTTTGCCTCTAAATTAAGAAACACTTAAAACAACACAAGCTAGAAAGAGATGCATGTGAATGTGTAGCTATCATGTTGCTGAGATTAGGTGAAGAATTTGAACCCAAGAACAAGTCTTTCTCTATTGGGATCTCATCATAATTAAGGAGGAGATTATTTAACGTGGTTGCATCCGAAAATTAAGCTTTAGACTTGCTTAGTCGGGGTTTAAGTTTGTCCCATTCAATAGACAGAGAAAGAGAAAATAGAATCCATCATCAATCTCAGCTTAATTGAACCCTTAAAACAATATTAAGGCTCAAGCATTTCATACTCATGCATATTTTCTCCTCCTCTCGCTTTCTTGAAATTACATGGTTGGAGACTTCACCTAATTTGAAAATTGTGGTCTCACTCACTGCAAAGCTGCAGTTTGTGTACAAAATAATTCTACGTGCCCTTTTTATTTATGAGAATGTAACTGTTGCTCTATGCATGCTCTACAGAACCATGAAAAGCAAATACCAAACTAATCCATTAAAATGGTACATGATCACTTTCCGTATAATAGATTTTTAAATCAATTGATTATACTTGAGCTATGGGTTGGGGTTACAACGATCATAATCTCAAGCAATTATTGGTGCAAAGTAATATTGGGGGAGAGAGGAATCGAACCTAAAATCTCGTTTTGAGTGCATGAGTAAATGTTCTTATCCACTCGAGTTACAAGCCCCTTGTTTGTTTGTGCAGAATAAGATCTTTAAAGTCAATAGTTCTATGATTTCAAACTCTACATACCATAAGGAAAAAAGGACAGCACCTTATTAAATTTCAAATTACAAAAAGGAAAAAAAAAACTTCTCAACAAAGATACACACTTTGTTCAACTTTTCTAACAGCCAGATAGTTTCTGTATGCAAATGAATTCAATAAATACAAAGTTGAATATTCAAGGCTGTCTCAAGAAAGTTCATTTATGTACAACTATTGTTTGAAAAACAAACTTTAAAAAAATAATAATAATAATAAATCAACACAATTTGGCAACAGATAAGAGGGAAAAAAGTTCTATAGATGAGATCAGCATGGCACATAACAATAAGAAAGACAAGTCTGATATTCTAAGTGGACCACAAAGTTGAATTTTCGTTTCCTTTCAAATTTGTAAAACCAATTATGTGAGCATAATATATATATATATACACGAGGCACAGTCTTGTGGGGCTCACTTAACATTGTATTTTAATATCCGAACCATCATTTTTCAGGTATAAATTCAAAAATCCCCTCCACAAAAAATCACTTGAATCCAAATTCATTTGACCACTCAATTAAAGGATTATTCTTTTATTATTTTCTTGAAGCACCGTATTCGTCGATTTTGGTTTAGTGCCTGTGCCCAGAAGTGTCATAATCAATGCCATCGTCATTCTGGTTAAGAAAAAAGGGCTCCTACTAGGAAGTTCGAATTATAGTCTAGGCCAATTCAGGATCTAGGGGTTGCAAAGTACGATGTAGACCAGCCAAGATACCCAAAATAACATGACACACTCATGCATATTGCTCAATCAAACCAAAGAGATAAGACTTTCATCTTATCCCGGGTTTGACCAAATATACACCATCAACATGGCTGTCTAGCAATGATAAAGCAATTGTAGTGGAAAGTGAAGTTCACCAGACTAGATAGTACTATAGAGCATCTTTCAATAAAGCTAGGACCACTAGTTGAACACACCAACATATCAAGAACTTGATCATTTCAGTTTGATTGCAATTTAGTTTAGGCTATGAAGCTAGAAACAAACATTACTCCATGAACTTGAGTTGCCTATCTCAATCAGCAGGAAAAGGAGAATATATGGTTAAAACTAAAAAAGCAAAGGGAATGGATGAAGACATTACATTGATATTTGTTAACAGAACTGGTAAAAGTGGATGCAGACATTCAATGAGAATGCAATTCTGGCCACACACCTTCAGCAAGCAGCATAATCCAAGGAGCATAACCATCTACACACCACCAAAAGTAGTCTCAAACCAGATTACAACCTGCAACAACTCGTTCACTTTCCGAGATCAAATATTATCTCAAAGTGAGCGTTCAAATTTTATGGAGCTACAACAAAAATTCAACAGAGATCTTTTTTTCGTGGCAGAAGCACATTTCTAACCTGATACCTGAACTGAAACCAAAGTCTGAGAAACAAAATATGGCAAAAGCCAGTGTGTAGGACTAAAAAAGATAAACCAAAAGCTACGTAATTTATGAAGTAATTGATTCAGTGGATGAGTACAATGACAGAACCACCAGACGTAGAACAAAACTTGAGAGAAAATGTAATTTTTCCACTTGACTTAAAGATTTCCATTTTAACCAACAAGGGCAGCTCCCAACAAGATCAGAGAAAATAGCAAAATCTGTCATGACAAAATCAAATCACTGTACCATGAACTGGGAAGGCTAGATATTTTGCTTCAGAAATCTTATCATAAAACAACCGGCAGAGCACCAGCCATATGCAATATGCATAAATTAACCCATTAATCTCAATGCATAACCAGCAGCAAGTATTGTTGTCATAATGATGTGAGCTGCTCTCTAGTTGAGGCAGAAAATTTTGAATAGCAAAAATCTCCCACTGGACACGAAAGCTGCTGGAAAGTCACATAACAAAAACCTAGTACTTGGATTGAGTAAATCTACCCAAAACTTGGTAGGACAGAAAAACAATGTGAACAAACTCAATCTACAGATCCACAAGTAAAGCTTTATAGATCTTTCCAGCTATACTTATTGACAGAACAATCACTGCACTTTGGCTTGGTTAACAGGTGAAAGTTTAGGTTACAATGTAAGAATGGATCCTCGTGTTGACTGAAAAAATTGAAGAAGAAGACATTTTCAAGAAATTCTTGAACCCATATAGATGGCATATGCCACCACTAGAGGGCTGTTTTATTCCTTTGGATGGTCCAATGCAACAACTTGCCTAAAGAGTTCAAATGAAAAGCTACATAATTTTAAAAATCAAAGATGGAAAGTTAAAAACAACAATGAGATTCCAAATAACCATTTTAATTCATTAGATGACCACTTACATAATCGTGCTAGTTTCTTCCCCTCAGTTAAATACAAGTGGACAAGATCATGTGCAATCGTAACCAGGTTGAAATTTCATTACCCAACACAAATAGGATCGATAAATCAAGTTCATCCAAAATGTTGCACAACCAATCACTCTACTTCTTTTCAATAACTGATTTCACAGTTCCCATCCATCTAATGAATTCAGTTTTATCTTTGTTCTTCATGTATTCATGCAAGAAAACAGCAAGATCATCGTTTATACCCCTTGCTTCCGAGAATTCATAAAGTGCATCTTGCAACTCATCATCAAGTTCCCTGTGCACAACCAACCACAAAAACAAATCAATACTACCATAAGGCAGAAGCAATATTATTATACCAAAGCATAAATCACCATTCAGACTCTGCAGATATAGAATTTAAAGAAAATAACACACCAAAGGAAAAAACCACAACGCAACACATGCACAGAGAAAAACAAATGGCAGGAGAAAAGGAAAAAAACAAAAAGAAGAAAAGAGTTCTACAAAATTCAACTGAATGAATAAACAATTTTGCTAAATCTCTAACACATTTATGTTACTAAAGTTATTAATAAGAACTAGTATAATAAGATATATCGTCATACTTGAACTCAGGACCCACATAAGCCTGAGCTGGCATGTTATCAGGCTGTCGGACGAATAGCTTGTTGATCTCTATAGTATCTGGCCAAACTGAGCACATAATCTCTAACACATTGCCACCTTCCTTCTTGGAGATATTGACAATCATGGTAATGTGAAGCTGCACTTCTTTGCCAAGGCCACTACCACCTTTGGATTTTGGGGCAGGAACAGCTCCATCAAACATGGTGGCTTCAATCTTTATGTCTTCGTTGTCTTCAAATTTTCTCCTCAAGCTTATCCATTGCTCACCAGGACGGTCGTTAACTGTAAATGATTTGAATTTTGTGACTGGCTGAAAAGAAAAAAAAGGATTTCATAATTACAACCCGAAAATCAATTAACTCCCTAGTCATTAAGGAAAGCTTTTTCTACGGAAAGGTTTTCTAGAGATTATATAAGAGTACCTTTAACTCAAAAAACTAACCACTGACGATGACTTAATACGGTTTTAATCCTATGACTGATGGCTGAGACAACTTAGGAAGGAACGAGAACATCGTGCATACAACCTATTACCTAGCCTTGAAGATTGCAATTCATAGGCAGGCCAAAAAGTATGTCAGGCACACAAGTTAGCTTGTTTTCAGATGGATCTTAAACAATGAAAAACTTCTTATTAGGTTGCATAAGATTTTACTAGAACCCTAATCAAATGGACTCCAATGCATCTTTCATTATCTAGAAACCTCTTCGAAAGAAAAAGATATAGACTTTTTTAATAATATGTCATTTTTCTGAACAACTCCCCATCGAATGTCAAAAGAAAAAAAAATCCCCAACAACCCAATCCTCGAAACAAACCCTAAGGCTCATATACATTTCCAAATTCTTTCCCTTTTCCCTCAATTTCTCAGTAACCAAACAAAGCCTAACCCATTTTCTCATCATAAATTGAAAGTTTTAAAATTTAAAGGGAAAAAAAAGAGACAGAGAGGGAGTGGATTGAGTGGGCACCTTTTTAGGCGGAGAGCGATCGAGTTCATATTGTATCTCATTGCGTAACAGTCTGAGAACGTGGCCTTCGAAGGCCGATTTGCGCATTTCAGAGATGTAAGTTCTAAGGCATTGTGGTGGCAGGAGCTTGGGGTTTAAGAGGGAGACTTCTTCATGTGCAAAATGAAAAGTGGGTATTTGCTGAACTAGGAATTTGGAAGAAGAAGAAGAAGAAGACAGAGGAGAAAGAACGGATTTTCTTAAGGGTGTGATTAGCCGTGCCATGGAGTTGTTGCGTTTCAGAGGTTTTTAGGGTTTAAGGGCTTAAGAGAAGAAGCTTTTGCTAGAAGTTGATGGGAAAGAGGGAATGGGTGTTGGGGAGGCTCAAGGCTTATGCAGTGAAAAGCCCCTTTTGAAAGTCCAGCCCAAGTAATATCCATAAAGTTGGTTTGAAGCTTCATAAAACGAGGGTGTTCGTGTTCCCCCCTGTGATTTGTTCTCAACCAATCCCAAAAATCATTCGAGTTAACCAACTCACCATTTGAACCATATCAAGCTTCCTCCACAAATCAACAGATTCGGGGTAATTTCTGACCATTTGTAAATGCTAAAAAGTGCCGAAACTAATTGATTACGGACTAGATTTTATCAAACCGATTATTACTGAAAAACCGAAACATTTACCGAAATATATTGTGGAACTTTTGAAATAATTCGTATTCACTAAAATCTCACCCTTATTTCTAATAGTTATACGCTAGAATATATATTGCTACATAGTTCATAGTAGAACAAAAATATAAACATATCATAATTTTTTTTTTTTTTTTTTTTTTTTTTTTTTGTTATTTTTTGTTTTTTTTTCTTTCTTATTCTACCTTTATCCAAGGGCGGAGGCACGTAGGAACCAGTGCAGTCACTGCCCCCCACTCAACTTTTTTTCTTTCTTTTAAAATGTAATATGTATTGCTGTTATTGAATAATCTAATATTAATTAATATGTTTATTTTATCACGTAGGCCAGCAGCCAAATCCTGTTTTTCCTTTCCACCAAGCTTAAGCCACTTTCCTTTCCTTTTTCCAAAGGTTTATGGCTCTTCTTATTATATATTTACCCTTTTACAAAAATTGATAAAATCCTAACCCATTTTTCTCCTTTCTTGGAGATACACAAGCAGCGAAGCACCTGTGAGTGTTTCTCTCAAACTCCGTATTAAACTATCAAGTTTTAATTAGGTTAATTTATTCAATTAAAGTTTTTTTAGTAGTTCTCTTTTTTTTTTCTTTATTTATTTATTTATTTTTAGTTCATAATCTTTTTTTCTTTTTATTGATTTTAATAGATCTTTCAATTTATGTATAAATGATTGCATCGTTGCATATATTGAGAGATAAATTTTCAATAGTATAGATGACGAGGTTGTTATGCAACGATTTCAAAATATGAAAACTCGTCAAGAACAATGATGATTGTAATGAATACACAATATGATTTTTGATGTTTTGCTATGTCTTGTGAGTTCAAATTTTTTATTGTTTATATTTTTGTGAGAGGCCCCCACACACATGAAATTCTGGCATCGCCACTGCCCTTACCCTACAATTCTCTTTAATAAGAAGACATATACAATCACTTACTAATATCATGAAAGAATATAAAAAAAACTCTAAGACTATTATGCATACCTTGCTCTCATCATATCTAAGCTCCTAAGTAATTTCGAAAAATTTTGAAACTGAATTCGGAACCGTGGTTTCCGATCCGTTCCGGCCGAAAAACACCCCTACTCTCACAAGACCTTCTGAGGAGTGTCTATCAAATCTCATGGTGAAACTCTCACTGTTAAAAATCTTCACAATGGTTCTGAAATTCCAAAGGCCCATCACTTTAACCACTCTAGTCTAAGGTCAAGTTAAAGCTCAACCGTCAAATGTTTGACTTGCAACTGAAATTTAAAGACTGATGATCGCCTAAATACTAGTTAACCAAAAATTTAAAAAAGTCTAATCCACATTCTATAATAGTATTATGACTTATCTCATCTGGCTGGGCCCTTTCACCCTCTTTCTCTGCACCCAAAAAGCCAAAAATAATTATATTTCTTTCCTCTTTCTCTTTAAAAGTTCAAATTTAAATATCCCACTAATCACAGTCATAATATATAATATATGACACCCCCCCACTATGTTCCATAATGAGTGTACGTTACTTTCTCCCATAAATTCAAATTTTTAAATGGGATGAGATGAGACCAGCTCAGATTTTAACCAACCAAGACTCCAGCTTTTCCCCCCTGTAATTCCAATCAAATCGAAGCCCAATTATCCACAGATCCCAGATTTGTATAACATATCAACAACCACCATCTTCTTCTTCTTCTTCTTCTCATTTTTTTTATTTTTATTTTTTAAAGACAGGGCAGCAGAAGCAGCAGCAGCGCTACCACCTTTCACTGGTGGAACCCATCAAACATCAGCAGAAGATTATCAAAATTCTCTTCTCTAACTTGAAACAATTAAAAATACCCACAAAATCAAAAACCCATAATTTAAAATCCAAAAAGCAACCCAAATTCTGATGCAATTCGTTCCCATGGTGCTTGTTATGTAGCTGAAAATGACACTGCCGCTATAGCATTTAGTCTCTAAATGCAGAAAGAAACGCCAGAATGTTGTGCAGAAAGAGTGTCTGCACTGAGGACAGTGGATCGGTGTCTGTGTACCTCAACGTCTACGATCTGACACCTTTCAATGGCTATGCTTATTGGCTTGGCCTTGGAGTTTACCATTCTGGTGTACAAGGTTAGTGCTTCTTCTTTGCTCATCATCCTGTTCTTTCCTTGCTCTTCTTTCTTTTCATAATCTGAAGATTTGTTGGTGTGACTTTGATCTGTGCTTGAGGTTATCCTGTAGTTAAATCCATCTTTTTTTTTGGTTCTCTTTCTTTGTACTGGTTTGGTGGGTTATCCTGTAGTTAAATCCATGTATTTTTTTTTGTTCTCTTTCTTTGTACTGGTTTGGTGGGTTTGGTTGGTAGATTCAAGTTTTCTTTGGCTGATGACGAAATACAGAAAAAGAATTGAGTTAACTTTCTGGGTTTTGAATGTTTTGCAAAAATAAGATATAAAAATTGGTCTTTTCAATTTCTCTAATCCGAAAACATAATTGTTTGTGTGGTTCATAAACCCTTATCAGCTTCTGGTCAGAAACCAAAGGTTCATGAATTGTATTTTATTTCTTTCACCTAATTACAATGAGCTTTACATGTCCTTTTACATTGGTATGGGCAAAAGAAAAGGAACAGAGAGGAAAAAATTCTTTTTGTTGTCTTCTTTCTTTCAATGTTAATGGAGGTTTTGATACTTTTGCAGTTCATGGTGTTGAATATGCATTTGGAGCTCATGAGTATCCAACAACTGGAATATTTGAAGGAGAACCCAAAAGTGTGATGGGTTTACATTTAGGAAGTCAATTCTGATTGGGAAAACGGATGTTGGACCTTTAGAGGTGAGGGCAGTGATGGAAGAGCTTGCAGAGCAATACAAAGGAAATGCCTACAATTTGATCACTAAAAACTGCAACCATTTCTGCAATGATGCATGTGTTAGATTGACTGGAAATTCAATTCCAAGTTGGGTTAATCGTCTTGCCCGAATTGGTAAGAATTGGTTTGGTTTATTTATTTATTTTCCTGTTTGGATCCTACGTTTAATGTTATGATGTTTGATCCATAACAAATGATAATCATTTGTTAATTTGCAGGCTTCCTCTGCAATTGTGTTCTTCCTGTGACTATAAATTCAACAAAAGTTCGACATCATCGAATCGAAGATAAGGCAGATGAAGGAGACAATAAGAAATTAACAAGCCAGCCAAACAATTTGGCAACGTCTTCTAATTCTTCTTCATCTCCATCATCCTCTCCTTCTGGCACAACAACCCGCAGGGGAAGAAGCAGAACAAGACGCGCTCGTCCTCCATCTTCGCCTTTGATGATTGGTTCATCATCCTCTTGATGGTTGAGATTTGCAGCACAGTTTTTCATTTTCTCAAATTTTGCTTAAAGGAAAGAAGCAAAGATTCTTGTTTCTACATATTTTCTTCATTCTTTTGCTGTGCTCTTAATGCTAACATCTGTGTACATGTGCATGCGTCAATATTTTGGCAAGTGATTATCTGTCGCTGCAAAATTATTCAAGTTGGCCTCATCTTGTTTGGTTTTCTTGTGGTACCTGGCTCAACATTGACGTATCAAATTGTCTTCCTTGGACATCTTGGCTCTTCTTTGGATGATAAATTGACAATGCACACACTTTCTGTGGTTTTCTCTCTGCAAGACGTCCGTCCTTTATTAATGGACGGATTTTCAATAAAGTATCGACAAATTATTGAAACAAATAAACATCGACAAATTATCGACATATTATCGACACATTATTGCAAATAGGTGCTGCTGACTATACGTACAGATTCTCCATTGGTCTAAACTAAAGGTGTTGCTTTAAGAAAGTAAAAGCTATATACCAAGTCCTCAAGATCAAGGAATCTGAAAACTGTGTCTGTCTTTCCTTTAATGTTTTCACTTCGGAATAAAAGAAAGCTTAGAAGTTACAACCATATGAACCTTGTGCTCTCATTGGAGTGCATCAGTTTGGCAGAAAAACTTGTATGAAAGGGGGAGAGCACTGTTTTGCTATCCCCAACCAATTACAAACTGTCATGTGAAAAATTTATCATACCTGACATGCCGTGACTGGCCTAGGGTAGAAAAATAGTGTTATTCCCGTTTCACACAAATGTTTCTCTTAGTTTGGAGCCAAGCCAAGTGTTTAAAGTATGGGCTGAGCCAATGATGGTTCGCAGTGGTCAAGTGACCCTTCTCATGTTTAGCATGTTTGATCTTTTTACATGTTTGTACTTGATTCTTTTATACAATATTTCTGAAATTTGACCCTTCTCACCGTCTTACCTTTTGAAAAAACTACAAAAATAAAGATGAAAACTTTTGTCTTGCATGTTCCTAACTTATACTACTTGCCTTTTTAATTATTTCTTTATTTGTAATAACTTAATAATTATTAACCTAATTACCTAAAACTAAAAGCATGACATCTTACCCCAAAAAAAAGCTCAAAAGCATGACAATTCAAATTGAAGATCGCCAACCTATGCTCTGTTGTAAATATTTTGGAATGATATAGAAATTAATACGAAGGGTTTTATTATCAGATGATTTTTATTTATTTATTTATTTTGGTGAATCTTATCATTTGAGGATGACCTTTCTTGATAGATTTTCTGACTCGTCATTGGTTTAAAGTATCTTCTTTTGGGAGGAAAATAAAAAAAGTTGGAATGCCCCACACCCTCAATGTGCCTTCACGTTCTTTTACTATTTCTGGGTTGGTATTCGAAATGAAATTCTGTCCATGTCTTTATCATAATTTTCTTCCTCATTAAAATGTAGGGCAAATCATGGTGGCCTAGACTAGATGCTCCAAGGACGGGTGTGTGTGCAAAAGCCCCTCTTTATAGTCGAAATCTGTCACTTTCTTCATCCCATTGTCCTCTTTTTCTTGTCTTGACTCAAGTGGGTAAACAAACATAGAACAACTCCTTTGACTTGTGGGAACAAAGAAGGCAACTTTCTGTGCAATGTGGAGGCCTTCCTTATACTTTACTGGTTTCAATAGTCCAAGAATGAGTGATCAGTGTAAAATGGAGGCATTGCTTATACTTTACTGCTCACTAGTCCAAGAAATTATTGTTGTATGATCAGTAATTGTGAGAAGTACGTTGTATACAACGGTTGCATGCAATAATATTTTTTGTTGGTTCAAAGAAGTTACTCTAATCTATTGGGAACCTGCCAAATATCAAACATTGACACATGGTATGGTATATCCAATATACCTAATAATTCCTCCTGAAATATCAAACATTGACACATGGTAGGATTTTTTATAATTTGAGCTCCTATATTGGGTATTATAGTGAATCTCCCTTATAAAAAGAACAAAACCAACCCCAAAAAGATGGATTAAATCAATCTTTCTTCTGGTTTTTAAACAAATTTATGCAACAAAATTATGTGCCACAAGACAAAATTTGGTTCAGTTTTTAGACCAAAACATAGGAACAATCTTACATAAATAAGCCCCAGAATTCTCGAAGTGGTGTATGGTTATTAGATGTTTTTGGCCTATATAAAATGATGCCCGAGGCATCTAAAGCACGGCCATTATGATTGAAAAGTACCTCTTTTATTCTATCAACATTCATGATACAATCTCCACACTAAAATTGCATAATCCAACGGCCTTAACTTGATCAATCAGCCCAAATAACTTACAACATTATGTATATTCAACAGAAAAAATTACAGAAGCGGCTATAACATTCAACAAGACTTTCCCAAGCATATCCATAACACAAACACGCAATTTCCAAAGGTGAGCACTTTGAGGAAGCTTTTCATGTTTGGAAGGAAAATAAAAACAAAACGAAATAAAATTCCTGAAGCCATTTGATTTTGTTGTCTAACTGTCCTGCAAAAAGGCCAATCACAACAAAAATTTGGGTAGGATGTCAAATTGGGAAATCAAGGATTCGAAAAGTACTTCACCAGCAATTGTGGGGTTTACAGCAGAGACTCAAGTTGACCAAAAATTATCAGCTTTGGGTCTGCTTCTCTCGCAGCCATTCGACAAAATTGTCCAAGATCAAAGGCCATGCAAGTTCAGGATCGTAGTTGCTTAGGTCTGGAAAGCTTATCTGTGCAGTGGGTGGTGAGGGGTAAAATATTAGCTTAGAAGGTAATTAACATTTAAGGAAAAAAATAGGAGGCAAAGGGGCCAGCTGATATGCAAAACCAAATGTTAAAGACTAGTGACATAAGACACGGCTTGATAACCAAACTTCCCAACCTCTTTACTTTGCAGATTCTGTAATTCAACAGTGACATCAACTATACTAAAGGTAAAGGAACATTGGGCGATGCGGAGCAACTGCCCCCTGAAACTGAAAACATCTATTATATTTTTGTTCATACTATACCATCCCGCATAGTGGGGATTTAAAAGAAGGCAAAGCAAAACATACGTACAAAACAAGACCTTCCTTGTTTAATAAGTCTTTGTTTGTCAAAGAAGGGTATTGTTAGAATAGGTTCTCCTGACTGTAACCCCCTGCTCCCCTCCCCAACAAAAACAGTGCTGAGCAACAAAATCTGGTTTATAACATGGTAGCTCAGCAAACAATTCACTGTAAGTGGTTCACAGCACATGAGAATACTTCTACCAAATCAGGTTGGCAGTTGCATTCCTCCACAGAGGTAAGGGTATAACTCAAACTTAAAACTTGGAATTTGAACAAACAGGACTTAGTAGTGTGAGCGTTTGAATGTGCACACGGCATGCACTATAGCACGATGTATTCAAAATGTACCTTGACTTAAATCTTATAAGCTGTATCATATGTAGAAAAATGAACAGAAGAAACAAAGGCAGGAATTTTGAAATCAGTAACCAAATGAAAGATTACCTCTTCGCAGAACGGTAAAAGCCCATCCACTGATCCATGTTTATGACTTTGTAATCATTCTGAGTCTGCATTTTGAAAACAAACAAGCACTTAAGAAATTTACTTTTACCGTCCCTTTCTGTCTTTTTTTTTTTTTTTTTTTTTTTTTTTTTTTTTGGTGTGTAAATTACAAGATATTAGATACATTTATTTGAAGACATCTGCACATCTGCATTTTACTCTCAAATCTATAAACCTCATGAGGTCACCAATGACATGATACATGCAGAAGTCTGGACAGAAGGAACCCCATCATCTTCACTAAAGAGTAGAACATTGCATATACCAATTTTAATAATCTTTTACCATTAAGACGGAAAAGCAGTTTGCTAGCTTAAAAATGAAGCAGTGTGATGGTAGGCTGAAAACAAGAAAGAGGCCTAATTTCTTGATGAAAAATTTCTTATGCTTCAATTGCCGTAAACTCTTTCCTCTTAAGTACACATAAGCTGCAGCTGTATTACTCTAGCAGTACAAAGGCCCATATACATAAACGGATGCTGTACAATACCACTCACCTTTAAATACTGAACAAACAAGTCAACCTGCGCTTGGTATTGAGATCCTAAAACAATATTTAATAATTCGCATATGCTGTCTATATCTATGCTCTTCTGTTTCTCCTCTGAAAACAAAAATAAAATACAGAAGGTTGAAATTAGCACATGCATAAAGGGTAAAACCAAAGGAAAGAAAAAATTAGGTTTCAATTCAAGATCAAACGACAAGCAACCTTGAGCTCATTACCTGTTAAACAATAACGGAATGAATAGGAATAGAAATCCACAAAGTTTGTTGGCCTCCTGACCTTTTCATGATATAATTAAACGGAAAAGGATCAGATTCTCTGTGACCATCATATGGATGTGATGAACCAATTAAATTGCCATAATTTTATAAAAGGAAACAATTTAAAAGATACTACCTCTTTCTCCAGCTCTGGAAGTGCCTTCTTTAATGCATATTTATTGCTCACCCTTATTGCTTTAAATCCTGTTCGCCACTCTTCCTATCAAAGATGAGATTGGCAACGTCATTCAAAAAAAAATAAAAAATAAAAAAGAGCGAACGAAACATGAATTCAAATGAGGGACAAAGATATGGTAGGTGGACAAACACAGTCTGTCCAATAAAAAAGAAATGATGAAGACGATAATTAGAGCCTAAATTACTTTGGATTTAGCTTTTTTTTTTGTAGGGATGACTCTTAAACCGCAAGTTGAATGGAGGATGTGCGCACTTTTCTTAAAGTATGGATGTCAACACTTGAACCTCCCTATATATATAGGGTAATGTGCCCTTGCCAGACTGTGACCACACATTAACAAGAGCCCAACAAATCAGTGGTCCAAATTGATACTCGGATTTTCACTTTCATCCTTAGTACTTTTATTTTTCAGTTTCACCCTTGTAGTTTCATTCCGTTTAAACCGTT